GTCAGATGATCCATCAAATGATCCGTCAGATGATCCAAAAATCAAGGTGAGGAAATACAAACTGGGAAGACATTGAAGCAGCACTTGCGAAAGGCCCTATTTCTTCCATTCTGATGACGATTTGAGGTATTGTAGAAGAAAGAAAGAAAGTAAATAAAAACGATTATGTCACTTAAAGTAGACGTATGGATCTTCTCTTTTTCTACTTCTGTCAGAGGCTCGATTTTTTTTTTCATCACCAACCTGTGGTTTAAAAAGTAGAAAAAAATCTATCGCTAGCACCGCTTGATATCCAAATTAAAATGTGAGGCTGGCTTTTGGCTGGTTGTTGTGTTTGATGTGAGGTGGTACTTGATTGATGGCCTAGTGACTGGAATTTTCGATTACTTTCCCCAATCTCCGTTCTGTTGTATAAAAGTATTCGTAAAACCATCAATTCTTGCCCAAATGTAGAGCGAAAACGATCGCTAGCAGCCCCTAATATAGTAGTTGAGATCCTTGGTTGATTGTTGTCTTTGATTTGACGTTGTTCTTGAAAGATGCCCATGTGACTGGAATTTCTGATCATTTTTCCCAATCTCCGTTCTGTTGTATAGAAGTATTTGTAAAACCATCAATTCTTGCCCAGATGCAGAACGAAAACGATCGCTAGCAGCACCATATATAGTAGTTGAAATCCTTGGCTTATTGTTGTCTTCGATTTGACGTAGTTCTTGATTGATGGCCACATGACTGGAATTTCCGATCATTTTTCCCAATTTACGTTCTGTTGTATAGAAGTATTTGACAAACCATCAGTTCTTGCCCGAATGTAGAACCAAATCGATCGTTAGCGCCACCAAATATATCTAGTGAAGTCCTTGGCTGGTTGTTGTTTGATTTGATGTCGTTCTTGATTGATGGCCTTGTGACTTCAATTTCCGATTATTTTCCCAAATCTCTGCTCTGTTGCAAAAAAGTATTCGACAAACCATCAGTTCTTGCCCGAATGTAGAACCAAATCGATCGTTAGGACCACCTGATATTGATGTAGGGTTTGCTGGCTGATTGTAGTCAATGATTTCACGTGGATCTTGAGCCACGGCCATGGAACTGAATTTACTGGAAGTCAAACGATTGTCAAAAAAAGGAATCAGACGATATCTCAATGCGAGAGCCTTTGTCGATTGTAACTTTTAAAACAATTGGGATACTCACATCTATTTGATTTTCGACTGGGAAAAGACCTCATTGTATGACATGCTTTGTATGGGTAACAAGTGCTCCAGCAAAATATGATGATTGATTGTCATTTTGGTGATTTTGGAAACTCGTGGATAGGGTGAAGTGAATGATCCGTCTAGTACTGTACCTAACTCTACAGGATGGTACGGCCAGAGATGATCCGCAAATTGAATGTGCGGTCGTCCTGCGATTTTATAAAACAGTAAATTTGAAATTGTACGCAGTATTTTAAACGATGCAACAATAATAAGGAATTTAATCTATTGTACTAATACTAATATTGAGAAGAGCAATATGTAATTAGTTTTCAAATCAAACCTCGCTTTCTCATTCAGTTTATTATACGACGCAATGGTAAAGCGACAGAAGGAAAAGCAATATCAATCTGGGCGAGAACATAGGCAAAATGCTCAGTTGCGATCTGGATCTGGATTGACTGGCGGTGTTGTTCAGCGTATACTCCCATTTCAGTGTTGCGCGCTAACACTCGTCCCATACACTCAACCAGTCTGCAATGCCCAAGGAATCTTATTTGATAGTGTCGCTCTGATGGAATTCGTGATGAAACACAAGAAGGATCCTGTCACTGGAGAACCGCTGACAACTCGGGATGTCGTTTCCCTTCGTATGGATAAGGACGACGAGAATCGATGGCAGTGTCCAGTTTTGACGAAACCCTTTGCCGATCATACTAAAATTGTCGCAATCGTTGACCGAACCAGCAGCAAGAACAATAACGTCGAGGCCTATGTATATTCCTTTGAAGCCTACAAGGAACTAAATGTCAAGGCAAAAAATTGGTTTGACTTGACGACGGGGAAGAAGTTCTCTCCAAAAAGGGATGTCCTAATTCTCAATGATCCACAAAACGAGGACTTTCAGAAGCAGCGTGATATTCGAGGATTTTGGCACATACAGAACTCTCGATCGCTGGATCAAAAAAAGCAACAATTGAACGTACATCACTCTGTCACAGCAACCCGCATCATGGAAAAGCTCAAACAAGATAAAAAGAAGCGACCGACTCCTGGATCGACGTCCAACGACACGGAACATAATTGTGGCAGCGATCAGCCATTGAAAAAACTCAAAATCTACTCCGACGATGTCACCAATGTGCAATACACGTCTGGGAAGGCTTCTGGATCCTTTACAAGTACCGCTATGGATGTTCGAAATGAAAATACTACACGGGAAGCAACGCAAGAAGAGGTCTTGCAGGCTCAGTTTCAAGTGATGCGAGCGCAGAAGGAAAAGGGATACGTGCGCATGATTACGAGCATGGGGGATCTATTATTGGAATTGCATTGTGATATTGCCCCAAGGTTAGTGAATCCTGTACTTGGATTCTATGTATGTGTCGTATCATTTGTTTGCATACTTGTTTGCATAAGGCTCACAATGTTGCTTGGGGGGTGCTGCTTTGACTCCAACGCATATAGGACGTGTACCAACTTTTTGGGTTTATGCCAAGCCAAAAAATACGACGGGACTGCTTTCCACCGGTCTATTTCTTCTTTCATGATCCAGGGAGGACAAAGACTCTCTGGGGAAGGAAATAAGGACGACATGAGTCTTTGGGGTGGGACTTTTGCTGATGAATTTGACGACCGTTTGAAACATGATCAAAGGGGAGTCTTAAGTAGTGCTAACGGTGGTCCCAATACCAATAAGCGCCAGTTTTTTGTAAGTGCAATGATGTGATGAAAAGAAAGGATTCAAAAATTTGATGATGCTCAATCGATTCTTGTTATTCATTCATCCAAAACGCTCCTTCATTTTCCAAAAGATTACTTTCAAAGCAACACCGCATTTGGACCGAAAGCATTCTGTCTTTGGCCAAGTTGTAGACGGCAAAAAAGTCTTGAAAGAAATGGAGAAGGCTGCAACGGACAAGAAGGACAGACCTGTTGATCCAATCAAGATTGTAACAACAGAGGTTCTGGTAGACCCTGCCAAGGAGGCGGAGGACAAGGAGTTTTCACGCTTGCAAGGATTAAGAGAAGGAAGAATGGAAGCAGAGCGCCAAAAGCAAGCAAGGTCATTGGGCAAGACTGCTTTGCCTTTGGATAGACGTGGCGGAAGTATTGAGAGCAGAAATAACACTGCAACGATTGGGAAATACTTGTCCCAAACAATGATTCAATCAACAGACGTATCAGCAGACATTGATGTCATTATTCCATCAGCACCATCTGCTAGTAAGATGAAAGAGAACAAAGTCAAAACAAATACTCAGTTTGGAAACTTTAGTTCTTGGTGAATCACATGATGGAATTTTGGGTGTTGCTGCATGCTAATTGGATGAAATAGGGTGATCATGAGGACAGCATAGGTACTGGATATGACAATTCCCACTATAAAGAAAAGATAAGTTTTGGCAGCAGTGTCCACCTTTGCAATATTTGACATGGCAGGGCGCAGAAGGCAAACTAAGGCGGGATGCGATGCAGACTTTGTAAATTTAGTTTTATTTTAGTAGCATTGATGAGAGTTTTTATGCCCGATTCCGTTTGTGTTTGTTTTAGGGCTTCAAGTTGTGTCCTTTTCAACGCCACACCTGTTTCTCACAAACTACCCAGTTCCAAGAGATTCCAAAAAGTGACTTTTCATATAAAACAATGTGCCCGCATTCTCAACCAAGGGTAATGTCTTTTGGTGGCCCATCCCCAGAACGATCACCAACTTCCATTTTGGGAAACAGGTAACGATTATTGGGATTCTGCAGCATCATCCGGAAGATTTCATCTCGCCGCTCATCTTCATCCATAAAATCAAGATTAGAACGAGCAAAGGCCATTCGCTTTTCTTCTTGGATGCTCTCAACTCTGCCAAAAATACTATCCCATGGTGCTCGTGTCAGGAAGGATTCCGGGAAAGAATCATTTTCACTTGGATCATCCAGAAAATGCTTGATAAGGTATACTAGTACTGCTTCCTAACGTGATGCCTCGAGTTTCATGAGATCCCTGGATTCTTGCTTAAACCAATAAAAGTGTCAGCGATCATTTTGATCTGTCATAAGGGTTAGAACTCCAGTCTTGTGGTTCAATCTGGACGCAGCACAATGCTGCAGCACAGCCTGCCTTTGTATTTTGTCATGTTCTTGGTTTTTATCCTTTTTAAGTTCAATACCAATCAAAATACTGTATACTGTGTTTCGCAGTTGAGATGTTTGGAATGTGGCCGGCAAGAACAACAACGTCAATGTTTCCTTTCATTCTTGGCCCGGGTGAAGGCAGCAAGTCTGTTTCCAAGAGCTCCTTTGCTTTCGAAGCTTCGAATATATTTTAACTGAGTCCGGAGCGAAATCCCAGCCCCTTAAGTTATGCCAACGGAGGATTTGTGATGAAAGCGGTGGGATGTAGACAAAGCAAAAGCAAAAAAAGCTGACGGTCTTGACCGAGCAGCTAAGCTCCTTCTATCGTCTCCATCATCCCACAAGCTCCCATTGCGAACAATGTCTTCTCCAAATCTTCCGTGACACTCTTCGCTCCGTCCGCCAACGACGGAAATTGAGACTAAGGAAGAGCTAGAAACGCCCATACGTCTCCCGTCTTGCCGATCAAGCACCGACGCATATATAATAAAACACTACAGTATTTATATCATGCCTGAGGATCAGGAAGACCTTCGAAAGCTTCGTATAGGCTTTTGCGTGAAGCAGAAGCTGGAAAAAAAGCAGCAGAAGAGAGAGCAGGTAAAGCAGAAGCTGAAAAAATTGCAGCAGAAGCTGGAAAAAAAGCAGCAGAAGAGAGAGCAATGGGAACTTTATATGGAACCATCCACGATATCATAGATGAAAAACTAAAGCAAATTCCAGAAGGTGCGATACAAGCTGTAACGCGGCTGCATCAATGTGATGTATTCTACAAAGAAGCAATCGCCGCAGCAATGAATGCGAATAATGACACTGACCAAGTGGCCGATGGGAGTACCCGTTGCTCTGGTTACGATGAGGACAGGGATTCGTCAGCCAAGAAACGACGAATCCATTCCTTACAGAATTTAGCTCTTGATGGTTGCGAGCGTCAAACTGCCGAAAAGGCTCACCTTTTACCGCACAGCAGCCGCTGCGCATCGTATTATGGCGAATTGCTCGAGGCACTGGTCGGAGTAGAGTTGAAAGGTGATGCTAAGACACGGAAGCGCAAGCTGCAAATTCTCATTCACGGAGTGCTCGATAAGGAAACATCAAAGCGGAAAGCAAAAACTGGTATCAAGCATTGCAAAATGAACATGATACGGGTCCTGGGCCAGAGCGTCATGGATAAAAATCCAAATCGAGTTCTCTTCTTACCAATCATGACTCTGGAAGATGTGCTCAACTTCAACGATCAAACTTCCTTTTCAGTTGCGATACTATGTGCTACTCCAAGTGTTTACCAAGCCATGTTGTGGCTGAACGAATATGAACTTGTTACCAAAACGGAGATGAAGCTTGCGTTGAAAACACTTGAGAGCTTTACATTGGCAGTAGCCAAGCATCGCAAAAATCTGCAAAATAATGGCCAGGACGACTTCAACTCTCTCGAAACAATTGGAACAGAGAAAACTTATCTTGATGAGGCAAGGGAAAATATCAAGAATTCCATGGTCCAAGTTGCAACTCTCAAAACAAAGTATGAAGGCACGAACGAAGAAGACACTTTTCCAAAAGTTATGAAAATTGAATTGTCAAATCAACAACCCAAGGGAAAAGTTGTCGCAACAACGTGTGATCCATGGTTGCTTTGCTTAAAGAGTGCTGTGATGTATTCCAGTTTCCTTGGAAAGAAGCTATTGCCAGGCTGTCGCGACCATGATTCGGAAACGACCTCGGATTGGTCTGGATTCCAAGACTGTTGGTATATTCCTCCGGTACCCGAGGAGGTGGAAGCAGTGGCGACTGACTGTGGCGATGATTCGGACCTGAGTAGTATTGGATCGGCGATGGGGAAACAAGAAAAATAATAATAATAAAATATTATGTATGAAAATGGATGCAAAGAAAGAAGAATGGGCCAGTTTTCAAGACGATGCAAAGCAAATTCTATTTGATACGTAGAATATTATATAGTCTTAGTCGACGATGCTGATGATCAATAGCCTGAATAATTGAGGTATTCAGATGATGACGACAACAAACGATTTTGAAGAAAAAACTAGCTGGATGTCGCACAATCGCACGTGTGGCTTCTTGAGTCCAATCTTTCATTTCTTCTCGAGTTCAACATTGTTGAGTACACTGATTGGTGTACAAATAATAAATGATCATTTAATTGCCGATTTACGCTAGCTTGTGATACATAGCAAATACTTGGGGGAAGAGCATACCCGGCAGAGTCTCGATGACTCTGGCGTTGATTATCAGAATCCAACATAGATCAGAGTAGCTGTATAATTGACTTTCATCTCTGGGAGAAACTCCCTAGACCTTCACTACCCATTTTAACGATTCTCCGGGACTTGCATGTTAATTGCGTGGCTAGTCAAACCTCTTCTGAGGGTTCTGAGTATTCCTGCCTTCTCGCGCAAATCAATATCCGGGCTGATTAAGTCAGTGCAATCTTGTATATTTTGTGTTATGTTGATGACATCTTATATTTTGTGTTATGTTGATGACATCTTGTGCATGTCTGAAAACGCTAAAGATGTTATGGAACAGATAAGCTACAAATTCAAGTTCAAGAAGGACAAGATTGAACAGCCTGAAAGCTACCTTGGAGCGGGTGTCAAAAGAAAGGTTTTAGACGGTCAGCACATGTGGACTATGTCCAGTTATGACTATGTTACAGCTGCTGTGAAGAACGTCAAAGCAACCCTGAAAGACAATCAGAGGTGGAACTTACCAAAGAAAGCCGTCACTCCAATGAATAGCGATTATACACCAGAGCTAGATGTTTCAAGTGAGTTAAACGCACATGACCACACATACTTTCAAGAATTGATTGGGGTCTTAAGGTGGGCCACGGAGATCGGACGCGTTGATATTCTACTGGAAGTTTCTCTTTTGAGTCAATACCAGGCAGGGCCAGGGGAAGGACACATGGAACAATTGTTGCGGATTTTTGCCTACTTGGATCAACACCCAAAGATGACTCTATACTTTGATTGGAGAATCCCAAACGCAGATTTTTCCGGAGTCAAGTCATCGTACAAGGAGTTCCGTACTCTATACAGAGATGCTGAGGAACAATTGCCATCGAACATGCCAAAACCAATGCCTTGCATGCAGCAAACAAGAAGACTCGTAGATCGCATACCGGCTATGCCATCTTCTTGAATAGGGCGCCTATTGTTTGGCACAGCCGGAGGCAGAATACAGTGGAGGCCAGCACTTTTGGGGCTGAATTCATTGCTCTGAAATCATGTATTGAAGTAATTACGCAATTACGCTACAAGTTGCGTATGTTTGGGATCCCACTGGATGAGGAACCAACACAGGAACCAACACAGGAACCAACACAGGCGTTAGTGGACAATGAAGCGGTTGTTAAAAACTTGTCACTGGTAGAAACTACGTTGAACAAAAAGGACAATTCAATTGCTTATCATTATGCACGTTGGAATGTGGCAGCTTGGGTGATTGCAGTTTCATGGATTGATGGTGCAATCAATATTGCAGATGCATTTACAAAGCGATTAACACAGATGAGGAGAGAAAACCTTTTTGGTTCTTGGGTTTATTGAGCAACCTATGGATCACATTGATCCTTAGCTTGAGGGGACCAAATAAAGGTCACCGTGCTATTAGATACGCACGCATAGTCTGTACGCAGTAACGTACAGAATTGGTGATGGACCACACACATCATCACAACTTTCTAGATTTCCTTTTACGAACGTCTATCAACTTTCCTTTACTTTTATCATCCTCCTAGTAAGTCTATCGCTACACGACATATTTTACATTCATTGATATCATCAAATTGTCCATGTAGATTGAAATCATGTTCATCTTCATCTTCAGGTTCATAGTCCTGATCAAAGGCTTCTTCCAAGTAAACTTGTTTGGTGTCATCCACTCCTGCGATTTGATTGCCATCTTGAAATGTCTCCAAATCTCTCTTCTTATCGAAAAACTTTGTGGAAGTAACACCTTTGGCGGCAGCAGCCCAAGCTTCAACACACTGGATTACTTGGTCGGTAACAGGTAATACGACAACCTTGGGTTGGGAAATCATCTTCTTAGTATTGAGGTTGAGCACTCGGTGCCCAGTACATTGTCCCTTTGTAGGTTCAATGTAAATCGCTTCGATACTTTGCGGTTCCATCAAATTGTTGGAATCCGTCCCAATTGCATGAACATATTGTCCAAGTTCAGCAACCATGTCACTCATGTAGTTGATATTGACATTATCAATGAGTTGCTGCAGACTGAAATGTAATGAGATACTGTCTTTCTAGGGAAAGACATTCAATAGCTCGGCGGCTTGACGTCCAAGACATTCAGTGATCACCTTTGGGACCACTCTGTAGGGTAAACGTGCAAGAGCTACTCTGACTCTTTCTTTCAGCGTCCTATTGTTTCGCTCAGCGGTAGGCTTGTGGTCCCCAGCTGCAGCCGGGTCAATAGTAACACCCATACCCTCTAGCATATCATCCGTTAGAGGAATGAATGCCCAATCACACTTGATTGTCTTGACTTGAACGCCTGCCTTGTTGTAGCGGCGGAATATCTTATCCAATGCGTCAAATACAGGGTCAGTCTTCAGGTTCTGCATGTGAATACATGAGCGATAACGCACAGTGCTATCAATGCAGGTGAGAAACTTAGCATTCTCGATCTCCATGTGATCAATACAGACGGTAATAGATCGATTATGTTGATACAATTCCTCTTGTGGACTGAAGAAGTCATCGTGTGTCTTCTTTGGAGTTGGTCTTGTTGACTTGCCTTTTAATGTAGATGCCTCAGGTCCAAAGATTGCTTTGGCATGATTGATCGCTTCTCCAGTGATAGGACAGTTCTTGATGAGACCAGATTGGATCGCATACTTCAGACTTTTGGTGCTTGGAGCATTGAGTATGTGCATCGCACTTCTTGCTTCCATCGCAGCCTTGACTTGTCTTGGAGTGAATCCTTACTTGTTCTTTCAAACAGTTGCCATCTTGGGGGTCATCCTGAGTCCAGCATATCCATTCTGTTTGTTTGAAGAAAGTTCGAAATTTGGTTGATTATTTAAGTTGCTTAACTGGCGACGGTACATTGCACTTGTCTCTTTGGCAGCTGGTTCGACATTTGCTCCAAGTTGCTCCAACACATACACACCCTTACGATTCACAAATTGCATCTTTCTGTCTCCATCACAATGCACAATAAAGGCATTGTCAGCATCAGTATCCATAGTAATGCGGTATCCCGCAGCAATCATCTCGCGCATAGCAAGTACATTGGCAATTCCATCTTCATTGTGATAAACTGGAGGCGGAAAACCTTCTTCGTCGAGAACTCTGCTGCCCACGTTGGTGTGCAAATCGAGCTCCTTCTCAGCATGACGGAGTCCATGCATGAGTTCACCATTACAAATGGTGGTGTTGGTACAACCACTGTCCATGATGACATGATTGTACAATCCAAATGGGTCTCTTTCTCTTCTGCAGCTTTGAATAAACTGCAGACCTAGATCTGCCTCAGTGGGAAGATCAGGCAAATCTTCATCTTCACCAGCATAGTACCAGCCGGCTTGAAGTTCGACATTTGTCGTACCAGCAGGACATGGAATAAGATAGACATCATTGCCATTCTCATCCTTTCCCTTGATAGCATTGTGGAAGACATTTGACGTATCGTAATAGCCGGTCTTCACGACCTGCGGAGTTTGAGCTTGAGTTGCATCAAATCCTTGGCGCACTTGAGCAACACTGAAGCCTTGATGGCCAAGTTGCATTCCACTGAACGCAATTTCACCATTAGCATTCATTGAGTAAGGGACAGTCAAAGTGCCGCCACCTTGAGTTGGAATCTGCATGAGCTGCATTCCCAAAGGAACTTGCATCATCTGATTACCTGTAGTACCAGCAAGCCGCAAAGGTGTGTTAACGCTTCCCGCAACGCTCGATGCTCCACTTGTGGATGCAGAAGCTCCAGGAACTATAGCTGGAACAGTAGCTGGGAGAGTTGCTCCAATCTGATTCAGATTGAGCTTCTTCCCATAGTCAACATATTCATCAGGATGCTTCCATTGAATCTTTGGTAGCAGTCTGTCTGGGCATTTTGGAGACATATGGTCTTCGTTGCCACATACATAACATGCTGCCTCCTTCTTTCCATCCTTTGGTTTATTTTCCCTGTACCTTTACCTTCATTAGGTTGGTATTTTTCTTGGTACAGGTTCGCTCCCGGATTTTTAATCACATCCATGTGAATCTTCAACATATCTTGTGCTTTGCTGACCGTCTTTGGATAGTATTCCACTTCCCTGCAATAGTTCGTCTGAAGATCCAGCATTAGAGGAGCTGTTCTTGTTTGATCGCAGTTGCACAGAAATCCTGTTGCAAGAACGGCATCTTTGAACTTGTCTTGATCAGCAGTATCGGTGCTAGCAATAGCAGCATACGATTTTGTCTTGACCGCAAAATTTCAGAACCAGGCAACGCCATGTAGATCTTGCAGGACTTCAGCATGTCTCAAGAATTGTTCCTTGAAATGCATCAAGTTTTTGTTTGTTCCTTGCTTCATCGCAAAGCACTTTTGGTTGGCTTCCCAGAAATCCAAGAAGTCATACTCAGCATCAGCACTCTTCTTCATGAATTGTTCAATATGTTTCAAGAGTTTGATTGGATCTTCAAGAGTAGTCGTGAAATTGGCTTCACCTTGAAGCTTGATATCCATTGCCTTTGTCACAAACTTCAGCATGACATTTGATTTGACGGTTCTCTTGTTTGTCTCAAAGTAGGCTGATCTTCTTATGGTCTTGTCAAGCTTTGCAGAATAGAGAATCTTGTTTTGGGCCATCTCTGTTTCTCTTGCAACAGCTTCAGTTTGAGTTGGAGCGTTCAATCTTGGAGCAATCGCATTGAAGTCAATCGACTTCCCATTGCAAATCGATTTCACCATGTCTTCTGAGCACTTCATTCCCAAAGCTTGGATGTAGTCGATCACTCTTTCTTTGGCATCTTCGTACAACGATCTTGCCTTTCCATCTTTTTCACCTTTCGTTGAAAATAGATGTTTCACAACTGTTAGACTTGGATTGCTCTTGACTTTCTGAGGAGTCACAAGTCCTCTTCCACCACCAGATGAAGAACGCCCCATCGTCAACGAATCACTCACTCCTTTGTAGATTGGGCAGTGCTGTTCTTGACGTAAATTTGTTTTGTTGCCTTTTGTGATTGAATGTTAGAATAAAGCAAAATGTGCTCTATCGTGAGTGCCTTTAGAGCTCAGATCAAACTCTCTGCAATCTAAATTTGAATCGACTGTACACCACTTTCACAACAATAGTTCTCCTGTGTTAGGTATACTTTGAGTGAAATTGTTCCTATTTGATTAACGTTTGGCTTGAATTGATGATTCAATCACAAAAGTGAGTTCAACGATTTTCCCTTGGAAAACCCATTCTTTACGGAACTCAATTTGACTTCTACGAGGATTCTGTGTTGGATTCAGTACTTTGGGACATCTTGTATTATTCCCTACTGGATCGAATTCTGACATCACAATCAAAGTCCGATTGTGCCTTTCAAATCTTTGTGCTTGAATAGTTTTCTTGGAACGTAAAAAAACTCATATCCCAACACCCACCAACCTCAGGAGGCAACATCCCCTCCCTCTTCTGTCATTGAGCTATAGCATCAATCCAGTGACATGGCCTTGTCCGGCCCTCATGGCTGGGTCCCTGAGTCCATCACTATTGATGGCAGCAAAGTTTGTCTCTGGTCCAGCCTCTCCTTGCCGGTACTCTTTGTGTCATGAGTGACGGCTCTTACAAAGCTAAAGTGGGCACAGCCTGCGCACAGATTCTCACCACCGACCGGACCAACATCATCTGGATCACTTGCCAGACCCCTGGCAGCTTTGATGATCAGAGCTCCACCAGTAGCAAACTCATCGGCCTTCTGCCCTCCCTCATGGTGCTCAAGTGGATGGCTCAGATTGCCCAACTGAAACTCTTTGCCAGTCACTGTTGGATATATTATGATTTTCAAAGTAAAAGATGTGGACTGATACAACTAGAAATATTGCGCGTGGCGAGTCAGAAAAAGGATCATATTTCTATGGAAATCCTATTGATGATGTAAGAAAGCAAGATCCAAGTAGGATCCAAAGTTGGATACTAATCAAAGTACCGGCTACAGTGGAAGGTGAATGGATAGACAAGGTGAACGGATAAACAAGTTGAACTTGCAGCACATCAGGCTGACAAAGAGAGAATTCTGAGAATTTCCACTGAGCTGGAGAAGAAAGAGTCAAAGTCAAAAATTGACAGATTGTTCTCAGTTTTTATGATATAACACAAGCAACGAGTGAATTGGTTGATAAAGTAGGGTCTCTGATAGATCTATATACTCCTATATACTGTAGATTCATATACTTAGAAGGCAACAATACCTGGACAGCTAAATTGCAGTCAATTGAACATGTAGATTGCAGGCAGCAGTGGATCGCTTCCTTCTAAAATATTATAAAAAGTCACTGAATCAAATTGGGGGTCGATATATTCCTACGACTTGAAAGAATAGGAACTTGCTCATGATTAGTGGTAGATTTCAGAGTTCTGGATGTGGTTTCAATGGAAGAAATGCTGGACAAAACAGTTTGCTGCAAGGCCAAGGTAATTGTCAATATAATATTCAGTCGAAGGAAAACCAGGAGTGGTAAATCTTCTGTTCAGGATGGAATAAAAATGAGACCAACCAAACAATAATCACAGTCAACCAAGGTATAACCAACAATACCTGAATTGAAACAAACTGAAGTACACCTCGTTAAAGAACAGGAGTGCGATGAGAAAAAGGAAAAAGTCAAGAAATTGAAAGGTTCTTTGAATGAAATAATTTAAAAAAAAGAGTCGAAATATCATCTACTATTCCAACAGGTTGGAAGTGACAAGAAAGCCAAATATGGAAGAGATGAAGCAACTCTGATCGCACGATTCATGCAACAAATCAAGGATAAAATCCAAAATGAAGGAGCATCGTTTATCCAACAATACTACCTGAATAAGGGACTGAAAATATTCAAAGAAGAAGGTGACAGAGCTGTGATGAAAGAGCTTGATCAATTGGTACAACAAGAATGTTCGGAACCAATTCATGTTGACGACATGACTGATTTGGAAAAAAGAAGAGCCCAAGATGCTATGATGTGATTGGCTGAGAAAAACACTGGTGAAATAAAAGGAAGATGTGTCTACAAAGGAGATGGAACTTGAGAATGGCTATCTTGATAGGATACGTCAAGTCCAACTGTAGCATTGGAAGCAACTATGATCACATGTGTGATTGATGCGTATGAAGGACAAGATATGATGTCTTTGGACATTCCAAATTCATTCATCCAAACTCAAATACCGATTGATGTAAAATTGAGAGTGACAATAAAGATCACTGGATTATTGGTCAACATGATGATACGACTGGGAAGTTCAAGGAAAATGAATGGTGTAACACACCAGCAAGTAATGATTTATTATCAATGGGAAAAGGAGAAAAATTGTATGATGAGAAACGTGAAAGATTTCACACATTCATTGCCAAAGGATTATTTCTGAGTAAGATAGCAAGATTGGATATTGCGCCAACTATTTCAGTGCTTTTGACAAGAGTACAGAAACCAAATCATACGGATTGGAAGAAGCTAGTGAAGCTGATGTATTATCTGAATGGAACAAAGGGAATGCACCTGATGTCAAATGGTATATTGATGCATCATTTGCAGTTCATCCAGATTTCAGAAGTCACACTGGAGGTTTATTGACTATGGGTGAAGGAGGACTACAAATAATCTCAAAGAAACAGAAGTTGAACAGTGGAAGCTTGACAGAAGCCAAACTGATTGGTGTTGATGATGATGCAACACAGATATTGTGGACAAAATTATTTGTGGAAGCACAAGGTTATCCTGCTAAGAGAACATCCCATATCAGGATAACAAGAGTTCTATTCTATTGGAAAAGAATGGACGTGATAGTGCTGGAAAGCAAAGTCAAGCTTTGAACATTCAATATTTCTTTATGACTGATCAAGTCAAGAAAGCAAATGTGACTACTGAATATTGTCCAACTGAAAAGATGTGGGGAGATTTCATGAGCAAACCTCTACAGGTTCAAAAATTCTTGGAACTCAGACCATTGATCCAAGGAGAACAAGTTTAGGAGCAAAGCAATTTCCTTTGATGTTCTGTTATCATCAACCATGTTAATGAAACAGCAGGAGTGTGTTGGATATATTAGGATCTTCAAAATACATATTTGGAGAAACGAGAAAAAGAGAATAAATGTGAACGATAGAGAAAAGATGTGGACTGATACAACTAAAAATATTGCACGTGGCGAGTGAGAAAAAGGATCATATTTCTATGGAAATCATCCTATTGATGATGTAAGAAAGCAAGATCCAAGCAAGGTCCAAAGTTTGATACTAATCAAAGTACCGACTACAGTGGAAGGTGAATGGATAAACAAGTTGAACTTGCAGCATATCAGGCTGACAAAGAGAGAATTCTGAGAATTTCCACTGAGCTGGAGAAGAAAGAGTTAAGAGACCGTTTTGGAGAAAATCAGTTGCAAAAATGACAGACGGTTTCAGGGGAGATTTGCGGGTAGCTGTATTGATTCTGGGGGGGGAGAACCCGTTATTTTGATTGCGTAGAATATGTACCAAGCCTGAAGTATGTAGAATATGCTACCTCATTTTCGTACAAATGATGGGATTTAAATAGTTGTTATTATTATGAAACCAGCAGCCCGCGGGTCACATTTTCACAAAAACTCCAACCACTAACGGCATGATGGCATTCAAAACGTGTTCGAAACGTCTACAAGTCTCAAAACAATCACAGCAACATTAATCTTTTATATTTATTGATGTAGTTCACCCTAATCTTAGCCAGCTGCAAGAAACACATGATCAGATTGTCATTGTTCCTCTTGATAATACTTCTTTTCAAACCATCATAAACCATCATCATGGGGAGGAATACTCCATGCGAGTCCAACTCTTGTTTGTGGAAATTCCCAAGAAAGAAAACTTGAGAGAAGATATATGTCCAATGTGCAAGGAGTTGGATGGGAAAACTCAGTTTTACTTGGCCAGTCACAATATTGCACACAAAGGTGTCTGCCACATTTTGCACCCACATCTTTGGCAAGCGACCAAGGAGGATCCATCCAATCCAAGTGAGAACCGTCGTCAAAAGCGAAATCGTACCTTAACAGATCAATACGAAGCTTGTGCATTGAAAGGAGCGCACCAAATGATGTGCAATCGACCTGATGCTGCTCTATCTGCTTGATATTTGTGTATCAAGCTTGAATGGAATGGCGGTAAAGAGAGCAAAGTTGATTGACTTGAATTTGGACAAATCTCGCATTGATGCCATGATTTCTGAAGGTTCAGATCGCATCGAGATGTTCACTGTAAGTATTGCAGCGTCTTGGGGAAACAACCTGCGTGCAGAGGCTCGAAGAGGAAGAGTTTGCCCGAATCCAGGAACTTGCAGCCTCTGAGAATGACTAGAAGTGAAAATTTTGAAACAAAAAGTCACAGTTTAGAAAGCGGCTTAATTTTTTGTTGCTATTTAGTTTTTCTTGAAATATTATGGTTTCAGTAGGTTGTTGCCATTGCATAGAAGCTAGATCAACCTTTTCAATTCAAAAATGTAGATGTTGTTACATTGTTATGGACGTTATCGTCATTGTGACTTTTGGTGTGCGTGTCCCCAAAATGTGACTTTTTTTGTGGAAAACCGTCTCTTAAAGTCAAAAGTTGACAGATTGCTCTCACTTTGTATAATATAAAACATGCAACAAGTGGATTGGTTGATAAAGTAGGGTCTCTAATAGATCTATATACTTCTATATACTGTAAATTCATATACTTAGAAGGCAACAACTAAATTGCGGTCAATTGAACAGGTAGATTGTGGATCGCTTACTTCTAACAGTCATCCCTCCGTTGAGATGCCCTGCAACGGCCTTGTTGCCTTGGATAATGCCTTTGCCAAAGCCCACCTGTCCTCTTCTGGCGCTCAGTTTGACCTTGCCTCTACCATCCGGGCCCTGCTTTGCACCCTTCCCCTTGAAGTCCTTCTGCGCCACATCAAGGGACATCTGGACAAGCACCTACCCTTCTCCCAACTGGACTGGTGGGAGCAGAGAAATGTGGAAGTTGACGCCAAAGCCCAGGCCTACCGTTGTCTCCTGGAGTCCACGGGTTGATCTGCTGCCTCCAACCCACGCTTCTTCAACAAACCTGTGGTTCTCTTCACTGATGGCATCAGGTCGTCTCGCCTGGACAAAGCTCACATCATGGAGCTAGTCTCCCTTCCGGCCCTTCACAAGTATTGGTCCACAAAGGACCGCTTCTCTGAGCAGTCCATCCCTGAGGTCGATTGGTTGTCCCTTGCAAGAGGCATGAAGGCCCTCCCCTTCAACGCTGGACACCCAAGCATATCTTGGGTATGACAGGTGTGGGAAAATTCTTAGCCATCTGGAATCCTTTGGCTAAGAGCTCTTGTCCCCAGTGCACTTCTTGCCCAGTAGAAGATCACCTCCATGTCCCTTGCTGCCCCGCACCGACCGCAGCTGCTGAATGGTCCAATCGTCATCTTGCCTTCCGGACCTGGATGCAAACTCAAGAGACCTCTCCAGAGATAGAGGCCTTCCTGTTCGGCTACCTGAAGACCGTCCGTTAACATAATAATATTTTATTATGCCCATCCGACGTAAAATCTCAGACAGTCACGGCAAGTGCTTCCTTGCAACCCGCCGGCGTCATCCAACGGATGCTATAACTATATACCGCACGATCAATGTCTGATCCAAGATTTTTAAAATCCAGCCGAGTGGAGCTACAAGTAAATTGACGGCACACCTTGCGCCAGCAGTCATCATTCACAGATCGTAGAGCCAATGTCATTGGTGACACGTGTCACAATATCCGATGATCAGGCCGGCTTGCGTGATCCCTTGCGTAAAGAAAAAACTTGCAACAACAAACAAGACACAAAAAACATCATCACCACAATAAGTTGCTGAAAGCTATCCCATTGCCCGCAGCATAGTTGCTCAACTCAACAATCTTCTCTCTCCACCACTAGTCTGTAGCGACATTTCCAAACTCCTCAGAGACAGGTTCCTCCATCCACTTGTGCACAGTCTAGCTTTTTACACATCTGTTTTTCATTTGCATTGTGCGGAGTGACATACAGTGTGTAACTAGGAAAGTTTTTTTGTGTTGTGTCTTGTCCTTGCCTCTTGTAGGTTGGGGGCTTGGCGCGGTGAAGTACTATGATGGCAGGATTGTCTACAGGTAGGAACAATGGTACTGCTGGCAAGGGTCGAAGGAAGAAGAAGGGTTAGGGCAGGCTAATAGTTCAATATTCCAACTACATTTGCGTTAGGAAAATTTGTAAACAAAGACAAAGAGCGACAAGTCTACAACCTTGCTGATATCTTTCTAAAGCATTTGCCTACAGCTTGTCCTTTTCTTACAGAATACACTGGCTACAAGACCTAGTGGAAATGTATCCTCGAGGTACTGCAAAAACCCAAGAATCATCGGAGCGAGAGTATTTCCACCGCAGTGAATAATGCTGGAATTCTCCTGCCTCCTGATGTGCAGCAAGCTTGGCTGATACAACAACAGTGTATCAACTTTGGCGAGACAAAGCTATCAGGGTCCAGCCAGTCAAGGTGTTTGCTTCTTGTTTGCTTCTTGAGAGTGTGGAGTTCTAGTCCTATCCTACAATGTTGACCGTCACTTTGACCAACCACTGGCACTGCCCCTTGCCAAAGAAAACCTTCATGTTGCTTTTAAATGATTCCTGGTCCACAGTTATATGGCACCATGATTCCCAGGCAAGAAACCAATGAATTGCCTCCATCACCTGCAGGATCATCAAATGTGAAATGATCAAACTCCGCATGCCCTCCTACTCCCCCATCAGTGTTGCTTATTGCTTTGTTTGTGCTTCACACCAATAGATTTGATACAGCACTGTCTTGTCCCCAACATTAACTGTGATTGTTCTGTCTGTTTCATTCCAATTTTTGAGCATCTACTTTTCAATTTGTACTCATCATGATGATATGGAGCGGCATCAGCCTTATACAGGGTGACAAGTCTTGTTGTTGTTTGTTGTTTGTACATAGGTCTTCTTCTTCCATGAAGTACTAGAACGTTTCCCATCATGAGAGAGTATCTCAAGTAAATTCGACTAGTTGAGATCATGGAATTACTATGCATGTGGATGGGAACGTTTAGACCTTCCATCAAGAGGCCACTGCAACAGCCTGTTGCTCTGTGTCTTCTGGTGGATGCCCTCCCCACAGCAGAGAACTTGCAAGAAGGTGGCTACTAGCCAATTCTTGCAGCTTGTAGAAAAGAGTCGGAGAGGGAGTTGAAAAACAAGCATGCTTGCAATATCTAGTACTTGCAGCTCTTTTGTTCTGTCTTCATGTTTTGGAACTTTGATTCAGCAGCTGCCAACTTCTGCTTTTAAAGTAATCCTGAAGAACAGGGTAAAGTAGTTTTGGACTTCAGTGAATTACCCACTTCTTCAGTGAGAGAAAGCGCGTCAACACCACGGATGAGGGTCAGGGAAAGGCGTGAGGTGTGCCGGCGATTTACTTGTAGCTCCACTCGCGCACTGGGTGCTTGCTCTGTCTATAGCCCGAGATTCAAAGCCCAAACGCATTCGATTCGCAGAGCATCATCGTCACGCGACAATAGCAACGCAACAAAACAATTCTTGTACCTCATTCACAACAGACGAACATGAGCCCTTCCAAGTTTCGAGGCATTGTCAATGACGAAAAGAAGCTTTTGACAGAATTGTGCGAGAAATGGGAAAAAGTGCTCACCATTGAGTCCGAGTCTACGGCCGATGAAGCTGCCACCAATAAAGAAGGAAAAGAAGTTCCAACAGGCGAAGACGGTCCTCCCAGTTCCAGAACGAGATCCAAGACGCAAGCGACTGGTACTAACAATAATAATGCTACCGATGTTGAAGGAAATATGGACGCATCAAAACCCGCCACCGAACAACAGTCATTACCAGACCAAAAGACTAAGCCAGCCGTCGTCATACCTGTGGAAGATGAAGAACTGATTGGGCTTGTCCGTGCCACGACAGGACAAGGTCGTATGCTCTTAAGACAGCGATTTGTTCAATTCGAAAGCCTTATTGATGATGCGGAGAACAAAACTAGTGAGAAACCTATTCGCGACGACGATTTGCAAGGATTCTGGGATATGATTGGCTTTCAGGTAGACGACATGAAGGAAAAGTTTCAAGTGTTGGAACAAGCGGAAGCTAACGATTGGAAACTAGTACCGCCCGAAACGAAAAAGGAGCCACCGAAAGTAGCGTCCAAACCAAAGGCTGTGAAACCCTCGTCGAGTACCGGGAGCAATACTAGTAGAATCAAGAAAGCTGCCCCAACCAGTGGGATGAAAGATTTCATCGCCCAGAAGAGGCGAGAAGCTGCTGCTGCGAGAAAGAAGCAACTGCAAGAAGAAGCAGAAGCGGGGAACTAGTACAAGGTAATCTATTTTATCCTATTACTTTTAACAATAGGGGGGGAAATATTAATAATACAATTGTCATGTGATTCAAATCATGTGTTGGTCTTTTATCAAAATACGAATACACTTTGCGGGCCAAATAACTATGACCCAGGATAAAAATAACTCATACAAGAAAAAAGTGGCAAGCAACAACGAACACTACTTCATCCCAGTGTGAGTACAGCAGTAATCGAAGCAAGCGCAATGGTCCAAATACCCCCTGGATTCCCCTTTTGTATGCGAGTACTTGCTCCGCTGCTTGTTGCTTCATTTCCAGCCAGAACTGGTGCTTTATTGGCTTCCCCCTTTGATGATTGGAGTGGTGCGGTGATCCCGTTGCTGTTTAGTCGACCAGGATGGTCGATAGAAGCATACCGATCAAGATAGTATGGGCCACGATTGCCAGCGTCCACTTGACGACCAATCCCATTGACAATGGACCGAACGATTCCTGGACCACTCAGATTACGAGTCATGATATGTTCCAAAACAATACCGCTACGTCCTTTGGGTACCGAAAATCCTTGTTCCGTAATGATATCTGGATTGTTTCGATTGTAGCAATATACACCACCTCCCAATAGGTAGTGATTCTGGACAGCGTCACCAACTTTATAGGCTTCGTAACCCAACATCCCCGAGGGTTGGGTCCACTCGCTCTGCGACGGGGGTTCGTACGCCAATTCACTCTGAAACATGTACACCTTTCCATTGTCCCCATTCCAGATTAAATTGTGTTGTTGGAAATGTTCCACGAAGAGCCCCATGGCAATCACATTATTTCCGTTCACTATGGCCCCGTTGATACCAGTATTCGTCCGCCAGCGTTCGTTGTCCCCGCCATATCCATCCGATTTGTCAAAGTTTTCAATTCCTGCAATGACCATACGACACAAAAAAAGAAAAAGGGATGGAAACAAGGGAAGTTAACGACCAGCACGTATGGCAATAAGCATTCCATTTCACAGTTGACAGTCACACTTCATTGTAGAAACTCACCATGATCGGCTCTCCAAATCCAAGTATGATCAATCAAGACATGATTCGCATTGATCTCCAAAGCAATGTTTGACTTGCCCACATATGGTCCACCGACTCGAATGTAAACATCTGATAGAGTTATGGGATGTGCTGGATTGCTCGTTGCAAGCGAGGGTTGCGATTGACTGCGATCTCCAATTTGAATGAGGATCGGCGAAACAGCATCTGGTCCAGCATCGACAGTGATCCCCGCCAAGACGATTCCTTCCGAATCAGATGTTTGTAGTGGAAGTACTCCATTTCGTGCTGTCAGCGTTGCATGGCCCAATCCCAACACCACGGTGTGAGCTCGTTCCACTCGAATCGTTTCGTAAATGTCGTACACACCAGGAGTAAATAGCAAATGCTTGCCCCGCTGCAATGCCTGACGATATTCTTGCGGCACAGTAGAAGGAGTTGCAATGAAAAAATCTTGGAGCGGCAGCAGCTTTCCAGGTGTTTCGCCCAAGTTCCAACTGACGCCACGAGTATTGGCGACTGCTGACGGAACAAAGACTGCCATTTTCCCATCTGCCTGACGAACCAGAAATGGTTTCTCTCGATTGATGGGAGTGTCCGGTACCGTCGAGACTGGTGGATCCGGAAAGGTAGCATCCGACAAGACACCAGTGGACCCGAGAAAAACTTGATTCCAAACTGACCCCGACCACCCGTTTCGAACCTCAATGTTTCGTGAAATCCACTGTTGTTGGGATCCATTTTCAATTGCCCCTTGGACAAGGGTGTCGGCCATGAACCCGCCACTAGCAAAGGCTGGATTGGTACAAAAATCCATGAGACTGAGCTTGCCGCCCACGATCGAAACACGGCGCATGGACGAAGCTTGTGAGACGGCCCAAAAGTTGGCTTGTCCTCGACAAAAGTCTTGTTGGGGTGGAGTGATGATGTTAATTTGAAGATTGGAAAGGGATCGCCAAAAGTTGTTGAGGGCAATGCAATGTCCCGACCCATCAGTAGGGTTGAACTCTCCCTCGTCAAAGAATTCGTCCGGTTCGAAGCATCGATTGTAGACTTCAATCTTGCCAAAGACTACTACATCTCTCGGATTGGCACCAAGCCCCGCCACTTCGGTATAATATCCCACTTGCACTAGCAATGGTTCTATAACACTCCCATACGTTCCGGGCGCAAAGTAAATCCCATATCGCTCCGATCCCATTTCATTATTGACTTGTTTGTTAAAGACGGAATCAAACAAGAATTGAATTTCAGCAGTGGTCCAAGAGGAATCAATCATGTAAACATTCGGACCCAAATCGTTGTCGCTGTTTTGATTGGAAGCAAAAGGCGGCAGCAAGGGTGTTACCTGCGGTGTCGGAGAAGGAGCAGTAGGTCTCTCAAATATATTGTCACCAACAGTCTCCGGCACATCATTATCATCACAACAATCCATGTAAAAGCCATCGACTTTTGACGGACAACATTCCACATCCACATTGGGACAGTTCGAATGACTACTGCAAAAAGCGCCATTGCTGGATGTGATGGTAGTAGTAGGAGTGGGTGTAGGACGCCGAGTGGGCGGGGGTATCGGTGCTGGGGTTGGTGCCGGTACTGGAGGTGCAACCGTGTCCACCAATGCAGAGTTGCAGCAATACTGAAAAAGGAACCAATAGACAAGTAGACAAGAGGACAGATCGAAGACAGTGTGAGAATGAATGAATGAATGAATGAATGCGAATGAATGCGAATGAATGCGAATGAATCAAGCAGAATACGCGAGTAGATGTATACGTTATTGTGACTCACCAACATGACATTGTTGTCGGTTGGACAACAGTTCCCCGCCAGTTGTTGACATGCCGAGTATCTGCTGCATTGTGCTGTACCAGCACTGGTCCTTCTTGCTTCCAGATGCAGAGGCTGCCTGGGGCTTATTGTGCCGGCAGCAAAAGAAGAATTGCTCGAGGACTCGTCGTTCAAGTCCGACAATTGCCGAGTATTCATGTCTTCGGCTTTAGATGGCACAGATGGCATGGATAACAGATGAGTAGACGGTGCTTCAGTTGTATGTGAATGGCATGTTGCTATTATGCACACGTGAAGCATTAGTAGCGCTAGCAATAACGAGGGGGAGGACACGGAATTCATGAGATTCTCCTTTCTACGTTGGTCGTCGTTATGATATTATATTGTGATGAACTCAAGAGTTGGAAAATTACTGCGTTGTTCACAGTAGAGGATCTCTGGCAATTGACTTATTCTTTCTAGCTGTCGTAATGCCTTATCTTCTCTGTTTTTCACTACGAGTATACAGCGTCTTTGATATGTTATTGTCACTGGAATGAATCTACGGTTGTGCAAGATGTGCAGTATTATTCATTCTTCCTTCCGTTCTCCTGACCGGGAAATGCATGTGACTCAAGCCCATCCTATCCAATTTTTTCGAACCCGCGCAAATAGGCGTCTCGGTCCATAATTAGAGCATGCCAAACGGTGTGAAATACCGTTTTTCTCCCTAATTGAAGCAAGTCCAACGATGAAAATACCGAGGCTGGCGGCTCATGAATAACGGGATCAGTTTCGCAAGCCATGCAACTATTATTATATTTTATGGCTGATATTGAATATTGTCATATATTCCGATATAAAATTATATGCCAATGCATGGATGGCAATATGTTGCGATGCACACGAGCATGCCCTTTATTGCATTGGATCAGGACCAGGACCAGGAGCATGACCATTCATTCTTCATGGTGCCAAACAAGTACCAGTACCAGTACTGAAAAACAAACAGGAAGATTTATCTAGTAGATACACATCAGCCTTATTGTGAATCATGCTGAGCTGTGAAAGCAAGATTGCGATTGATTATGAATACGGTATATGATCATGACCAGCATCAAGTCGTCATCTTTTTGGAATCGGCATGAGATATATTGGAATTGTTAGGGCAGTTGGTGCTGACGGAGCACTTGAACCCGACTCCATTAGGCTCTCAAATTTCAAGAGAGGTTTCCTCGCCGGATCTTGAGAAAATTGAACCAATGGACAGCTCTATAGATGAACAATGAAGCATATCAGTTTTCAACGAATGGATATTCCCGACATCCTGGATGATTGCTCTAGTGTAAGCAATCATTGGGTTTGGAAAGAAGATTTCAAATACCAAGTCATCGGAATACAATGCGAAAATCAATACCGTCTGTTGCCCACGCGCAGCCACATGAGTGAAGAATCGATACCCGACTTGTGCAAATCTGTCTTTATCTATATACCGTGCAAATCTGTCTTTATCTATATAATACCGTATACGCCAGATAGTACGGTACAGGAACGATAAGTAAACTTCCAGTGATCAAAGAGTCAAAGACTAGGAATATCTAATTCTCTAATGGTAGCTCATTATGGTGATATATAACTTTCCTATCGTAATACTTCCCTCATCACTCATTATATTTATCCCCATAGACCAGAATCTTCACATCGCTTCATGTGATACTCTGCTTCTTCCGTGGACATGTGGGACAAGGCACTCTCCAGCATGGTCATGTCTTGCATTTCAAATGCTTGCTGCATCAAGGGAGGCAAAGATTGCCACACTTCCATTGGATCCAACCCACCAGGACCTGCCGCTTGTTGCGGTTGCCATCCTTGTTGTTGAAGTTGCGCAACTTGCTCTTCTGTCCACCACAGTCCCGAATTGATGCATCCGTCCAAATAATAGATAGCTTCTTCTTCTGGCATGGCTAGGAGACAAGATTCCAGTTTGTGAAAGTCTTGCTGTTCAAATGCAGCGGCCATTTCTGCTGGCAAGGCGCCAAATACTTCATTGGGATCATATCCACCAGGACCGAGTTCGTTCCAATTGACTTGAGCAAACATGCCTCTCAATTTACCGACGGTTTCACTGGCAAAGGTATATTCACTTAGCTTCAAACCCTTGGTCTTGTCAATCTCGTACTTGAACCTTCCTTCCAAAGCATAACTCTCTCGCTCGTCCGTGTCGTCGACCTGTATTTTAAAACAATAACATACCGGTACAACAATGGCGATGATATAGTGGCCATATATTAACAACAACAACAACAACAACAAGAATGAATAATATAATAGGAGTAATATAAGTAATAGTGTGAGGAATACGCACGGGAGATGAGATATATACATATAAATATACTCAAATGATATCCATAACGCACCATGTTGAAATATCCCACTTCTGCGTTGATTCCGAAACGAGTGGTGTGCGTGTGCGTGTGTGTGTATGCATCAGTGAGTCATGGCAAGAATGTGGTTCGTCAAAGAAACAATCTTATTCGTCGCTTTCATAATGGCATACCATCCATAAAAACAAGAAACAGTACATAGCAGTAAACAATTAAAAAAAACCAAGCTCACCTTTGTCACCCAATAATTCATCCTTATTGACAATAGTACCAGTAATGGCCACACTTTCGCCGACCATGGTCAAATCACCTTTCAATTCTCGCATAATCTCAAAGGAAAACTCTCCCATGTCGCTGCCCTTCTTGCCCGTACCAAAGACACGACGAATCGTCATTTTAAATTGATCCGTTCCCTCCTCGACGAACCATTGACCTTCTACATAGTCTGGCACTGGACCGTCCGTCTTGCCAAAGTCCACTTGCCGATCTTGCATGAGGTAGACTTCCGTTCGGGAGGATTCTCCATCTTCCGCTTCCTCCAGCTGATAAAACTTGTCTTCGCATCGAATGCCATAGAGCTTGGAAAAAGAGGATGATGATGAGGAAGATGATGAGGATGAGGAAGATGAAGAAGGAAAGCAAATGTTGGAGTGTGTGGCAGAATAAGAATAATAGCAATCATCAGACGTTGATGATTGGGTATTCGAATAATGTGACGTCGTAATTGGTGTTCCGATCGGTAGGAAAGATTCCACAGCTTGCCACAAATGACTGGCGCTAATTAGAAGGATATTCAATAGGATAACACTTGAAGGGTTCATTTTGCCTGTTCCTGTTGGATGTCGGCTCTTTCGCTGGTGGAGTACCGGTATACTGTTGACTATACTGTGATGATGGTGATGATACTGATGACGTTGAAAAATTAAGTGTCACGGTACAATTAATATTCATACAGTATATATGGATCTGCATGCGCATTCTCGATGATAATGGCTGACGAACTGGATCGAAGAAGTCCATCATCTGTTCGACCCCTCCGACCTTGCAAGCTATAACTCCAATAATATTATGATTACTGCTGGCAACCTTATTCATGTTTCATACTCGAGTATGAATGTAATATAAATTATAATATCATCGATATAACATATATCATATCGCATCATCATCATCATCATCAAAACAGGATGGCAGCAAAGAACGAAAAGTATTGCAAGCCGAGGCATCTTTTTCTCATTTGCTTTCTCCTTTCCATGATCTCGTTTTCACACCTTTTGTACAAGCATTCGACTGTGCCAACAATAAACGGTTCCTCATCATCACCAGCATTATTATTACTATTATCAGATGAGCATGCATCACGCGGTCTTCCTGGTCTTGGTCATTTGAAGCCACCAAAGAATCCACGGTCCAAAACAAAGAGAAAAGATGAAGCCAAAGTCGAGACACGACACGAAGAAGCAGATGCGAACGCAAAGGAACAATCCAATCACGACAGCAATGGCAATATGAATACCAATACCAATACCAATACCAATACCAATACCAATACCAATACCAATACCAATACCAATACCAATATGAATACCATTGGCATTGGCATTGGCATCAACACGAATGCGTCCATTGTTTCTACGGCCACCAACAACTCCAAAGAGAATAAACGTTGCGCTCTATGCTTCTTTGGTCTTCCTCGATCGTATGCCACAATGGTCCTGCCGAGCATTGAAAAGCACATACTCAAGCCCAATGCCGATCATTTCTGTGACATTTTTGTACACTATTTCCATCAAACAAGCGAAGCTGCTGGTCGATACAACAATGGTGGTGAGATTAATCCAGACGAAATCTTGATGCTGCAACAGTCGGTGAAGAAATTGTACCAAAACTATACTACAACTACAACTTTGAATGGAATACGGCCCAATAAGTTGACCCTCTTGTTCACCAACGACACAAATGAAGCCTTTTTCGAAAAGCGAAGCTCCAAACTGCACCGATACCACACAACACTTGACCGCAAAGGTCACCAAGTATACTTTCCTTGGAGGAGTAACTGGGTGAATGCCAGTTTAGACAATATGATTCGACAGTGGCACTCGATCGAAGGGGCCTTTGGATTGATGCGTCGCTACCAAAAGATACATGACATTGACTACACGCGAGTCGCCATGTTGCGAAACGATGTTGTGTACTTGACTCCCATCGATATTATGAGAGTTGACAATGGGACTCTGGATACCAACAATGAATATTTTGTCATGGTAAATAATGATTGTTTGTTATGTTCAATATGCACCAGCAGCTGCGGATGATTGATTGATTGATTCATTCGTTCAATCAATCGCTATTTTTCTTTCCGGACAATAACCGTTCTCATCTTTGCTCTCTCTTTTTGTCTTTCTCTCTCTTACAAATAACAAATAGCCAAATTTCGGAAAGTACCCAATATGCGACCGAATGATATATGGGCCCTACGAAGCCGTCAAGGTATGGGCCAAGCAACGATTCAACTTGGTGGAACAGCGGATCAAGACCCAACATGACTTTGGATGGAAAATGCATTCGGAACGATTCATGAACTCGACCATTGTTCCTACGATTGAAGCTTTGGGATACAAGAAGAATCTGAATCGAGACATTTGCTTCTTTCGAGCTCGCACGGGAGAGATGCTCATGGCGAGTGACTGTTTCATGGCAGGCAGTGTAAGGGGATTTGTCAAAAATGAAACCAATATTCGAAAAGTGGTGGAGGATACGGTCGATCGAAACTGTTCGGACGTTATCATTGATGAGAAGGATACCAATATTCACGTCTTGTACTGCTAAAAAATTGATTGCGAGGCTGCGAGCATGATTGCTAATCATGAGCGTGGAAGATGACAGGATGAGACGCCTTGGAACACCGCCCGGCATGCATGGTCCAACAGTATGCACCCTTATTGCTTCAGGGTTGGGGTTAGGGAAGAATGAATCGGTATACCTTCAACAATGGATGGATCTGCTTCCGTCTACCGCCCATTCTCGAGAAAGAAAGACTCTTTCCAATCAATGGGTCGCAACCTTTCCACTGTTTGTATCGCTCATCAGATGATTTGGTTCCATTGCTATCGCAATGAATACTTATTCTGGTGCCCTCGCGTACTAGCTAAGCATATACTGTTTGAACTGACCGTTCGATATGGTCCGAACCATGCGTCGCACATATATCAATGCAAATGCCAATGCCATATTCCCACGGCTTGACAAAAAGTCCTACCATCGAATAATTAAGTCGCGATGATTCCCGACCAACTTCTTCGAGTCGTTTGCTGTTGGTGGTGGTGAAAAACTACTCATAGTTGCTGCAAAAGAAGATGGATTCTAGTCTCCTGGTTCTATACTCCAGTGTTTTGCTGTCATACCTCGCCATCATGGGGTACCTGGTACCTGGTATGAGTTGCGAGGTATTGCTTCTCTATATCTAATATTGTCTGTGCCAAAGTCTCAATATGAGTCAGTCAGTCGACCGCATGATGCTGGTCGAAGGAGTCGATATCATGACACCATCCGGGTTCCGACAATGCATGTCTCAACGGATGTGCGCGAGACAATCGTGCCAATATTAATCTTTCTCGATCATCACCATACCTCAAATAAGAACCTTCCATATTCAAACCTATATCGAATAAGACGTCGACCATGATGACCAATAGCTGGAGCATCCTACTCCCCTCCTTCCTTTTTACGACGGCATATGCAGCAATATACAATGATTGTGGTTCTGGCGATTATTACTCAAGTTTCCCCACCGATGTGACGTCTTGGAGTCAAGAAGAAGCAAGATCCAATGTGGCTGCCCTGTCCAAGTCGAAGCATCGCAATGTGGTTCCAAACATTGTGGTTCCGCTAGGCGAAAATGACATCTTTGAAGCACTCATGGCTTTGGATAATGGGAGCATGTACGGCATGGCCAACAGCACTGTCAGGCTCCTCTTCTCCATCGATGAGTTTGTGCCTGCGATTCCATTTAGCGGAACAGGCTGGCAGAAGGAATGGATTTGGCCACGTCGAAGGGCCATTTGCGAGAATTCTTTAGACTGCGTTGGAAAAGATTTGAGTGATTTGCACAACGTTCGACCGACGTCTCAGCTGAGTAAACTCGTCAGAGATTCCAAGTATTTTGCAAGTTGCGATCTCTTGAATCACGGTGGAGGTTGCATGTCTCCAGCTGAAGATGGGTCCAATACCACATGTAGTTGCAATCGTGCATATCAACCACCTGAAAGTCAACGAGGAGAAATAGCCAGAATTCTCATGTACATGGATGTTCGATATGATGGAACCGAGGAGGATTCCGAAGATCTGAGGCTGGCCGATTGTCCATTCAATGCTCCTTATGACTTTGCCTATCTCAGTCAAATGATCAAGTGGCACAATCAATATCCACCAAGCGAACAAGAAAAGATGCGAAACGAACTTGTATGTACTGATTATCAAGGAAACAGGAACCCGTTTGTCGACTATCCCGCACTAGTGTCCGTCATTTTTGGAGAACCATTGCCCGATCCAGCAGCTGGTCGTGAGAACTATGAAGTCTGCGACGAACTCACGACTAGCTCTCCAACCTTTGCACCAAATGAATGCGACATGATTGCCCCTGGAGACATTGTCTTTTTCATGGTCAATTCGGATGGTGGACCTGACGAAGTTGCCTTTTGGAATTATGAAGAAATACCCGGTGAACTGGAATTATTTCTTACGGACAGACCGTGGGATGGAAGTAGCTTTATTGGTGGAGCCAACAATGAAGAAGGAACTATCAAGGTAGGTTCAACCGACTACGGCCCTTTCCATCCTCGCAAGATTGTTCTCTAATATTTCAAACTTTCAGCTCGTGGTTCCGAGCGAGGGAATTGATGGTGAGACTATTATTGGATTTGGTGCTGGTAAACTAGGAGGTAGCTGGGCCCCTGAAGAAGGGACATTTTCACTGGCTCCGAATGGAGAACAAATCTTTCTCTACTGCATGGGTGCTCTCGGTGGCCCGGTACCTCTCGCATCTATAGCATATGGCCCCACAGCGTCACAAAATACCGTGGCCGATCGTCTCAAAGATCGAGGCGCTGTTATCATTGAGGGACCATTTCCTAATTGGATCTACAATGGGCCTACTGATACTTTGGAAAAGCTTCAGTTGCAAGAAGCGTCGAAGGATCCTGCCAATTGGAACGGTGGTGAAGGACGAGCCACACTTACATCGTCGGCTAACTCAGTGGGTCTGACGTTTGCCTTCCTTGGGCTGTTTGCTGGCGCAGTCTTAATATAGTTTAACATTGGTGCTGTACGGTATGCAAAACAAGAGTATGCCACTCGACAGATTATTCGATTATCCTCATCCGGGATCTGAATCTGATTCTTTGCCCATATCTCTACCGTCATTCTTGGTAGCCACAGCAAGGAGAGGCATCACCATTTTGCTTCGTCTAGATATATTGACAACTTTCTTTCCAGATTCTATTTTACAGTAGTAGTTTTGTAACAAGAGAGATGTGACATACGACCACATCGGTTAGTAACCCTGATGAGACGTTGTAGACTCAGAATATTCCGAGCCCTCGCTTTGTGTTTTTCGCAGTTCTTCCTCTTCTTCAACGCATATGAAGAAGGCGTCAAAAAAGTTCACGCACCCCCCTGCTTCTGTCATTGCTACACTTGCAGTCATATCCATCGTCTGAAAAGACTTGACCCTGTCGAATGCTTCCGGTTCCTTCTTTTTCCGTGTAGTCGGCTCTTTACTACTTGCTTTGGATTTTGGCAATATCTCTTTCTTCTCTCTTCGTTGGACTGGTATCGGATCAATAGGCCCGGCAGCCATGTAGCGGTCCTCATCTGGAAGTTCTACGGAACCATCATCTGCCAACGGGTCCAACGGAACAATACCCCGCGTCGCGATATCATCGATTGAATCCATAAACTCATCATTAAAAGATCTGTACTTTGCTGGAGGCTCATGTTGTTTTTTGTTCTTGAAGACTGATGAATTTGTCATGGTGTCTTCATCATACGGATGGACATTTCGATCGCAATGTATTACTACTGCCTCTTTCATGGTTTTTTTAGATGGTTTATTATGACAGTTTGGCAATTTTGAAAATGTGGAGTGACATGCGAAAAGAGCACGTGGCAATGAGGAATTTAACAAGCCGTTGAGCCAGGTTGAGCCAGGTTGAGCCGTTGAAGATGAATACATAGGAATCTAAGATAAGTGAACGGCGCTATAACGGGCGTCGAACAGTTTAGTAATATAGTCAAATAGTTTCCATTGGGATGGTAACGTCAAGGATAGAGGTCATATGCAGTAGAGCTGAAAGCAGTTTTTCTATGAATATTATTGGAATTTTGCTTTTCTTACATCCAACTAGCAAATGAAGCCTCGACAGTTATGGATATGGAACAAAAAAGTAGTCAAAGACGTCCAGAAGACTGACCATGAAGAGGTTTTCATCGCTTTCGCGCAATGTATAAGGGGAATACTCTGTGTCGGCAACAGTTGGAGCATAGGTTTCGAGTGTAGAACGCGTATATACTGTGTTCTCGTCCTCATCTATTTCCCCATCAGCATTGTGCTGACGAGTCGTGCCATAAGTGATGATGGTGCCGTCGTCAGGAGTGTCATGATCGGCAGCAATGAATCCGGGCCGTTGGCTTCGTTCATCATGTTGTACGGCATTCATCAACTCCATTTCATTCACTCCTAGTCGTTTTGCGTGGACACGGAAAGTCTCAATAGCCATCGCAACCTCTTCGTCCAGCGAGTTGGACTCTTCGGGGGTATCATATTTGTCGACTGAAGGTTGAAAAACATTGGCGGTGGTTCTTACTGGAGACTCAAATTCAATTTCGCTTGTTGGCCTGGATTGATAAAGAATGAACGATTCTCTTCGTGGTATCAGTTTTTGTAGTGACTTTGTTTTCAGGATCGGCTTGGGCATTGGTGTCCACTTCACCTTCATGGGAAGTTCCTTGGCCTTGATCTTTAGCGTCCTAATCGTCTTGTATGACCGCCGTCGCGCCACATCACGCCATCTGTCGTCTTGCTGTTGCGGCTCTTTTGGTACTTCATGTACTATCGGTTCCATTCCGATTGGGCGTACCAGTTCTTTTGCCTCCTCTTCCATTTGCTGTCCGAGGAAGTAATTTACCATTTTTTCTGTTGCTACAAAGAGTTCTTTCCACTGATTGTCGTCAATGTCCTTTGAATCTATGGGGTTCGGCTGGTAGTGAGCCTCATCTTTTATCCTCCGTGCTGTAGATGGGATCTTACGGCAGACTTCGTTCACCTCTAGCGTGGAGTACGAGGCATTATCCGATATGGTACTCCCGTCGTCACGTTCACAGATGGTACTGATCACCTCCATCTTGCTGTTTCTCTTGAACATTCGCCTCATCTTGGCCTTACGTGTCCGAAGCGGAGGAATACGATTCAAAAAATCATTCTCGGCCCGTGCAATAGTAATCGACGAGTTCCCGTTGTCGTCACAGTTTGGAAGCAGTTCGAATCCTGTCTCTTCCAGAATGGTTGGAGGTGCATCTCGTTCGTTGGATGAAAACTTGAGCTTGGAAGACACTTCATCTCGCATAGCCTTCAGTGAGAACTTTGAGACGTTGCTATTCCTTGATCCATCCTCATCCATATTGTCGCTGTTGAAGAAAAACCTGACCTTCTTTTGTCGTTCGTCGTCACAATTCTTCTTGGTGATCATGGAACCTGGGTGACCATCGTCGGCTTGACATTCCACAGCGACATTCGTCTTTGACATTCCTGTTGTTCGTATTGTGTTATCTCTCTGATAGAACTAACTTTGCTGAATGAATACTATAGCGTTGGAGGGAAACCTGGGAATTTCGGCGAGAGTTTCAACGGATCAATTCGTGACTGGAACACTCCCGCCTTTCATGCGAGGTCCGCATGTCAACAAAAATGTGACAGACCGCTCATTTGCAATATAATATATCATCACATGTATATATAGCCGCATACCAGCCACTCGTCGTGCTCATCGTCATCCCTACAGTATAGTCCTCATAATAATACGTACCAGCATCAGCGGCTGTGCTTTCTATTATAAAAAGGGACAATGAATATCCGCAAGTACATCTTGTACTCTTCTCAACTCAATGTTCGACTGCGAACAACTCTATATTCTACGACATCAGCCTCGTCTCTATCAACAATTGGAGAACCTTTCGGCAGCGGTGGCAGCAGGCTGAAGGGTCTCTTTGGTGGATCCGGATCCGATCTGATGAATGATCCAAGACCAATTCAGAGAATTCTTGCGATGGTGGACAAACCAGTTCAAGATGTTCATGTGCTGTATATGGGGACTGCGACATACGATATTCAGGCCTTTGAATCGAGACAGACAGATCGATTTAGAGAATTGAACTGTAAGATTTCCGCTTTGAAAGTTGCACTGGACGATTCCGTTCCTTTGGCAGACGCTGAGGATCTGATTGATCAAGCCGACGTTCTGGTGGTCGGAGGAGGAAATACTTTGTATGCTCTGGATCGATGGACCAACTTAGGGTTGGTTCCTGCACTTCGGAAGGCAATGGAACGCGGAGCAGTAATATCAGGAGGCTCTGCTGGTGCCATTTGCTGGTTCGATGGTGGTCATTCTAGTAAGTATTGGTATTGGAGAATCCAAGACGATGTACGTTGGAAACTAAACAGTTTTGCACACTCAAAATCTAGATTCCATGGATCCAGATACCTACAAGGTCACGAGGCTGTCCAAATTCGCGGGGTCGTCTTCGACCGCGAAGGATGAAAGCTCAGTTGCCTCATCAGATGATGTCAAGGATTGGAAGTATATTCGAGTACCCGCGTTGGGATTCTTGCCAGGCCTGCTATGTCCTCATCATGACAGAGTACAGTCGAATGGAATTTTGCGAGCTGTTGATTTTGACCGCATGCTTTTGCGATCACCTGACGAATTGGGAATTGCTATTGACCACTGGGCAGCATTGGTGGTAGATGGGGATTCCTACGAGGTCCTGTCGCTAGAGGGAAAACCTGGCTCTCTTCCAGCAGATGGCGGAGGCGAATTTGTTTCTGATGGCGCTGGCATACCAGGCATTTGGATTAAAGAAGTAGTGGACGGTAAGGTTCAACAACGCCCCTGTCCGCCCAAAGGGGCTACATCGGACTTGTTGCGCGAATGTACCGGCAAGATGATCAATGACGAAGAAGCTCTGCGTATCTGTCGCGAAGAGAATCCTCCACCAAGAAAGTGAACTGCATGTTTTTCTAATGGACTCATTCACACATGTGGTACTAGAAACTTGACGAAATGACATGGGATTACAAGACAAATGCTGAATATGTCATTCTTCTACGAGGGTAGCTTTTGCATGCGCACTTGATTGGAAGAGGATGAATATCATAGGTATGCTGGACCGCGGCATCGTTCGGTAGTTTCAAAATTGACTACGTACTAAACACATTTGTGCTACGGTCAACATATATACATAGCAATGCTGCATGCAAAATTGCTACATACACAATTTTAAATCTACGTTTGCAGTTGCCAAGGATGTAGCTAGTTGCTATATATATGCCTCTAGAGTTTTTCAACGCAACAGTCTAATCGTTTATAACCGACTAACTGGATCAACCTATCCGCAATCTTAACCGCTACGATCATCATGAAATGTGTTAAAATATTTTTTTGATGCATGTTTGGCATCTCATTACTTTTTGTGTCGAACGAGTCGATTTCTAGTATCGCATGCATCGATCGCATCGCATCGCATTGGCATGCGCAGTAAAACGCAATGACGAACAACAATACGATGACACGCATATATATACCTTCCATCATCATAATATCAACACCACAGTAGAATAATCTAAGATGGGCTCCGAGAAGAAAACCGATGACATCGGACCAGCGCTGCTTCCTCCCGAGAAGGCAAAGACGGAAGAATTCATGAGAAACAAATACACCAAACAACTGACGATGGTGGTTCTTGTTCAAGGCCCGATCATTGGATGGGCTCTCTATTTCATCAACAAAGCGTTGCTCTCGGAGGAATCTCAAGCAATTATGGACGCAAAATTCGATTTTTTACAGGACTATGACTTACATTATCTTTATATTGCAATCTTCATGGCCTATGTGTCCAAGCTCCCGTTGATAGTGAATGCCAACGGTTCCCGTTCTCCAGCTCGCGTCGATCGCCCTGACCAGCACATTTATCAGGTGGTGGGTACGAAACAATTGGTTTTGATGGCTACTGATGGTGTCTATGGACGCTTCAATAGGGCACAGCGAGGAAGCATGAATATGGACGAATCGCTGGCCCAATTCCTTACAAATACACTTCTCGTTGCCCCCATCCTCGGCACCATTGCTTGCTATTTCCTTCTCCCGATGTATGCATATGGACGCATCAGCTTTGCTCATGCCTACAAAGTGGACAAAAAAACACGGACACACGGATTCTTGTTTTCGATGATTGCTGAACATGGAATGGGAGCGCTGGTTGGCCTCATTGCAATCAAAGCTACATTTGGAGGTGCCATTCCAGTTTGAGTAACAATACGAAACTGGCTCTTCAATGATTCCCATTTCATGTCCGATACCTTATACAGGCAGAAATAGTTGCTATCCAAGTCCCGAGATTTGAACGACTACTCCAGTCTTCCCGTGTGGTTGGGAGGTGTCGTATTAAAAGCACAAAATCTTCATCATCCAAATCCTCCTCCTGAAAAAAGAAGATTTTGCAAAAAAAGGTCATTGTTCGAACTGTCTCCAATGACGACGGATGGCCTCCAGATTGTCACTAGAAACGGTATACTATATTCAAAAACTTCCCACCTTCCTTTCTTGTCACTGTCCACTCGTCGTCGCCAGCCCAATAACACATGGCTGAACGGTTGGGTATATTCTTCATTTTCTTCTTGAAGCTATATTGTTCCTTAGTAGTCCAATGTTTGACTGACTCACTCGTCCCAGCGATGTGTTCAGCCGCAGTTTCTCCTTTTGCATGTGATGCAGTTCTGCTTCTAGGATATATATGCAGCTTGAGTGATGATGATGAGTTCCGATGCAAACGATTGAGCAATAATAATGGTTCCAGATTTTGCATGTCATTTTCAATACTCAATACCATAGACATCAAATTTCTGGGTCATTTTTGTTTCGTCGCGCGATCGATCTGAGCAATGTTATTGGCTGACAAAACGAGAAGGTCATCATCTTTCATCCCACAACCGCAAATACACAGTAAAATAAATTTGCGAGATCGATGAATGACAATAAAAAAATAAAACAACAACACACCATCATCGCATACACCTGACGGCATTATACACCCTTCTCAATCTACACTACATGACCATATAATGATGTTATCTCGTCTCCCTCAGCATTAGAATTGGTACTTCCAACTTTTAAAACATCTGCGCAAGTCGGTTGTCGGTTGTCGGTTGTCGTTGTTGCAGTGCTGGTCTTGTTATTGGTCTTACTTAGTGGTCATCGTCAACTATAAATCCACACCATGCGAGCATCAGTCCTGCGATCGACGCGGGAACAAACAGGATTTTGCAAGAGAAAGAGACTTCTTCCATTGATCCTTCTAGGATTCGTCATTGCTTCAATAACACTTCCTTATTATTCCCCTGCCACCAGCGTGTCCCAGCAAATAATTTTGATGGAAAATATCATGTCGACTACTACTGTTGGAATAAGCATGAGCGCCAATAATGAAACTCTTCGTAGCAATCTCGCCAATTTTTGGCTGACTACCGAAGAGCCGATGGAAGACGAGGACGCACCTATGGACGAGGACCTATCTATCCATGAAGCGGAGAAGGCGGTGGATGGCGAGGAGGACAGCACAGTCGGGGAGGACGCATCGGCCGAAAGGGACGACGAAGATGGAAGAAGTTCAGAAGTAAAAGTAGCTATAGAAACTGACGCAGCTGATGGGTTTCAATGTGCCATTTGTTTTTTCGGTTTGCCTCGGTCGTACAAAGAAATGGTGCTACCAAGTATTGTGAAGAACGTTTTGGAGCCGAATGCAAAGTACAATTGCGACATCTTTGTGCATTTTTACGCCCGAAAAAAGGAGCTGAAAGGAAGGTTTAATCCAGGGGGAGAAATGGACCCCAAGGAGATTTATGCTCTGGAAAGTGCCGTGTGGGAGGTGATGAATTATTCGACAGCATCGTTGACATCATCAGCATCCACACCAGCCGTCATTTTCAGCAACGATACCGAACGAGCCTTCTTTGATTTACGGGGGGGACAACTTGACAAGTACCTCAAGACGAGGGATGTGGATACTGGCAAGAAACTTTACTTTCCGTGGAAGCAGACCTCCTGGAAACGATCGTCATTGGTCAATTTGATACGTCAGTGGCACTCGATCGAAAACGTCTTTCGGTCGATGGAGAATTACATGTGGAAGGCGCAGAAAAATTACACTCGAGTGGCCATGTTGCGAAATGATGCCATGTACCTGAGCCCTATCGACATTCTACAGCTCGACAACGACGACGCGAACAGTAGCACGGACAAGAAGAAGAAACGATCCAATGTGGATTCCAACAATCGGCATTTTGTAATTGCACCCTTTGCCAAGTTTCCCGTGAATGATCGAATGATATATGGACCTTACGATGCCATCAAAATATGGGCTACACGACGTTTTGATTTGATAGAGAAAAGAGCAAACAAGACTTCAAATCGAGGAATGGTCATGCATTCGGAAACTTTCATGCAACGAACCATCATACCAGCAATGAAACGCAAGGGTTACAAAGAACACGTCCATCCTGGCCTTTGCTTTATTCGAACACGACCAGATTCAAAGGCTCTCTTCAACGACTGTCGCACCCGGGGCGTTGCCAAAGGATTTGAAGAGGAATCTGCCATTGTTTCTACGATTGAATCGATTCTTCAAAGGTCTTGCGAACCAACGTCGGGACAGAAAGGCATCCCAGCGGGGCATCTCATCCAGTGTTAAAGAGCTACGGGATCAAGCGAGATTGGAAGTACCACAACGCAGGCATCAATACTTTGTAGTTGCAAAGCCTTATATATTTCTTTATCCAATCGACCCCAGAAGGGGCCACGTCCTCGACGACCGAAACGAGCTATCTGCTAAAATAATGGCATGGTATAGTGCAAAAACAGAATGATGTTGCGGCAAACAGCTGCGAAGAACAGTCGGAGCATGCTGATTGTTTGTGGGGTTGCAGTGCTTTCGAGATCTCCAAGATATCTCAGTACACGTACAGGAGGGGAACTGTGACTGTATATTTGAAGCAGATAATATAAGTAGATTATTATTTTAATAGTTAGCATAACTAAAATTCGATCTATCCAAGAGTATACCACTATGTACTCTTGAATATTGATCTATCTCTGCCCAGAAGAGGCGGTATATATACTTCCGTAGTTGTTTTGGAGTCCAAGTAATCCAATGTGCCCTGGCATTTTTCATCCGCCATCATCATCATCATCAAAAACACAATAAAATAACGCGGAACCACCATCAATAATATTATTGCGGGTATCGCATCATCATCCGTTCTTCTCTCTTCCACGGCTGATTCACACCATCTTTCTCGTCCCTTTCAGAACTGAAGGGACTATTAGCCGAGACCACCTGACGAATTTCGATTGTAGCGCAAGATTAGCAATCATTAGGGACAGCAAAGTTATTCAGGGCAGTTTTCTTGCCTCACGTCATAGCAGCTTTGGCACGATTCCCCTGCTGCTCTGTCCTTCAGCCAAACAATTCAACAATCACAATGGCGGTAGTGTCAAAGAAAATCGAGCAAATATTAGGGACACTGGGATTAATGTACTTTCTGGGCATTGTTTATTTGGCACGATCCTATGACAGTAGTGGTCTCAGCACATCAAGTAGCAGCAAACCAGAAGTAGCAACGAACTCTGAAATACCCCCCCCGGCTGCAAACAGGGGACTACAATTACGTGTCAATAGCGCCACGACGATGCAAAGCAATGGAAGAAATAAATTGTTTGCGCCAGATAACGAGCCTTGGGAGAAACGATGCGCTCTGTTATTCTTTGGACTGCCGAGGTCCTACAAAGACATGGTATTGCCCAGTTTGGAACAGTTTGTGCTCAATTACAATGCGAAATACAATTGCGATGTTTTTGTTCATTACTTTCATCAACGAAAAGAAGCTGCCGGTAGATACAATGATGGCGGTGAGTTGGATCCTACCGAAGTATTGCGATTGGAACGAGCAGTACATGCCATGTATCAACGGACCCACCCACTTCGCAAGCAACCGCCCACGCAAAACATTTTCAAGGAACGCAAGTCGCCACCCATAGTCAAGTTCATTCATGATACCAACAAGACCTTTTATAGAAAACGAGGCGAAATACTGAAGCACTACCATAAGACCAAGGACAAGGAAGGCAATCCGTTGTTCTTTCCTTGGAAGAACAAGACTTGGAAGAAATCCAGTCTAGACAATGTTGTCCGACAATGGCATTCCATTCAGGCCGTATTTGAATTGATGGATGAATATTCTCGGACGAACCATGTGAATTATACCCGGGTCGGTATGTTACGGAATGATGTCATGTTTCTGGCGCCAGTAGACATTCTGCGATTGGACAATGGGACCATGGATACCGACAACAACCAAATGGTGGTCTGTCCCTTTGGACGATACCCCGTCTGCGATCGTATGGTATATGGTCCATACTTGGGTGTCAAGATATGGGCGACCTACCGATTCCAGCTGATTGAAGAAAGAGTCAAGTCCAATCTGGATCCTGGATATGGCATGCACTCGGAGCGATTCTTGAACGATTCCATTATTCCGTACGTTGAAGAGAACTTTGGATACCACAAACACATCAACTATGATATTTGCTTTGTCCGAACCCGACCTGATAATGTGGCGCTGGTGGACGACTGCATCATCAAGGGTAGCTCGAGAGGATGGGATGAAATCAATCGTACGGAAGCCATCGAAAAAGTACTTGGGTTCAAGTGCGAAGAGACAGAGGTAGACGGAATCGCCTCGAACATGTTCTATCTGTACTGCTAGTGGATTAAATTGGCTGCACATAGCAAGGTTGTATTTTCCTATTCAACTAAAAGGTACTGCGTACACTTACCCTAAGAATTGCTAGTCCTTTCACCAACTTCGATCGTTCCGACCTCGACTTTTTCCCATGCGCTGAGTGCCAGCATCATTCTATTCGTCTCGTGGATTGCTTGGATACATTCTCCATACAAAATTGACGGAATCCAACAAGGCAATACGATCACCGGTCATGCTGCTTGGCTTGCCTCGGTCTCGCAATCGTTTTTGGCGTCGTTGACACTTGACCTGTGAATATATACATAATATGAAAGTGAGAAGTGCTAGCATTGATTGATTGATTCATTCATTGATTCATTCTCAACGAATTCTGTCATGTCTGAATACAATGCTATATACGTACCCATGTGGCCAGCCGTTGATTCGGCTTGTACGAGGATGGAACTTGGGTATGCCCAAACTGCAAATGGAATTGCAAGAGTTCTTCGTAGCGGGATTGCCAGACGGACATTTTGTTTTGCCAACAAAATCCGAAATCTTCCAAAACTCGAATGCGTTCCGCCGTCATGCTGGATTTGGTTGGATTGGATTGGAAGAGTTGGTACTGACATCGTTGTCGTTTGGCCCATCTATCGTAGATATTGTCGGTAGGTCAGAACGAAGACGAACAAAAGAAAGCATAGTCTGGGCAAAACTCACTTGGCAAGCTTTTGATTGGGTGGATAGTCGCTTGGAATCATGCAATGGCCATGCTGCCTTACAAAGGCCTGGACTTCCTCGAGTCTTTGAGACCAAGTGGTGACTTGATACTGTCGAAACCGAACATTCCCATTTCCTTGGGTTGGAGGAGTAGCTGTTGCTTCAGTTCCAACAACTGGCTTTGACAGGCAACGTGTTTGCTTGGTTCGAGGCTGATATGTTCAATGTGTCGAAGTGTTTCAGGAGAGAAATGGAAGCGCATTATATGAGTTGGTCTCTGATTGGAGTGTTATTCACGAAAGCGATTGAGTGACAGAAACAAGTAACGTAGACGTACCTTGATGGATGTCGAAGAAGTAGCCGACTTTGATGATACTGAGTCTGAGCTTGATGCTGAAGGTGCTTTCTCTGCCAGAATTGACCCGTCTCCTCGAAAGACAACGGGTGATTGGGACAATTCTGCAAGGGACAAAGAGGCTGATAGAACATCTCCGACCATGTTTCTTTGTTGATTCAGCAAAGAATTTCTTAGTGGACTGACTGGTGTAGGTTCGGTCAACGTGGCGCCCGGAAATCTGGGAGCGACAACCCTTATTATAGACGGCCTCGTGTTGCTATTGAACAATTTGGGAAATACCAATTTCGAGTTCATTGGCGGCCTACCGTGTGACAAAGAAGGGGGGTTCCCATATTCTTTGCAGTCACAGAGTTCCGCCAAGGCAGCCAGAGCACCACCTCCAGTGGTGGCCGTTTGTCGCCGTTGCATGGCAATTGATTCCATCATCTAAAGTGAAAATGCGAAGTCGGTTTCTCTTGTATTTTAGGTTTGTTTGATGAGATGAAGAATCTGACGATGAGGCGTTGACAATCTGCTATGCTATGTGAACTATATTCTCTGCAGATACAGTGCAGAAAAATATAAGAAATATTGTCTTTTTGCTTTGGGTTCAGCCTGCAAAGCACTTTCAACTGCAATGGATACGATTTCTTATTTCTGCTGCTGCCAGAAGATGATGCGGTTTTCTTTCCTGATATCGAATTTAGGGATTTCTCAAGTTGACACCATCCAGCTTGAACTTGTTCTTCGATATATATTGAAAAACTTTGCATTCTTGACTCATCATCTTCAAGCCGGATTTTGAGGTGCACTACTGTGTCTACGTGTAGGGCATCGCGTGATATCATTGGATGAACAGTAGAGAACAGATGGCACGACGCTGAATTTAGATACCGTTCAACCACCAAAGACCTAAATCTGTACTATCCAAATTGGCAATGTTTGGCTGCATGTCAATGTGCCGACGTAGAACGAAAGGAGGAGACTCTAACTATTGGTCAGATGGTCTACGAGTGTTAGATACAAGGTTGTTATTCTTACTTGAAGCAGTGAGCAAGATTGGAAAGCCTATCTTTCTTATCATCTTGTAGTTGATAGAATAGATAGATGTGAACCCGAATGAGATTGATTTCTTCGACCAAAGATGGCAAACAGATTTTTTTAAAATTGCATGTCACCACAATTAATGATTATTATTATGTGAAAGATTGCATCGCCACCGCACCGAATGTACCATGGTTTGTCACAATTTTGACGTCCTCTCGCCAATGATTGTCTATCTACAATCGATGTGTACACCCATCCCGTTGCTACTGATGCCATATGCTTATTCATCATCGCTTCCGAGGTCAAACAAGATGATGATGACCAAGACGATTATCTTTGCATGCTGATGGTTGGCCACCGTTGAATTGAATGGCTTGACAAGTAATGGCTTATTATATGGGAAACAATCTCCCTATTGGAAGCCATGGAACTTGGCTTCGATTTGACAGCAGCGACTTACATCGGTCCAATACTGGCCCACGGGGTGGGTGATGATGATTGAACTTCTCGCTCGTCGTCGTCGCCAGCTTGCATCCAAAAAAGATCGACAATGCTACAGCATCACATGTTATTGATATTTGGTACATGAACGGGAACAGATCGGACGATGAGCGGCTCAAGAAACTCACGACAACAGATGCATTGCCATCAAATAATGACAATGGTGGAGGAGGGTTGCGACAGACATATTCGGGGTTATTTCAGAACGACGTTGGAACAACCTCATAGGCGAAATGGCGATCGGCATATGCCAGCCAGATCAGGAAACAAAACGAGACGATGATGATGATGATGGGGGGGGTCCTCCTGCCTTAATTGCCCAGCAGGCAGATCAGGTCCAAAACACCTTCAAGAACAGTTCCCAGCACTTGCGGAGTCTTAACGATCAAAATTCAGTTGAGACAGTCGGAATTACAGTTTCCGTCAGCATGCGAGATTATAGAGATCGGGATTCAATTCCATGAGGGATTTCAGTTCCGTGTGTTGCAGTTGACGTCAAGAGGAGGAGCGACTTTCAATGTCAGGATTCAGCCATCCCCGATCGATCGTGTCTAACCAAAATGATATATTGATCCAAGGAGGTGCCATTCTTTTTCGTGAGAATCTGAAGGGGTCAGTCTTCCGATGTTGGCGTGCCTTCTCATTCTTGCGGTGGTTGGGAAGCTACTAGAAAGTCTCGACCATCAAAACGTGCTCATTACAATTGGTTTGAAATATCTACTACAGTAGGAGCAATCGCTGGTCATGCTGTTCATCATGTGTCCATTGAGCGTGGCTGCATTTCTGGAATTCATCACGACCAGATAATAGCTTTGACGATGATATTCGAATGCAATAACGCCAAGTGCTGCGAAACATAAGAAAACTATGGCTTGTACCCAAATAGCAGTGCACAAGTCATGATAGTAGCCATACTAGAGGCACTTTAGGCGAGGCATTGCTACTATTTAATTTTAAGATACACTAATAGTATTACATATTGAAATATCATTGGTATTCAGATCGTCATGCTGTAGAAAGTAATATACAGCAAGTTTCTAATGTGTGTCTTGGTATTTATTCTATTCCCGTTGTGTGCTCCACTAGCCTTCCCTTGATCATCTACTTGACCTGCATAGTTATTGTTCCAAAGGAAACAAGGAGGAACATCAATTCAAATGACAACGAGACTCGCAAGACCGAGTACAACTAGTACATCCCGATGGTCGTTGTTCTCGTTCTCGTTCGCGTTCCCGAAGTGCTTGGGATGCTTTGTGTACTGCTCTTTTGTGTGACACTTCCACCCATTTATTCGATCCACATTGTTCGGCTGATGTCGAGGATGATCGCATCAGGAATCGTCCCCCCGATTCTTGAATCTTGGCCACGACGTTTTGGGCAATCCAAATCTTGTCAAATTTGGGAACCGTTCTATACAACTCTTGTCGATCATGAACCACTTGACGGAATCTTTTATTTCCAGGGTGCATGTTGGTCTTGCCACCACGACCGAGAAGGACGTCATTCGCTCTTGGTGGATCAACTTCATCCTCGTTAGAGCTGGTGGCTGCGTGTTCGTCTTCTGTATCGATAGGACGAGGCGACAGTAATAATACTGTCGACAAGGGTGTATTCAACAGTTCCTTTTCCTCATTGGTCAATGGAATACGATCCTTTTGTTCTCGTGCTAGCAATTTGTCAGCATGATCATTTCGAGAAATGTGAGGTGGGCAAGGAGTTTGTTTCATCATTGTGGTGGTCATATAGTAATTGCTTTGAGTAAAAGTAGTAGTAGTACCAGCCATACTAGTAGCAGTAGTACCAGCAATACCAGCGCTGCCACTACTAGCGACTCCTAGTACACTTTGTCCTTGTCGCAAGGCATGAAGAAACCTAGATTCCCAGTCGGCCAATCGAAATTCAAATACACCTGGTCCTCGATCGTCGAACTCCAATCCTGCTGGAGAAGACGAGGCAGCAGCAAGAGGAGAATTCGAGGTAGTGGTAGCATTACTTCTTGTTGGAAGACGCATGCGAGATGTGACCCGACTGCTGTTGTGCTGTCGACGGGAGCCAATCTTGTCTCCTGCTGTTTGTTGTGGTTGTGGCTGTGGCTGTGGCTGTGGCTGTGGTTGGGAAGATGACATCCGTAAGAGTTCTTCAATAAGTCGCTGTTGCACCGAAGCGACTTGGTTCTTGTTGTTCATGTTTGAGAAATTTCCAATGCTATTCATGTTCATGCTGCGAGTCATGGTCTATTGCTGGAATAAATAGGACTGTTGTGCATTATTGTGAGATGCAATATTTACAACGTGTGACTGGAACTGGGATTGGGAAGATCTTTGGAATGCTTGTAAATAGAGAATTCTTCAGTTCCGTGTCCATTTCATGTCGTTTGTCCTAATACATCATGTCGGAAAGGTATTTTTTGGTCACATACTGTTATGTATCACACATCGAAACCATTGGAATTCCAAAGTGTGTGATTGAATTGGTGTCAAAAACCTGTTTGTACACTTGCATACAAGTACAGCTTGCGATATGACTCTTTTAGGCGCCATGCCGTAGAAATGTGACGGTACAAGAATGAATGCTCGAGAAGAGCCATCGATCGAATTGGGATATTGAATGGATGAATCGACGGTTATAAGTTCAAAGTACTATGATGGACGTACTAGTCGTGCTGTGGCTAACAAGAGGCCGAGGAGGATGCACCATGATCATCATCATGATCATGGGGCGCTGTACACGTACGCAGAGGCATGTTGGAGAAGCAGCTTGGAACTAGCCAGAAATCATGGGGGAAAAAGTCTCTATTAAGACATAGTCGAGTTAGTGTTCAGTGGTGTTGCCCATAGCTTGTCCTCTACCGGTACCGCCGGAACAACTATTAATCCTGACGTCTGACGTATGGACGCTGCCGCAGGTCCTTTTATTTCACAGTTCTGTTTTGACATCACGTGTAGCCACTGTGCTGTAGCCTTGCTGTGTAGCCACTAGTACTGTAGCCACATGTCAAAAAGGATGAAATTCAAAATAAATAAATCATCATACCTGATAATAATACTGTACGAGCACCGTCATTGCTCATAAGCAAGCTGGTGCATACCTATCAGAGGCAACAAGAAAGATTAACGACAGAGCTCTACTGTTGTCATTATAGCTTCCGTGAGTTTCAGCTGCGTTATTTATCGAACACTTGAATTGCAGTTTGTGTTGCTATTATATATGGTTACTATGTATTTTTATTGCTATTTTTATTGCTCAGGACACTCGCTCACTCGTTCATACTCACTCACTCAGACTCACCAACAATATCACAATAAGCATGACCCACCAATCCCGGCTAGACGACGAGCGATGGAAAGAATACATGAAAGAATTGCAAGACTTTAAACAAAAGTTTGGACATTGCAAAGTCCCTCAAAAGTATGCCAAACTTGGACAATGGGTCCATCATGTACGGTGCGCACAAAAGGCCTTGCAACATGGCAAACCATATTCCCTCAAGTTGACTCCCCCACGAATTGCCGAACTCGAGGCGATTGGCTTTGTTTGGGGAGAATCCAGACCGGCTTGGAACGACCATGTGGAAGATTTGAAGCAATTTCGACAGCAACATGGACATACTCTGGTTCCAGCCAACTTTCCAGAGAATACTGGTCTCTCCAAGTGGGTCCGTCGAGTTCGAGTGGCTTATTCGCTCATGCAACAGGGCAAATTCAAAAAGGGTGCCACCATCAAGCTTGACGAATCACGAATGAAGCAGCTCAAGGACGTTGGATTTGTATGGAATACCAAGAGCAAGAATGGTACACCTACTGGTAGTACTAGTGGTGTTGGCGGTGTTGGCACTAGCAGTGATAGTACTGGTAGCGCCGGTGGTGGGGCTACTGCCACGAGCAATGATGTCGCGGCATTTGTCGTGGATGGTACTGGTCATGGTGTCGGCAATCATGATCATGACCACGATGGTGAGCCTGATCCCTTCCATCATGCTCAATCAGTACCACCACAACATCAACGAGACAATGCTACTACTATTGGTGGTGTGGATCATCGAATCTCCCAAGGATATCCTCTTGGTGCAACAGCTCGAGGACGGAGTACTGGTGGTGCCCATAACAAGAGACGTCGGACCGATGACTCATCATCCACCACATCCAAACTGTGTCCCGAAGGTGTTCGCATTCAAGAAGAACTACACCTATCTCAAGAAAGATGTAGTCAGCTGGAAGAACAGACGAGAGAAATGGAACACAAGTTCAAGGAACAACAAGAGGTGGCGGAATTTAGACGTATACAGAATGAAGGTCTTTGGGATGAAAATGAAAAACTGCGTCGAGAAATTGCGGATCTCAAGGCGGGGCGATTGGTGTTCCAACATTGGAATCGATGAATTGAATTTAAAATCCATTACTGAATTGAATAAAAACTATTTGTACTGTTAACAATTATAGGCCTAATACAAAACGATACAGACATGATAGTCGTTGTAATAGTAATAGGGACCACAAAAGAAGCGACTCACTCATTTTCGACCTTCTTGAAGTTGGCTCCTTCTCCTTCTCTCTCAGTCCTTAAATTTGATACGGGGCGCTCGAGACGGGAAAAGATGTCGGCATGGGCACCCTATCTTGAGACATGTTGACATCTGGGTCATCGACGCTTTGCGGGGCGGCTCCGCCTCCGTGGTAGCTCCGTCGTTTGTGAGCTCCTTCTTCTTCGTCTTTAGCAGGACGAGGAGCCCCTTCTCCCAACGAGGTATGATCTTATCCTTGCCCTCCAAAAGCACCGCAGCACTTGTTCCTCTGCACCAGGGGGGTGTACACGATTCTTCTTCTTGGTTCCGATCCTCGTGGTCGCTCGAAGGACGAGAATTCTTGGAGATGAAATACTGCGGTTGTAAGTTGGGAATAAGTTGGATTATCGGTTCCTGCAGTCTCGAAACAAACACTATTGAAAGCAGAGTCCCACTTACTCGGGTGACGTTACGAAGTTATCTGCATGGCAGCGGCGGCAAATAACATACCGCCAAAACAATCAATACTGATAATGTGAGACGTTTTTTGCGCGGGTGGGATGGCGTTTTTATTTTCAGCGCCCGCTGTACACGTGTACACGCGTGTTGTTGAATATGACGGGCGTATATAGTGTACCGTATAGTCGCGAAACGACCAGGTAAGAGCGACCCAAATGTTGCCGGCCGGCCATGCGCCTGCCAACCATCCGGCTACAGGACAAAAAAGCCAACGTCATTGGTGATAGACCGGGCTTGCTCTCCTTTAAAAAACATTTCAGCGACAAGACATAAAAAAACATCAACATCAACACGACAACTGGCATTCCTATCAGGTTGCTCGCAGCATAGCATAGTTGCACAATTGAACCATCTCCTCTTTCCTTCACTAGCCCGTAGCAACGTTACCAAAGTCCTCAGAGACCGTTTCCTCCATCAACTTCCGCACATTCCAGCTTTTTACACATCTGTTTCTCATCTTCCATTGCGCGGAGTGACAGGCAGTGTGTAGCTACGAAAGTTTTTTTGTGTTGTGTCTTGTCCTCGCCTCTAGTAGGTTGGAGACTTGGTGCGGTGAAGTATTATGATGCCAGGATCGTCTACAGGTAGGAAGCGCACTGCTGGAAAGGTTGGAAGGAAGAAGAAGGCTGATATTAGTTGCATACAAAATGCCACAACCCAAAAGATTGCTTCAAAGGTTGTCACTCGTTCTGTTGCTGCAGCATCTACTGCTAAGTCCGCAATCACTCAATTGAACAGTCCTTCCAGCAAACAGAAGCCTGCTCCATCCATGACCCGCGTTGAAGAAAAAACGTCAACTGCCCCATCTGATTCAGAAGCTCCAGCCTCGAGCACCAGGGCTGAACAGAAACAGAATTCTGCTCCATCCATGAAAAACGTTGAAGAAGCAATGGTGTCTGGCCCATCCCATTCTGAAGCTCCCTTGGCATCAGAAGATCATGTTCATGATGAACAAAAGGTGATTGCATCCCTTCCAACAGAAAAAAGCATTCCACCACCACTCAAAGACAATGATCAAGTTGTACCACAACAAGAAGATAATGGTGATGACGGAGAAGATATCAGGCAATCATCACCAGAGGACAACGGCCCGCCTGCACCGCAATTAGAACATTATGAGAAAGAAGAAAAGGTGACCACCCCACCAGAAGCGACACCCTCCCAACCATCAGAGAATTGGAGCCTGTCGTTATCTGATGATAGTCTGGAAGAATTCTCTGACGAGATTTCCGAGTGGTCTTTTGCGTCCTCTCACCGGACTGCCATTCCTGGTGACGAAGACTATGAAAGCAACAACGAGGAAGCTGCTCTCAGCCCCGTTACTGAAGCTAGAGACTGCCACACTACTTTCAAACACGGACCCAACATCTCCTTTACCATTCTTGACTTACCATTTGAAATGGCTCAAGGTGACGAAATCTATACAAAAAGAAATTGGAGTGTAGGCAGACTTCATGCCAGGGTCCAAGGCTCCAATACACTAAAGAATGTAGATTTCGATGAAGGTATTTCCAGTGACGAGGTGAACCATCTAGTGTGGAATAGTCAATCGGAAATCAGGCATGTTTTGGGTAAAGGAGAGAAAAGCGGGTGTAGGGACAAGTATCTTGAAATACTTGGTGCTCAAATTGGCTTCTTGAAAAGACAAGGGATCGGTGCCAGAATAGATGCAATGGAAAAAAAAAGGGAAGGGAAGGCAAAAAAGAAAGTTGGTCCTGGCGATGAAGGAGTTGGTGCACTAGAAACAGAGATGGCAACAAAGAGGGCTCGGAGGAAAGCTGGCCTTGGTGACGAAGACTTGAATGACTATTGGGATCCATCAGGTGTAACAAGAAACAGAAAGCCAAACATTGGACTATCTGCGGAACAAGTGCAGTTGAGGGAGCAGCGGATGAAGAGGACCGATCTGAAAGCTGTTTTTGCAAATGACAAACCTACACATCATACCGAGGTCTTTAGTAACTTACTTTTGCAGTCAGAAAATCTTTTGCAAGCCGCCCGCCAAGACGAGAATGAAAGGCGTGTAGCCTCCAGAATGAAAAAGGCTACTGCCCAATACCAAAAAGAACTCAACCGCTGCTACAGGAATGATATTGAAGCCAACAGGTTCATCAAAAAGTACAAGATCAGCCCCCCAGTTCTCAACAAGTTCCAGGACCATGACGAAATTTCAATGATACGATACGAGCCACCTACCGCTGAGAAAGGAAACAAAGCGACCTTCACAATCACTTGTGGCCCAAAAAAAGGAATACGCATCCCCAATGTCCGAGTTGAATACCTCGAATATTACCTTGGTCGTGGATTTGTTGATAATTGCATCTCATTTGGAGAAAAGTGTGCTACAAACGGTCTAAATCAACCCTCTTTCCATGTACCACTTGGAGACAGCAACTCTGACATTGCGTCTGACATCTGTCTTTTCAAGATTGACAAAAACGGTAATGGTGTCAAAGCCTTACCGTTTGTCCAAGGTGCCAGTGATTGTTGCCTTGGGTTTTCACTGGCAAACGCATTGCACCATCTCAAGTATCATGCCAAGGCTCATGCCCTGTATGCCTTCTCCCACAATCTTACTGATTACGATGCCACTTCTCAATTCAAAATGTTGTCCCACTGGGTCCACTGTTCTGTTGGAGCTGTCGAGTGTTTGTCAGTCAAAGCGTCTCGGAAATTTGACGGGCTTAACGGATTTGCCCAATGCATCACACTCCTAGAAGAACAAGAACTTGTTATTTTTGTACCACAGGCGAGGGATGGGACCAAGACTCATGCTGTAACATTCTGTCATGGATTGATATTTGATGCCACGCAACAATACCCCCTGAGGCTATCGGAAGAGTCCCTTAGTTTCATCGCCGGATCTGCAGGTTTTGCAGGCATCTGGCGTGCACGTGTCTTTAGCCTTACCAAGAACACTCCAAAGTAGTAAAGACATTATATGTACTAGTTCATTATCTTCGTCCCTTTCTCTTGATTCTCTTTCGATGGTATGTATCCTGGGTACTCTTCTTACAGGTTTCTGTATTCAGTGCAAAAGATACCATGTCCCGTCCGGTTGCCCCAACAAATGCACGTTTCTGGCTCTTCTTCATGGCCAAGGCTTTCCTTTCAAAGAGCTCTCGATCAATTGCCTCCAGTTTTGACGTAACAAAATTCACGTCATCTCGACTCATGCAATTTCGGTCAATGTCCTTGAATTTTTGGAAATTATATGCTCTTTTTTTTTGACATTGCTCCTTTGGTTGTTGGGAACACAACTGGTTCATGTTGAAGGCTAGTGTAGTAGTTCTGTCGCCCTCTTCATCGTCGCTCTCTTCATCCTGTGCAAAATCGCTGTTTCCGTAGTCTGAGGGTGAACACGTTTCAACAGTATGGTATGCGTTTGTTTGACTTGGAGATTCGCTAAAGGTTCCAGTATCAGGATACTCATTCAGCGTGTAATTCCAACAATGTGGGATGGGGCTGAGATATATATCCATCAAGTCTTCAATGGTTGATTTGCAACAACTAGCTTTTGCAAATATCCGTGGATACATAGTAGTTTGGTCCGGACTCGTAATACTTTTCAACAAGGATTGCGTCTTCACCACTATTCCAAAATGTTCTTTCTTCTGGAGTTCACCAAAGTTGTGAGTGATTTCCTCATAACCTTGTTTAAAAGCGTAATAAGCATAATCTGAGCGCCAGCGACATGCAAAATCGTTGATGTCATAATGGTGCTCCAACGCTATCAAGTGTCTACAGGGGATACCATACTGATGTCCAAACCCACAAGAACAAGTCAGCACTACCCTGGACGTGTCGTTGGTGCATGCTTTAACATCCAACTTATGAGCTGTGCGAAACTTTGGTCGTCCCTTCACGCCTGGTGGACAGCGGACTAACGTTGAGGGGGGTCCTGCACGAATAAGAAAGAACGCTTTTGTCGACAGTTGTACAATGGTGTATTTGTCAAGAGCTTCATCCATTTGTTCAATGATAACAGAAGTGGCAATTGGCACCAACTTTTGAATACATTCTGTGTTGTGCACCGTACACTCTGCGGAAACATACAGTGGTGTAGAGTTTGACAGGCGCATTTGGGTATACTCCCTGTCACGATTTTGAATATCCATATGCGCTGACATGTTGGAAGCCGAAGTCTTCATATTATTTTGGGGCTGTGCTGCCATAGCACTGTGCTTTGCTGCGTAGTTCATGCCCTCTGTGGCATTAGTAGTGTATTCGTGTAAGCATCGAACCTTCTGCTTACAATGGAAGGCAAACTGTTGGTCATCAAGTGTAAGAATGTGATTTAGGATCCATCTAACACATTTTTCTGCAGCTTTGTCCCCAACAAAGCGTCTGAGAACTTGGTTTGTTTGGAGCTCTTGTAGCAGTAAAGCCTTAGACAATTCGAACTCCTTCTTGCTCCGACATGAAGTTCCATCAATCCAGGATCTAACCCACCGCCTCACCTCCAGTAGAATTGCCTGTCCATTAGATGGATTCTTTACCTCGCTATCTTTTGGTCCGTGTTTTAGGAATGTTTTTTCTATGAGATGATGTCCGCATCTACCGCGAATTGCATTCTTCACATAACGAAAGATGGTCTGATCGACAGCATTGTACTCGTTGGAATTTAGGAGCTCCACATTGGAAGAATCTGCTACAGCAATGGTTCTGCCACTACCAAGCTTCAAGGATGCTGCTTTGATAGCCTTGGCTTCAATTGCCTCTAGCCTTTCATGAATGAATTCAGTCCGTGTCAATTGGTCGTCAACAGTCAACGTGGATGTGAAGTGACAAAACTGTTGCCGTATCATTGGGGCTGCAGCGGCTTGAATCACTGTGCGCCTTGCAGCCAGACCACCGCGACCCATTAGCGGCGGACTTACAATAGGTATAACCGCAGGTCTTCTCTTTTCCAAATCAAAGTTTGTGTTGCCACTGGCAGCTGCTGCAATTTTGTTTGTTCTGGATTGGCTGAATTGGGACAGTACCTTGGCCCGTTGCTTATATTGTTGTGCAGAAAGGAAAAGCGATCTGTTCCTATCCCTTGATACCATGGAATTCCCTTCTGCTAGTTTGTCCACGCTTAAGTTGGCAACATTTTTAGCATGTACAATAGAATGCACGTCCTCCTGCTGCGGAATTCTTGGGCATGCGGGAATAGATGTAATGCCACAATCAACAGACTTGTTACCAGACTCTTGGCAAGGAACGGTGTTCATATACGTCAAGTTTCTCATCACAGCCTTCGTATTTGGAGGTGGATTCGTCTTTGACCTCCTACCCTTTTGATTTCTGATAGTGCTCTGAACCATGTCTTCATTTGTTGGGGTCAGCTCATAGGATAGGACGGTATAGTGCAGATTGACCTCGGGGTTCCCAGCCTGGGTTCGCAACCATTGTATAAAGTCAGCAGCCGAAGAGTTTGCTTCATTGGCAGCTTTGGCTTCAATGTATTCCGGTGAGGTTACCACTACTGATCGATGCGCAGACCTAGAGACATAGCCGTGCTTCAACTCAAGAAGCATCTTCCGAGATTGAGTACCACTAACTGCTGCCTTCTGTTGAGCAATGACGGCTTGTCGAGCTACTTTTGTGAGGTTGTGTGCCTTTATTGGTAACTCGGCCGCCGGTTTTGCATGATATCTATGGACTGTGCTTCCAGTACAGGAAACGTAGATGTATGATGGTTCACTTGCCTTTTTGCTCTTGTGAATACGCAGTCGCAGTCGGCAAGAGCAAAGCTTGTCTCCTGTGGTGTCCTTTGAAGTATGTGTAGCACGGGGTCGCGTTAGGCCATCTGGACGATTCCTTAAGCGATCATGGTGGTAGGACTTGTGTCGGTACTGGAGAAGGACCCCCTTTTCATTATATTGCTCTGAGTCTTGTAGTTTTGTCCCATGGTATGGCTTTGATCTATAACAAGCCAACCAGCCTTTTGAGACGTCATATATGAATTCGCTTCCATGCTTGAGACCAATTACTTTCAAATGGTGAAGCAAATCTTTCAGACCTTTTTTGGTGGGTGGCCATTGCTTTGGATCAAATTTTGCAGCTCTTGTTTCAATGGCGTTGGTGACAAACGAGAACAAATCAGCAGATTCACCATCATAATCTACAAGACCGTCAAAGGGGAGCTTGGCGCACCATGTTCGTGCTTCAGCAACTTTGATTTGTAGTCCTTCTTCCAATTCTTCCTGGGTGAGATCTGACGCATTTTCTAAAGACATTGAAAAGGATGGGGGGGAAGGGGAAGGTAGTGCTACTAGTATGCTTGTTTCACAGGAAATTTATTTCAATTTCACTCCAGTTACTTTGATGATTTGCGGAGCGCCAAGTCCGAATTCAATTTTGGCGCCAATGTCTTTTGTCAGTCAAAGAAGTCGGCTAGGAGTCAGACAGACGACTGTCAATCCACTTGGACCGATCAAACAGTCCTGGCAGGCGCGTGGCCGGCCAGCAACATTTGGGTCGCTCTAACAGGGTCGTATATTTTGAGTGATCAGTCATTCGATTTTGATTGAATGTCACGCACGTCGCTCGGTTCCGATGACAGCGTTACACGACTCTGTTATTGTTGTATAGGTATTATACCGGTATAGATATAGATATATATAGTTATTAGTCCTACTGCAGCTTCACGATTGGATACCGAAAGTTTTATATCTTAGGGTAGATATGCAACGCTTATTCCGTGAGATTATGGCGCCTGAGAGATTGTGTTGACTGCAATGCAATGTAGCTATAGCTACCGGTATATATAGCTATAGGCTCTTACCCATCTTCTCATCGTTATCTACTCCTTCGGAATATTATCATGGCTCTGTCAGATCTACCATCACCCTTCGCCCAATCTGCAATCGCTGCCATCACCAACCTTTTTCCTGAAACCTGCTCACAACCTGGAGGATTACTGGTTGCCGTATATTATATATTGCTCATCAGCATCATCCACTTCTACCTCAGAACAAGGCCACTTGCCATCCCCTCAACGCTTCCGGGACCGAAGCGATTTCCTTATTTTGGTTATCTCCCTCACGTTTTACAACATTGGCATGTATGGCCAACCGAGACGACGCGTCTTGCGAAGCACTTCAAGCAGACGTGGGGTGGACCTCTTCCGAAATTTGGTGGGCTTCCTGGAGCCTACTTTTACATTCACGATGTTGAAAACGTCCAGCACATATTGTCATCTCGCTTTGACAACTACGTGAAGGGGGACATTTGGGATCGAGTGCTGGGGGAAATGCTTGGGGTTGGAATCTTTGCCATCGATGGGGACAGATGGAAAGTTCACCGAAAGTTGATGAGCAACATGTTCTCTCGCAATTTGCTCCGGCATACCGCGGCAATCACAGAAAAGAAGCTTGTGGGAATGTTCGAATCGTTCGATAAGAGATGCTCAGAAGCAGAAGTCAAGGGCGACGATGGCGGATTCAGCATCAACATTCAAGACGTTTTCTTTCGCCTTACTATCGATGTTACGTCGATCCTTACGTTTGATCTTGATTTGTACAGTGTTGAGAATGAGAAGCAGCATGAGTTTGCACTCGCGTTTGATGAATTGAGCGACCTGTGTCAGAAAAGGTTCACGGATCCATTCTTTGAGATTAAAAAACTGTTTCGATTGACACATAGAGAGCGACGAATTCCGGTTCTAAAGGGCGTTGTGGACGAATTTGCCTACAAGGTTATATCGAGCAAGAGACGTTGCGCCGCAGATGGATCGCCTTTGGGTCCTGATCTACTGAGCAGATTCATTGACCATGCTCGCCAGAACGATGAAGAAATTTCCAATTCTGAGCTGCGGGATGTGATTATGAATGTATTGTTGGCGGGAAGAGACACCACGGCGTGTGCCTTGTCCTGGACATTCTACGAGCTCACAAGGCATCCCGAGGTAGTGGTAAAAATTGTACAAGAAGTCGAGTCAGTATGCGGAGTAGGAAAGGATGCAGAATACTCATACGATACAACGGCCAAACTGAAATATGTTCACTGCGTAGCTTTGGAAGTCCTTCGACTGCATCCATCTGTAACCAACGACCCGCGATATGCCGTGAAAGACGATGTTCTTCCCGACGGTACAAGAATACCAGCAGGAGCTGGGATTGATATCTGTATCTTCGCCATGGGTAGGAAGGAAGAGATATGGGGAAACGATGCACTCGAGTTTCGACCGGAACGGTTTATGGGCGAAAAGGATCCATCGGCATTCAAATATCCCGTCTTCAATGCCGGTCCTCGCACGTGCCTGGGACGGCCACTGGCCATCATGAACATGAAACTAGTGATGAGCATGTTGCTAACATCCGAGTTTGAGATCGTTGATTCTATTGGCCACGACGGAAATTATTATTGGACTTTGGTGGAATCGATGAAGGGTGGATTTGAGGTGACAATTAGGAGGAGGAAGCGTCTATAGCTCACCATCATTACCTATCCGTAATAAATGACATTATATATGTGGTACTGTATTAGTAGCAATAATAGTAGTCGAGAAAAAAACTGTCTTTGTGCGTAGGTATAGTTTTTTTCTTGAGGGACAGCAACGAATGAAGTATACTTCGGAAGCTTCTATGTCATTCAACAACAGATGATCGCCAGCACGTCCGATTGTGCCTGTAGTGGCTTCAAAACGTGCAGTAGTAAACTGCGCAAGTTGATTCGTCGACAGAACTCACGCTACTCTTCTGTCATTCATACCGGTAGCGCTACATACATGTAGTCTTTCATTCAATCAATCAATGGAAGCAAGAGATAAAAGTATTGCCAGTACACGTACTATGCATGTCCGGTTGTGCTTGTAGTAGCTCCAAGAGATTTTCCAAATAGTGATGCAAGGGAAGCCGTCCTGCTGGCCTTCCGCTCATTGTATTTCAGTTGTCCTTGGTCGCGAGATTGAATGCTCGAAAGCCGCCACGATGATGATAGATGATCACCATAGTAGGAGCCAAAAAGCAAGAAGCCCCGTAATGCATGTATGTCTTCGTCTCTGTCGCGTTTCTCATATCGCCTACTACGGAGTATAATGAAATGGTATCGACAAGATAACCTGCTGAGAAAGATTGATGATTTTGATTCTTGTTCAGGTGGAAAATGAAGATGCTTCGCTCCTCTCAGTGATGCTGAAGCCAATGAGCCCCTTGGAAGGGCATCGGGCCGTCTTGTTTCGATTGAAACAGATGATATACATCACGTCGGCTTCGTCCGTACAGTGTACAATACAGGCCTGCTGTTCCGCTGCATATTATTGGCGGGTGAGAATAATGGGAACTGTTGTCAAACTGTTTTGTGGATTGCAGTTGTAAATACGCTCCCGTTGGAAGGGAGAATAATGTAGTGAAGGCAGGTTTTGGGCCGTTTCAACGATGCTCCCACCATTCTGACGTATTCTGAACATATTAGGACTGACGTTCTGATTACACATGTATAAGTAAAGTTGGCGCTGGAACAATTAACGATGATCAGACAAAAGTCATGAGGAGTTCTCCATGAACAAAAAGTCACAACCAAATTGCATCATTTATCAGACAATATCATTCCTGCTGATTCTAATCAAGCAATGCCGGATAATATGACTGTGCGGAAATGTCCCACGTAAAAGAGAAGAGAAAAGAAAAGAGAACAATAAGACTACAAACGGTGCAATACCATCACCCTCGTCCAGTCAGAAGAATACAGAGTACATGGTACTTCTTCTGGTCTATCTATTGACATCATCTTCACTTTCATTTGCTTCAGTGTACACCCCACCAATCCAATCTACTAGCCTCTATGCGTCAGGAATAACAAGGATTGAAAAGTAAAGCCTCAGCCATACTTCCGTACGATCAACGATTGATTCAATGAGTAAAAGTCACAAGACTTTGACCCTGCGGCTGAGTTCCATCCAGAATCGACCAGAAAACAAGACTTGCTGTGAATGCTCCTGCAGCAATCCTAGCTGGGCCTCTCTAGCGAAATCACCGCTAGCAGATGCTCGAGAAGATGATCGTCTTGGCGCCTTTATATGTTATGCTTGCTCAACGGCACACAAACAGTTGGGAGAAAGTCTCTGCACTGTAAAGAGTATTGCAGTGGGTTCCTGTAAGTCTACTTTATCGTTTGCGCGAAGGATCTGAAACAGCTACTGTATGACATACGACTTCATCATTTGATGGCGTATCTGGGGAGCGTGTGTCATGAAACTCGCATGCTAATTCACCTACTCGTTGCAACTTCTTCTTCTCCTTTTTCAACAACTTTCAGGGACAATGGCTGATGTCATGGCCATGGAACGTGGAGGAAATGATGTAATGAATCAAATCTTTGAAGCAACCTTGCCAACAGAAAGCTCAAGCTTAAAGCCCACCGAATCGTCAGAAACGCCCGAGCGATGCGCATTTTTCAATCTGAAATATGGAGAGCGAAAATTTTACTGTCCGGATACTGCCAGTCGGCTTATCCTGCCAAATCCCAGTCCAGCAGCATCTAGTAGTGATTCGCCTTCTTTGAGTGGGAGAAGGTCCGCTCTATCGGCCTATCGGCAAAGGTCTTTGCCCACACTGAGCTTGGACGAGCATTTGAATAGTAGTCCGAGTCGATCAGGGAGACGTGGCGTACGTCGAGTCCATTCATCAGATGAAGATGAATGGGAGCCTCTCTCACCAGTTAGCATTGGTGTATATTCGAATTCGATGAGCACCATTTCTACGAAATCCACTCTCTTTACCAACAGCAGCAGGTCCAATCGCCGGATTCAATTCATCAAGGAGTCTCCGGTAAAGTCCTCCACTGGTCGGCTCATCAATGTTTCTCTCGAGTCCTTTATCGAATCATCCAACAATCTAGATCCAAACAATAAACGAATGAGAAACAATGGATTGGACCTCAATACTCCCCCGATCATGGAGGTCTCGGATCGAAGACCCTCGTTACTGGACGAAAAGAACAAAGACACAAGGCCTAAAATGTGTCAACGACACCGAAGCGAACGAAGCTTTTTAGCTGCTGGTGACTTGAACTCGGAAGAAGGAGCAAGTCGAAGAAGTAATTTCTCAAGAGGAGGACGGAGGACACTCAGTCTCGATGCTGACCAAGTCTTGTTGGAAGAGAGTGATCACAAGGATACGAGGCCAAAAATGTGTCGACGACACAAAAGCGAACGGTCATTTGCAGTCGGTGACTTGAACTCGGACGCAGGAAGTGGCAGTAATTTTTCAAAAGAGTGGCGGGCGCCTAGCCTCGATGCGGATCACAAAGATACGAGGCCTAAAATGTGCCAACGACACCGAAGTGAACGAACCTTTGCTAGTACTGACTTGATCTCAGAAGCAAGAAGCCGCAGTAATTTACCCAAAGGACGAAGGACACTCAGTCTCGATTCAGATCAGAACTTTTTGGAGCAAATAATCGCCAGCGAACAACCAGCGACAGCAGAAGATCAACAACCGGTTCGAAGGCGCCGAGGAAGCATGGGCGGACGAAGAACCTCGCCCATTCAATCCTTAGAGAATGGACCTGTTCGTCGCCGAGGAAGTATGGGTGGACGTAGAACCGCGTCCATTGAACAGCAAGAACCACTATGCCTAGAGAATGGACCTGTTCGGCGGCGAGGAAGTATGGGTGGAAGACGAGTTTCGTCCATTGAACGCTTGAATCGTCGAACGACCAGTATTGATGATTCTCAGCAACAAGGAAAGCGCAGGGCAAGTTTGAGCCGTCGAAACCTAAGCCTAGATTCCGACGACATTATGGGAAGCCCTCAAGCACCCCGAACGCAACGTCGCAATTCCATCGAATCCACTTCCCAGCGGGAACGGCCCAAGTACTCACGAGATCTAAGCGCATTGGACACGAGTGGACACCCTACGCCGGAAGCCCAGCCACGAGCAGCATGGATGGAGGGCAAGACTCCGAGGACTACTGGCCGGAGAAAATCTGTCGGCGTGGAAAGTGGTACTACTACAAGACGAAATTCCTTGACTGCTGGAGGAATGAATGGATTGGACCGCTCGGATCGATCTCTTTCAAGTCATGGTACCGGTCCAAGCATCGTCCGTCGCGCCAAGCGAAACTTTGCTAGACAAGGAAGAAACGAGACGAAAGAGGCGAAGGGGGAACTCAGTGATTCCGAACGTTCTTCTAATGTTCGTCGAACATATTCAGGCGACAGCCTCAAGAACAGCAGTCACCATAGGAGACAGGGTTTGATCTCTGGTGACAAGCGACCATCCTCACGAGGTTTGGACCTTCGCAACAGTCTTGGAGTTCCTCGAATAAGGACCGATTCCGATATGTCATCCAGCCTATTAGCATCTACGCAAAGTGGCAGACGAAACAGTAACATTGCGGTTCTGGGGAGGAACCAAAATTCTAGGTCTGCGTCCAACAGCGATTTGGCATCAAAACTGGACTTCATCGATCGAGAATCGAATGGAACGAATTCCAGTAGTAGCGGAAACAATAAGGCTCCCGCCTCGCCTCTCACGACGTCCACGCGAAGGCCGCCACGAAGCTTACATGTGGTGGTGTCTGCTGATGGTGATGGGGACCGCACCTTTGTCAGCACCGTCACGGGAAATAGTTCCCTTGAATCCCACTGGTCATTGCACAAAGAGCGTTGGGAGGCATAAAAAAAAGGAGAAAAAATGGGTATGACGAACATGACAAACATGGTCGCACCCATGCAATTGCAAACAAATGTATACTATGCATACTATTATAATCGAAACAAATACTAAAAACAAAACACGATATTTCTCAAACGACTATGGTTCTACGTTTCATTTCTAGAGTTTACTGCTACTGGAAACTTGATGTGATGGTGATTGATGTGATGGTGATGACGATGAAGATGACTCTTCAGGAATGACTAGTTCATCGTCCACGGGAGCAAAGAAGGCTGCGACACGTTGATCTGTGACTTCTTCCAAAGTGGGTGGATTCCATTTTGGACTGTTATCCTTATCAATCAAGATAGAACGAACTCCTTCATAAAAGTCTGACTTTGGTGACATTGTGATGAATGTCTTGGCCATTCGGTATTCCATTTGAATGTCTTGTGCCAATGTTTTGCATTGTGCACCCCGACAGAGACCTTCCAAGGTGACCTTTAGACTCGTGGGAGACATTTTTTGCAAGGTGGAAAGAGTCCTTTGCTCAAAATCGGATTCCCCTTGCTCCAAATTCTGAACAATGCCTTCGACAGTATCCGCAGCAAAGGCACGTTCAATGTGGTCTTGATTCTTGACCAGGATAGAATCCTCCTTGGTTGCGACGGGTTGGTGAAAGGATTGAAGAATATCTTCCACCGATTGGATTGATTGGATTGGACCCGAGGTTGCCTCCACCAATGCCTTTTCCAGATTGGGCAATTCGTCAGAAGGAAGGTAATGTGTCGCAATTCCGTAATGGACCAAGTCGTAGGCTCGGATCCGGTCCCCTGTGAGAGCTAAGTAGTTGGCCATTGGTCTTGATAGCAGGCGCGGCATCCAAAACATGCTACCAATATCTGGAAAAAGTCCCAAGGCAGTCTCGGGCATGGCAAACAGAGTGTTTTCTGTAGCTATTCGGTAAGTGCCATGAATCGAAATACCTTTTGTGATACCGGTAGGTGAATTTCAAATTGGAGAAATAATAATAATATAATATCAGAACACACAATAGAATACAATAGAATACAATAGAATGCAATAGAATATAATACAATAGAATACAATAGAATAGACAATAGACAATACATTGCTTGTCGCATCTTACCGACTCCACCGCCCATGACGACTCCATCCCAAAGCGACACAATCGGAATCGAACTCGTCGCAATGTCATGATTCACTTGATATTCATCAAAGAAGAAGCGATAGTTTTCATGCTCATAGATTTCTTTGACGTCTCCACCGGCGCAAAAGGCTGGACGCTGGGAGTTTATCGACTTTATCAAAATTGTCTGAAGCGATTTGTCCTGCTTCCAAGCTTGTAAGACATCCCGCATGTAATGAACCATCTCGAAGGTGAGAGCGTGCATTGATTTGGGATTGTTGAGCGCCAAAACTCCTAGATTCCCAATCTTGGAGGGAATGAGTTGCGTTGTTGTTCTCATGGTTGTTCTTGTTTACTTGAGATGCTTCATCCTTTGTAAAATATCTAAACAGTACAGTAATTGAGGCGTCTTCCTCTCTGGTTATTTGACGGCCCGAAAGCAAATCAATGGATCTTATTGTTGTTGTTGTTCTCGACTGCTTCGGTCCAAGGTGTGGCTTCCCCGAAAGACGAAAGGTACCATGGACTCGGATACTTTCTATATTTCCGCGCTTTTGGAAAACGGCAAAATCGGTCGGATTCTAAAGCAACGCAATGCCAAAACGTGACGTAATTTCTAACTCGCAACGATTTTGATTGGTCAAGGAACTTTCATGGATAAGACTTTTCTATGACACATCCAAAATGTTACGCGTCTTTCGTAACGGTTTCTGCAGCCGCATGAGCGCAATAGCGATGCAGAACACCGCGTTACTTCACCGATTCAATTCAAGAAGAAGGAATGGTTTGGGGATCTCCCACCCCTTCGTACGACCCGAAATACAACAAAAAATCGATTTCCAAAATGGAATCAGGAATCTGGAAGATCACTGAAGCTTCAACAAAATGAAAATATGATATCCAAATTGGATCATTCCGATTAAATGTGAATTCTAAGATTCCGTCCTCTGCTCATGTTCGAACATTCTACCTCCGTATATGCATGCAACATTGGTCTTCTGGACTCCTAATCTTTAGCTTAGTATTCGATTACTATAACGGATCGAATGGTATACTTTTGTGGCCAGATTTCAGAAATGAAAATTTGAACTTCTCAGAATTCCACTAAGCGTCTACTAAAGTTCTAAACATGATTTCTACGAGTATTTCACTATTAGGTTTATCAATCATATTCTGATCATTAATCCTGTGAGAAAAGCGACCAGAAGCCAAGGGAAATTTAATGGCAGCTTGGAGCGCTGTCGCATGCCAAACAACCCTTCTTCTTCTTCTTCTTCTTCAAGACCACCTCCTATAGGTCGCGCTGGGTGCATTATTCGCCAACCAATGAAATGAATAAGCTATATATAGATAGTTCCATGGTAGTTTTGATGTAGTAAGCCAAATCGTCTGAGACCACCATCCCGGCACTTCATAATTGATACTGATATGCCAAAGAATGATCGGATCGTTCGACATGTCCTCAGTATCCTGTTGGAATGAAGGATTGCGAGTAGTCACCACCAGCACCTTGTGTCAACGGCAGCCACCACCGCATCGATCTCGTTATTCTGGTGGCTTTTCTTGAGCAGGCAGTCAAATTGTTTCCAGATCATGGATCACATGTCAATGCGTCAAATAAAGATGAGGGCAACTTCTTGACGACGCGCACGACAAGAAGAAGAAGTCCCGTGCTGAACCCAAGTAAGTATTTGATACTCAATCAACACCGAATCATGTAGATTTCCTGAGACATTCCTATTCGATTGCATAAGACATTGCTTCTCATGCAAGGTTTTTTTTTCAATTCAACTTTGTTACCAGCATATTAATATGATCGTTCATTATTTAGTCCTAGTCCTACCGGTATCCTACTGTATTTTTTAATATAATTTTTGCGTTTGTTCAGTTTTGAAAAGCATCATAATGAGGGAACCATCCGAATAAGTATCCGAATGAAGTATGAAAGGTGACATATCCCTCAAACGATACCTAATACCTAATACTGAGCATTCATCGATTTCGAAAGAGAATTCAGGGATGATATCCATCTTGGCAAACACCTTCGCAAGAACTACTCATGATACATTGCATTTCATCAATCTCACAATAGTCACTCTCGCACCAAACATCAGAAACACACACAGCGCCGATACCAAGCTTTGGGGTGGCTTCGCAGGTTCCATCACTTCCACATACTAAGCCAAGCCAAGCTTCGCAGTCCTTGTCTTCATCACATTTGTCACCAGCTTCTCCATGACTCCAATCTACGCAAACGTTATGCACACATTTATCTGAGTAGCATTGATCGTTAGAATCACAATCAGCACCAGCAAGCTGAGGTCTGCAGATTCCATCAGGTGCACACTTTAGGTTGTTCCAAGAATCCCAAGAATCGCAGTCAGATGCGTCATCGCAAGCGTCGCCAGAGTCTCCGTGATCCCAATCCTTGCAAACGTTATGAACACATTTTCCACTCTCGCAGATAGAGTTAGTCTCACACGCAGCACCAACAAGCTTGGCAGCCGCGCAGGTTCCATCAGCTGCACATACTAAGGGATACATGCAGTCTTGGCTGTCGTCACAATCCTCATCAGCGGCTCCATGTTCCCAATCTTTGCAGACGTTATGCACACATTTTCCACTCCCGCAGGAATAGTTTGAATCACACACACGGGGTACACAGGTTCCATCACTCTCACATTCCATGTCATAGCTGCAGTCAGATGCGTCATCGCAAGCGTCACCAGAGTCTCCGTGATCCCAATCCTTGCAAACGTTATGAACACATTTTCCACTCTCGCAGATAGAGTTTACCTCACACTCAGCACCAGCAAGCTTGGCGGCCGCGCAGGTTCCATCAGCGGCACATACTAAGGGATACATGCAGTCTTCGCTGTCGTCACAATCCTCATCAGCGGCTCCATGATCCCAATCTTTGCAAACGTTATGCACACATTTTCCACTCCCGCAGGAAAAGTTAGAATCGCACGCACTGGGTACACAGGTTCCATCACTCGCACATTCCAAGCCATAGCTGCAGTCATATAAGTCATCGCAAGCGTCGCCAGAGTCTCCGTGATCCGAATCCTTGCAAACATTATGAACACATTTTCCACTCTCGCAGATAGAGTTAGTCTCACACGCAGCACCAGCAAGCTTGGCGGCCGCGCAGGTTCCATCAGCTGCACATACTAAGGGATACACGCAGTCTTGGTTGTCGTCACAATCCTCATCGGCGGCTCCATGATCCCAATCTTTGCAAACGTTATGCACACATTTTCCACTACCGCAGGAAAAGTTAGAATCACACGCACGGGGTACACAGAATCCATCACTTGCACATTCCAAGTCATATTGGCAGTCTTCGTTGTCGTCACAAGCGTCACCAGAGTCTCCATGATCCGAATGCTCGCAAACGTTATGCACACATTTCCAAGTGTAGCATCCTTCGTTATAATCACACGTAGAACCATCAGGCTGTGCGACTACGCAGATTCCATCACATATATAACCACCGCATTCTCCATAGTAGTCATACTCACACAGCATATCGGGGGGTGTAAGTGATGCTCGGGCATCGTCTTTGGTGCGAGTATGTTTTGTTTCGGAATGCTTGGTGTGGAAAAAAGAAAGAACAAAAAACAAGAACAGTTGATGAGTGGATATGATGGATATCATACGGATCAAGATACGTGCTGTGTGTTTCACTGTAACTTACAACTTCGTTTCTAGCCCCAGTGTGCTCGGTTCGGGCATCCTCTTTGGTGCGAGTATGCTTTGCATTGGGATGCTTGGTGTGGAAAAAAGAAAGAACAAAAAACAAGAACAGTTGATGAGTGGATATAATGGATATTATACGGAGCAAGAAACGAGTTGTGTGTTTCACTGTAACTTACAACTTCGTTTCTAGCCCCAGTGTGCTCGGTTCGGGCATCCTCTTTGGTGCGAGTATGCTTTGCATTGGGATGCTTGATGTGGAAAAAAGAAAGAACAAGAACAATAAGAGCAGGCAGTTAGTGGATACAATACTTATCATACGGAGCAAGAAACGGATTGCGGCTTTACCGTAACTTACAACTTCGTTTCTAGCCCCAGTGTGCTCGGTTCGAGCATCCTCTTTGGTGCGGATTTGCTTTGCTTCCACGTTAGAAGAGGATCGTTCTCGTTCGTGTTGGTTGTCCTTCACATCATGGGCGACAACAGCCACGAAAGCAACGAAGAGCAGGCAAAACGATTTTGCAATCTTCATGATGATTGATTATAATGTATCTTCACAGAAGATTATGACGGAAACGTGAACACCAATTCGAAAATAGGAAAATACTGTATGAAAATCCAAGATCCAATCCAAAATATTATAGATTCGAAGTACCGGTATAGCTACTGTACCTGCGGTACTGGCTCCGGTCATCCTGCTTGTGTGCGGCACTCCGAAAAGATCTGAGCGGTCATTATTGTTCTCAGATCTTTTGATATCTGCAAATACAGCGCAGAGCGACGTACTTGGCAAGGTGCGTGGAGAGGCTACTGTACAGGGACGGCCGGGAAAATCAATATTTCCTTTCAAGAATTGTATGCTAAATATCTATTTCCCGGCCGTTCCGTAGGTATATGCGGACGCCAATGATCTTCTTTGGCAGCGAGGAGACGGACAGAATTTTGGATGCGCTGTACTGAACTGCGTAGAGCAATGCTGTGCTGTATATTCAAACCGACAAATAATCGGACGAACCAATTGAACGAACTCACTCTGTTCGAAAATAGATAATACATCACTGACGAACACTATCTTGAGTCAATGTCAGCCGCAGAAAGAATAGTATAATAACGAGAGCAATCTAAAGGTTGAAAAATATAGTGTCCCCATTCATGATCGTTTCTAGCATGCATATCTGGACTCTATATATGCTGTCACGTGACCGAGGAAGTGTTATTCCATATCCCTTGAGCAATATGAATTCCATGGCAAAGGCTCCCAATTCAAAACTATCGGACAATTTGATTGGTAGCTTTCGTTCGTATCCACGTCAAATAAGGTCAATGCAATACCTCTATCAGTCCGGCTTTTGATCATCGGCATATATATGCGCGATTGCTCCAATCTCTTTAGCAGACGTTACTCAAACGCTTGTTCCGTGTGACGAGCTATGGCCTCTATTGCTTCGTCGCTCGACCTTAGCTGCGTGCTCCCTGACTGTGCGCTCTCCGCATTGCCGACGAGGAAGAATTCAGAATGAGCAATATTGTTCTTGGTTGCAACAAGCTCCTTCCACGTACGTTATATGCCAGTTGTTGCATGGTTGCTAACTCGGGAGACACACCGTTCCTCTCCTCCTCTATATCCGGGCCTCCTCCGATAATACTCGCATCGCAGTGTTTTTATAATGCATTTCTGGGTTCTGGGGTGTGATGTAGTTATATACGTAGAGGTACCCCGCAATATATGCGTTACGCGTCCGACTTGGTAGGTACTTCATTAGTGTTCAACCAACGGTATATTCTTCGCAGCGCAAATATACACAATCATCTGAGTATATTTATATTGTATTGAATATAGCATACTAGTACATATTGTTCAACAATAACAGCGCATTGCAACAGTAACAGCAACACAGCAATGTCATCCGCACTTAATCTTCTGCAACGAAGCACAAGTAGTACAGCAGCATCCGCATCAGCATCCGCATCCGCGACTTATTATTTTTGTTCTATGCAGATGAAACCCAGAATCCACATGTGGTCGTCACGGCTGCCATTCTTATTATGTCCATCAGGGTCAACGATTTCATCATTCTCTTTGGGCAATGGATCATCGTCATCGAGTGTCATTGATAATACGAATAATATTAACAACACCGCGGACAGAACGACCAGGGCAATGACCGCGATTACAAGAAGAACATCAGCCACCCTGACACTGAGATTCCAACCATCAACATCATCATCATCATCGTCATCACTAAGACGCTGCTTTCACAGCAAAGCTGACTATCAACAGTGGCGAAAAGACGTTCAAGACTCGGCATTGAAACCTTCAAATAACCAAACAACTACCATGCGCATGGAACCTTTGGATTTGCCAACCTTCGCACCCTTTCTACACTCGGTCTCTCCCATGGCGGATCAATTGTTTCTGGCAGGTGTCCAAGACGCTACTCCTTCGTCACCACGAGATTCCTTGTTGGAATGTACCTATCCTTTGGCATCCAATGAAATTCTTCGTTATTCCGTTACCGACTTTTCCCATTGGTCGGCCTTTCGATTGGGAAAGTTCTACGAGTTGGTCGATGCCTTGACTGCCGATGTGGCCTATCGCCATGCTGCCGCCAATGATGGTACCAATGGAAGTACAGACGACAATAATAATAATAATAATAACAACGAGGAGGTTACCTTGGTGACGGCTGGACACTATCATTCTCGAAAATATGGCAAAACAGACTTGCACAAAGATGTTGTATTGCGATCCTATGTCACACAAGTCGGTCGATCGTCTCTGGAAGTACGGACTGATGCCTGGCAAGACGAGGATAAGCTGGTCAACGTATGTCACACCATCATGGTAGCCCTTGATCCAAAAACCATGAAACCCTTATCCAAAGTGGGCAAGGCATTGCCTCCTTTGATTTCAGAGGATGACGGTGACGAGGATCGGATTCGATTGGCGGACCAACATCAACAAATTCGACTGGATCGTTCTCAGAAGGCCATGCAACTGCGCAACAAGGTATCCGCTCCTCCCACCATTGATGAAATGGGAGAACTGCACAGACTGCATCGTCGTCGTGCCCTTCAACGAGAAGGACAATTCGTTTCGGGTGGTGGTGATGGTGGTGGCATCACCGGCAGTAACGATAACAGCAATACTCTTGCATGTTCTCCCACCGTCCAAGACTACACCTTTCGGTCGTCCCGAGTCATTTTTCCAGAACAGCGCAACGTCCATGGCAAACTGTTTGGAGGTTTTGTCATGGCCGAAGGACAATCCTTGGCCCAATTTGCAGCAACTTTCTTTGCCATGGGAAATCCCATTGTTCCCATGGGAATTGACGAAGCCATCTTTTTGCAACCCGTAGCCTTGGGAGACATGGTAACCTTTACGGCGCGGTTGGTCCATGCCACTGCCACTACCTGTCGAGTCAATGTGACGGTGGAAGTACGAGATCCATCCGCACCTTCCCGAGTGCCCGTGAGATCCAATCGTCTCGTCTTTGTCTTTTGTGGAGATTTTAGTAATAACAATAGGGGCAATGCCGAAATCATCCCCGAAACCTATCAAGAAATACTCATGCATGTGGATGCCCAACGTCGGCATGCAGTGGAAGGACCATGGGAGGATGAAGTGAAGGGTATTTTGGAAGAAATGCAAAAAGGCAATGATAGCAGTAGTACCTAGTGCTGGCTTCTGCAGGACTCCAGGACTCTATGGACTAGGTACAATATATACATACATATATATATATTCATAGCTGTTATTTTAAAAAATAAAAAAATAAAGTTGTATTAAAATACATGATACTATTATACGATATTACGTGTGGAAGTAGTCCGAGTCCATTATATTTGAATGACATAAAATGACATTTTATATAAATTCCACATTGGCAGCCTCAAAAGCCTCGTCAATCTTGGTCAATATCCTCTTCCAATTGATCGGATCGTATTCCCCCGAGTACCCAACGGGAATTTCAGTTCCAACCGTTTGCAGAGGAGTTGGTCGTTGGGTTACTCCCTTTTCAAAGACTACCAATTGATTGTAATAATGAATGTGTTTCACTTGTTTCGGTATGGTTTTCCACCATGGATTGTCCGCCGAGTCTTTGCAATCGAATTTGCAATTGGAAATCGTATCAATGTCCTGGGCGTAATAAGAATGTCTCCCTCTCATGGTAGATGCCGTGAACCAATCCATGGTTTGATGGACAAAGCCCACCATGGTTTCATTGATAAATTTGCGATTTGGACTATTGGTTTTGCCATTGGGGATTCCGCCATAGATCTTTTGCCACGAGGTTCCCAAATCTTCGCACATGTATACCCCTTCCGGTTGGACATGCGGTAGAAAATGTTGAATGGCCGTAATTTGTTGTTCCATAGTGTGTCCACCATCATCCAAAAAGATGTCGACATGAGGATACTTCTCTTTAATATACTCCAAAAAGGTGGCATTGGCCGAGTCACCAATTTCAATAGAGGCTGAAAAGTCGTCCTCCGGTTGGGTCCGAAACTGCAATGTGGAGGGATTGATATCAATGCCAACATATTGAAAACCAGGACCAAAATATTTGCGCAGTAACGGAATCTTTCCTCCACTTTGAACCCCAATTTCCATAAAGACGACGCCTTGCCGATTGCGAAATCTTGCCATGTGATTGTGATAAGGTTCCAAATAATGGATCCACGAGTTCCACAGGGGAATCTCGGAATGTTTGGAAGTATCCATGGACCCAAGGACGGACAGGTATCGGTGAAAGGGATTGGCAGTGTCCGTGAGAATGGAAACTGTGGTCGTCTTGCGTCGATAGTTGGCTTTGAAATGCGGGCTCGAATGTTCCAAAGGTTGTATCGTAGTAGTGGTAGTGGTAGTGGTAGTGGTAGTAGCAGTAGTAGTGGTAGTAGTAGCGGCATCACGAGTAGCAGTGTCTTCAGTACTTATTCTGCTGGAAGGACGAGACGCTGCTTCTGATCCTACTATGGGCACTGCTGTCACCATTGTTGAGGATGGCTGACAAAGTGCTGTCGAAGAGCAGGCCGTTGAAGTTGTTGTACGAGGCCCGCCAGCAATAGCACCTGCACTGTTATTCATACTGCTATTTCGAAAACATGTCAAGACTCCAAGCACCCAACCGAGCGTGAGGATCATCAAGCGGACAAACCATTCGCTGACTCCTTTGCTTTGTCCTTTTGGCTTCATATTCATTGGATTGCGATTGCGATTGCGATTGCGATTGATTATACTCTCTTTCTATACTGTATTGTTGTGGTTTCCATGTGGGCATCCATTGCTTTTTTATATTAGTATTGTAATAGTACCGGTACCGTATATATATTGCTTGCTATATATTTTATGCATGCGTGCGGTCGTGGTGGCATTCTCTGTTTTCATTTTGTTTTATATATATAACATGCGGATGCTTCTTTCGCGCGCAGGCAGCGTCATTTTATCGCTAAATTTCTATATTATTACGTGTGGAAAAATAAATGAGATCAAATTGGATCCAGCGAGTCCAAAATCTGCAACGTGACCTGCGGGCGCGAGCGCCATCTTCAGCATAATATACCGGTATATATAATAACATCGATGATGGAAATTCCTGATTGCTCGTAATGGATCATGATGATGGAAACCAAGAGTTGCAGTCTCAAGAGAAGCCCGTGAAGAAGAAGAACGACGTGCTGAAGAGGAAAGAAAATGCCTCGAAGAAGAAGAACGAAGAACCAAAAAGGCTGCAGGAGCATCCATCATGCGATCAACAGTGGACACTCTCCGAGCTGTAAACTATTACTCTGCAGAAGATGATGCTTCTTGGGCGATTCATACTCCCAATGTGACGACTGTGATTGGACGACACAAACAAAAGCTCTACCATGGTTTCATTGCCAATTGCCACAAGGCAGTTGCCGAACAAAAAGAAGAGAACCCTCAGTTGTGCTCTGAAAACGAAGAATATCGAAGGTACATGAACAAATATCAGCCACCAAGCATGCACAATTGGAAAGGACAAAACCGAATGGCCTCACCTTACAACCTATCATAATTTGTGGGACTCTCCACCGACTGTGACTATACTGAATGAGGGTGTCAACGAAGGGGGTGGTCAAGAACTCAAGAGCTCACGAATGAGTTGTTTGCCGAAGCGAAGAAGGTCGTGGAAGAGTGGACTGGCCAAGAGCTTCGACCAGTCTCACTCTATGGAATTCGACTTTTTCATAATGGATCGAGTCTAGCGCCTCATATGGACCGCAACCCTCTCATCAGTTCTGCCATTAGTAAGTTTTTAGTTCTTTGATCTGATCGGAAGGTTGAATGGATTGTGTTGACAACAGTAGGTAAACTGACTCACAGCTTTGTTTCTTGTTTCGCAAATCTGCATAGTCAATGTGGCCCAAGACGTGAACGAGGAATGACCCCTAGAAGTGTATGGACACGAAGGGGCTGTCACAAATGTTACCATGGCACCTGGAGACATGGTCCTGGTGTATGAGAGCCATTCCGTTATCCATGGAAGACCGTTCTCGTTGAATGGTGACTTTTATGCGGTACATGTTGGAAAGGATTACTGCTTTGTGCTATCATAGTATCTAGTGTGGCAAAGCAAGTTCACCACTGTTTTGCGATGTCGTGATACAGAACATTTTTGTTCATTTTGAACCACTAGGCCCCAGCAAGGACGAACCATTGGAAACTTTTATGACCCCGATCTACATCTTCCACCATATCTCATTCCCGGCAGTGGATGGGTGACACAATGGAGGAAGGAGCACTGAGGAAACCTTTGACGTGGTAAAGGCAGCAAACGTAGGAGACTTGGTGGTTCTTGAGACAATTGCTGATAACTATCCAAACGATCTCGAGGACACTAAGGATGACCTTGGATGGGAAGCACTGCACTTGACAGTGAAAGCGGGTCACTTGGAAGCTGTTGAATTATTAATAGACTATGAGGTAGACATTAACAGTGTGGTGAATGACGGAGCTACGGCCTTGAGCATTGCCTGACAATTCCTGAAAGAAGGTCATCGCTCCCATACCTCAGCAGTTCTTGATGGAGAATGAATCACTGTAATATACCTTAGAAATAAAGAAAGAATGCCTACCATCTTAGTTTATACTGTACAATATCCATAATAGTCAATCATACTGCTTTGTAGGGACGAATGTTTGGATCACTCTTCGTACCGGTACGGTACTGTACCATCTAGATTGATTCGAAGGAGTCAAACGCTGAGACTCATATTTGCCCCGCGTGCACGCATCATTATTGCATCGTCTCCAACCGCACGGGCGGAACGTTTTTGGTTTTCACACCGCACACCTCACAACTTACATTATGAAATTCTTTACACCAACCAATACACCAACTAGACCAAACATCAACATGACCAACACTATTATCAACTACATCAACTACATCACTACCATCATCGTCAATCAAGAATACATCATTCAAGCAGGCATCAGCTTCTTTCGATTGCCTTTGATCGTCACTCAAACCGTTCGAGAAACCGCCATCGCAGCTGGTTTGGTTTGTGCGACGGCGCTATTGTTACTTCGGAACATGGCGCTCGACCTATACCGAAGCTATCAAGGATTTTTCAAGCAACAGAGCTGCAACCGACAACAGCCTCCTTGCTTGAGAGTTACGGGAGCTGTAGCTTCCCGCCCACCGGGTGACTTGTCTCGTCGACCAGTTGGACTTACAAAAAAGGCAATCGTCATCATTATATATTGATTCATTCCAACCAAGCCAATTGCATTTTTGTACAAAATGTACCGGTAGAGATGTGCCATCACTAAGCTATGGACTCCCCGTGGCAAGATGGGCCTCCCCTAAATACATGAAGTATCTTTGGGGTTTGGAAATTTACATCGCACTTCCCATTTTGTCCAAAACGTTGAAAGAGACATTCATTGCACCTTTTCCTAGTATTGTACGAGTGCTTTGGTTGATGGCAATTGCAATTCAAGAAGAGACAGCGCACGTGGAAAAGAATACATTAAAGTACAGAATTTGGTTGGTTGTTCGTCTGTAATCGTCCCAACAGCAGTATGTCATTGCCATCATTAGAACGACAAAATCTCGGTCTAATTTTCGCTATAATTTTAGATCCAGATAGTCGCAAACGGAGCCCTTACGTAGTGCCATAGGTCAATTGCTTCGTTTGGTGGGGTGTTGTTACTATCGAAGAGAATTATGTTGACGTCCCAATGATATTATATTTTGCCAACAGTATAATGACAAAATATCAGTCGGTCAGAATAAAAGGCAGAATTGAAGGCCAAAGAGGCCAAAGAGACGAAAATGTAGGTCTTCTGTAGGATGATAGATTCTGTAGAAATCTAGAATAATGATTGCGTGATCGGAGAAATGATTTCAGACCTGAGAGTAGTGGAGAAGAACAAAAATGAGATCAAAGTAGTGGATTCATTCATTCGCATCGAATCCATGATCTGCAACGTGGCACGCGCGAGCGCGCCATCTTCATCTTTTCCGTACCAGACACGCGGCATTATAAAATATTTGAACATACAGTGTCCTACCGGTACCAGTACCGGTATACCAATATACTGTACACGACAATAAAATCATACTAATAACGATGATGCAATCAACGAAGAATAAGAATAATGATGACGATGAAAGAATAAGAAGAATAGCCGCCTTTTTTGACTTTGACAAGACCTTGATTGCCTTGGATTCCGCTGGCAAGGAAGCCACGACAGTGCTGGCCACCAAGTATGATGCGTATCACCATTATCCACTGCTGTGGACCGGATTGATTGTGTGTACCCTCTTGAATCCATTGGTGGAACGCAATTACATGCAAACGGAAACCTTGAATTTGATTTATTATTATTGTTGTTATCGCAACTTGTCCGTAAACGAACTCCAAGGTCATGCGCAAGACTTGTATCTTCGTTTGTTGAAGCCAGCTGTGTATCAGGAAATCTTAAACGAAATGCAAGAACATCAACGCAAGGGACACCTCGTGGTGTTATTGTCGGCTACCAGTGAACATTTGATCGAACCATTTGCCAAGGAATACAAGGTGGATGTTTGTATTTCCACCAAGATAATAAAGAAGCAGACGGTTCATTCGAAACGGAAACGAACGAAAGGGGACAACAATAACAACAATAATGACAATGATGATAGTGATGATAGTGATGATGATGATGATGATGATGCGCAGTATTATTACACAGGAGTAGTGGATGGCAAGGTTTGTTGTCAAAAGACCAAGTCAGATCACGTCCATCGCCTAGCCCAAGAATATAATTTGAATTTGCAAAAGTCATTTGCCTATTCGGACCATCATCATGATATTCCGTTGTTGGAATCAGTGGGCAATCCTTCCGTCGTGCATCCCACTTCCTTGTTGGAGCAAGAAGCCAAGAAAAGAGATTGGCCCATTTTGCGACCCATCATACCCGAGATAGTTATTGCCATGGAAGAAGCAAAACAGAAGACGAAGAAGACGAAGGATGAAGAGCAGGATTCATCCTTGCCAAAGACTATGATTTTGTTTGGCATTGGCATTCTTGGTTTGGGAACAGTTATAGTAGGACTGGGCCTTCCGCTTATTCGCAGTCAATAAGATTGTTGTAAGGGGCCGTCGCCCTAGAACTTTGATACCATGTACCATGTACAGTACCGGTATGTATATAGAAGATATTATCACTAGCAATATAACCAAAATAAAATGTAAATGAGAAAAATAAAGATCTGACTGCTGACGACGAGTGTCGGTAGAACCAATCATCAGCTAGGTATATAGAGCAATATATATAATATTCAAAGCAAGCCATAAATTTCAAACATGTTAGTTGTCATTATTATTGCAATACTTTTTGTAAAACCATACTATAAACATTAGGTACAGTCGTCCTAATACCCCATACACGCATCGTTTCATAAATGTAATGTAATACCACATTCCAGTTCCCATGCATAGATCATCCTACGAAATCTCGTGACTTTGGTGCTGTTCTTGTTCTTGTTGGTCATTGTCCATTATCCATTATCATAGTTTTTTCTGCACTCATCGCTTGTATCCACTCTCCAAAATCCTCCCTCCCTCCCTTACTCACTCGCTCATTACTTGAGAACGACGTACAACACCAACGCCAGAATACCCAAACACAAAAATACAGCGACCTTGACCAAGATTGGTTTGTATACCATATCACATTCGCTATTGGCATCCAGCTGTCGCGAATCCTTGAAATTACGACGTTTGTAACTATTATTATAATCATCATTGGTAATAGTCGTCGAAGGTGTGTTGGGAGTGGTCAAGTTGCCTGACATGTCGAGAATCCGGACCGACTTTTTGGGTTTGACCACGTTTGGCATTGGTCCTCCGCCAGCTTCCTCATCATTTTGGTTGCTGTTCTTATTGTCCTTTTGCTTCTTGATGCGAGCAATGACCAGGACGGTCAGAAAGAATCCAATCAGACTTTTGGAAAGTTGTCGAAAGGGAGAGGACCAATTGTTTTGAGACGAATGCTGGGATTCAGAAACGGCGGTTGTTGTTCTTCTGCTTCCTTTAGTATTTGTCGTGTTGGTGTTGGTGTCGGTGTCGGTGTCGGTGTTAGTCATATTCCTTGTGGGTGATTTCAAGCTGCTTTTTGGCATATTTTGCTTTGTTTGGTTCATCGTTGTGGCAGTCGTAGGTTTCGCTTCATTATTGTTGTTGTTGTTGTTGTTGTTGTTTATGTCGTTAGTCTTGTGGAGAGTGATGATGAAATTGGCATTGTCACTTTTACTTTCACTGTCACTGTCATCGTTGGCATGGTTTGGTTTCGGTGCTTCAGCATCATAAGACTCCTCTTGCGGAGCTGATTCGGGGACTTGAACGGCATTCTGAGACATGGTGGTTATATTGGATGAGCAATGCGATGTATAACGCGGGTCAAGATTGATTGATTCTTTGCGTGCTTGTTTGCTTGCTTGCTTTTATATTGATTCAATCTATATACCGTATTATACCGGAACAAGAAGTAGCTATATCTAGCCTACTGTATGTTGTGATTGTGCAACTGCGTACTCTTCGTGGTGTTGTAGCTTGAGTGAGAAACGTGATTTGTTTCGTTCTCTCTCTCTTTATATTATAGTATTATTGTAACGATCGAGACAACAACAAAATACATAAACCGCCCAATCGCATCACACTTTTTAATTAAAATTGCGTTGATGAGAAGATGATATAAGAGTTTTGAATGCGGTTTTGGAGTGTGTGGGTGGGGGAGCGTTTCGTGTCGAAAAGGCAAAGATATCACACGCAAATACTTTTGATGCGACAATAAAAAGACCCGTAATTGACGCTGTACTAAAATCTAATTGGTCACTCATTCCCGATTTGTCTAGTGGAACTTTTCGCTCCTTGATTTTATGTTCATCATCGCATCATTCGTTCAGTATTATTGCGGTGGAAGCATTAGTATACATCGCGTCACGATTGCATTATTATTCTCTGCCCGTAATCATCTCCTATATACTCCCACAATAACATCATGCAATCGGAGGCGGCTGACCTGTCCATTGGGGCTCTGCTCATGCATCTCTTCCCTTGTCGACCAGAACACGAACACGAACACGAACACGAACTTCCATATATTATCTATTATCCATCATCATTTGAATGATGGTGCCGTTCCCGGAGAAGCACATAGCTGAGGCCCATCCAAACGATTCAGCAGATTCAGACCATCGCGGACGACGAGTCCATCCAAGTTTCGAGAAAACATTTCGCCATAATTGCCACTTTCTCGTACGGAATTCTGCCAGATGCCAGTTAGCTCACTTCCAAACAAGTTCGTGGTGGGCATCTCAATCGAGGTATCCTTGGCAATGCCCTTCTCTTCTGCATTGAACAAACCGTAAATGATCCAGCGGATCAAATCGGAAAACTGTTGGTCATCGGACCGATGCATCAAACTCAAAGGTTCCTTCGTATGCTGTTCGGTTCCCACAAAGTAATCCTGCAGCGACTTCAATGATGGATCCAGCTTGTGGGATTCGTATACGATGGAATTGCACTCTCTAGCCAGATGTTTCTCCATTGCTTCCGCTCGGATGTGGTCAACAAAATATTAGCTGAAGGAACACTCATGGCTGCAACCGCATCGAGCCAAGTCGTCAGTTCGGGAACACAAATCAACGTGTCGGCACAGGTTTCATCAAAGAACAAGTTGGCAGCACATCGACCATGTGGCTCGTATCCCGCTACTATCATGCCATCGTAAAAGTACGGCGGGGAAAAGTCAAAGGCAAATCCTCCACTGCTGGAATGCTTGATTTCTCGTTCCAGCGTGCGAGTTCTACCGGCAGCAACGTCGATCCTTCCAGATTTGACACCAGTAAAGACTTCACTGTTGGTGACGGCAACAAAATCAACCTTGGCGGGACCATTGAAAATAGCAGCCGCTACGGCCCGACAAATAATGTCGACTTCAAAGCCCATCCAGCGGTTGGTCTGCTCGTTGAATTCGGCAAATCCCTTGGCGGGGGACACGGAAACATACCAGGGCACCTCGTTGAATGATTCATTCGTTCGATATGTCCTCCTGAGACTGGTCGATCACCGAGATCTCCATAGGCACCAAAATCCATCGACACAATCAGACCACTCGTTCGGTCACATACATGATTCATGGCAGGTCGTGAAAAGGGCATGTGGTCTTGGTCCAGATTTCACCAATGTTTCCATTGGCACCCACTGCGGATTGAAACAAATTGTCGAACCTGTATCGGGCATTATTGTCGTTGAAGACGCTTGTTGATTTCATCAATCCTGCGCTGGGCTGGGGTGATTCCTGATTCTTCTGCCTCTACCAAAGCTTCAAAGATCCACGACGTCATTTTGGTCCACTGGCGATCAGAAGATCGCGTCATCCAAGTTTCAAAACTCTTGGAATGCATTCGACTTCCCAAAGCGTAACCAAGAAAACTTGAGTTGTATCCAAGACGCTCCACATTTTCTTGGACGACTTCAAATCGTGTGGCGCCAAAGACATTGCAAAGACCTTCTCCAAGAGCGGGCACCGATCCGGTAATACCTTCGGTTCCTACAACACTTTCGGGAGGGAAAATGTCCGCCACCACGTCGTACCAAGACGACGACGAGCTAATGCAAACTTTGACTCCTTGGCAGGAAGGAGAAATGTAGTCAGAACTGTCGGCGCATTCCACAAATCGAGGAATCCCGGCAAAGGTCAAACCGGCAAAGTAATAGGGCATGGAAGCAAATGAGAAGGACGATTGGGACTTTTTCTGACAATATGGGTTGGTTGGTTGATTGACATTCAAACGAGAAGAGCATAATTGTTAGACATGAAAGGAAATTGCGGCACTGCCACCGTCACCACCAAGCACCAGAGATTGACTTACCTCGTAAATATCACGATTGGCAAGAAAGTCCGACCCAAAGATAATATCGAATTTGCCATCATTGATTGCAGTGTTGTGCTCTCTTCGTCGTCCTCCCCATCACTCTCAGTTGGTGCCACTATCATTTGGTATGTACCTGCCCAAGTGCGTGATCCTCCGACATTGTGCAATGGATCCACCTCAAGCTTTTCGCACGGCATGAAGTAGTCGCATCGGTAGCCATACCAGCCACCTTCGCAGGCGCACCGGTTGTTCTGAATCCAAGAAGGAATACAATGTTAGACAAAATATTGATGTTGAATTAAGATTGATGTTGGATTGCATCCATTGAACTCGTGCCTATCATGTCAGTCTAAAGGCAAATGATACTACCTACCACACATTTCCCTCGAGCTCCGCCACCGCAAAAGTTCTCGTCGTACTTGCAATCGTAACATTCCAAAGTGAAATGGGGTACTGGTAGTTGTCTTCGGTCCCCCACCTTGATGCTCCAAGTTTCGCTGCCTTTCACCGACTCCATGATATTGTACGAGGTCTCTGCCAACACATCCGTTTCTGGGGAACCTGTGATCCAATTAGCGCAATTGAATTGTCCGTCCTCATCGAATGCAAAGACCCAAGCCGAAATGTCCTCGCAAAAGAAGAACCGACTGCCATGTCCACTCTCCACATACGTCGCTCGCTCACAGAAAGTGTCGTCGCCTTCGCCGCATCTTGAATCGTATAGGCCACTAAAGGTTGCCAATCCTGGATGATAAATGTCATTGAATTGGACAAAGATGGTATCGCAAACGAAGGTTCCCGTTCGCTGCCAATAACAGTTGATGGCCCATCCTACTAGCATGATGAAATATACAATGAGGATGAAGAGAAAGCGAGGGAATCGGTTGTAGCATATGTTCCGTTGCTCTTCCCCAAACTTTTGCTGTTCCCTTTCAGTAGTTCCAAACGAGGGGACCGAAAAGTTATCATAGTTTTCAATCTCTTCTTGTTCTGTCATCTCCAGATCCAGCGTGAGATCTTCAATGAAAGCATGCGGATTCCCGACATGCTTCTTGGATTTCTTCTTGACGTGTAATTGACGATTGCGGCGTTTCTGGCGTTTATTATAGTTTCGATTATTCGTTGCAAATTGGATTGTGTCAATAGCAGGCGCGACGGGGCTTCAAGCGCAACGATATGATAAATGCATAGCAACCAAGGTTCACCATGCTTCTCTCGTCGTTAACTCCCAAAATTAAAAGCATTCGACCTGCCTGGTACTGTAGCTGGTACTTGCTCGAGGTACCAGACTAGTGCGTACCAGGTACTATTCATCATGTCGTATCCTTACCGGTACGATATTCATTACTTCGCAGAACCCTGGTGGAATGGCTTTCAAAATAGCCTATGTTGAGTCAGTCAAGAGTACAATTTGCGCAAACAGGACATGGTTGCTCTCAGGCCTGGTCTTTCATTCATGTGCAATTGAAGCTGCGATGATGATGTTGTCGCTTATATCCTTCTCCGATTCTCCCTAATACACGACAATTCGAATTATTTAATTAATTGTTTGCTTCGATTCGATTCGATTCATTCGACCGCTGTGACCCATTCGATCAAAGATAAAGACTCATTCGATTGATTCATTCGATCACGCGATCCAAAATACGAGTACTCGTATATAATACGCACACAAAGACTTGAGACACGATTGGATGATTGGATTGGAACGCAGAAGAATATACTCGCACACTGTATCACGACACGGAAATATAAAACAATACAGTGTCTCAGCTTTCATGATGAAGACATCATCCTTGCAGTCTTCAGCTGATTCGTTTCCTTCGATAGATGATCAGTCCAAAGACGTATTCATTTACCTTGGAGAAAATATAGAAGAGCAGATTGGAGGACTGTCATCAGCAACGAAGAATCATCATGATCGTCCAAATAAGAGACAATCATTCCTGTTGCCAAGAAGAAGCAGCAAGGTCCCGAAGGATGTCGTCAAGGTTCTGATTCATCCATGGGTCAAAGTCATTCCCAGTGGTACCTTTTCGAACTGTGGCCGTCTACGAGAGATACAATTTGGGTTTGCAACAAGTAACAAAAATGATGGATTTAGTGACACGAAGAATGCTGATGGTGGTGATAGTAATAGTAGCAGAGGCACGAATCATCATCATCATCCTCGGCAGCAGCAGCATGCTTGTGTTTTGGAAGTTATTGGTGAATCCGCGTTTAGCCATTGTGTCTCGCTGAAGCATGTGGCGTTACCACCATCTCTCAAAAGGATTCACAAGAGCGCCTTTGAAGGATGCCTCACTCTAATATCGGTCGAGATGTGTCATGGCCTGACACGAATTGACGATAGGGCGTTTTGCGATTGTTATGGTCTCAAAAATATCGCTATTCCAGATACTGTGGAGCTGGTGGGAGAGTCGGTGGTGACCATGCGCAAGTATACTGCCACTCTTGATGAAGAAGATGCTGCTACGGATGTTAAAACCGGTAGTGGTGACAAAGAAGAAGAAGAAGATGTTCGCCAAACGGAAGATCCAGTGGTGAGGTCTCTGCGGAAACGTTTTCAAGACTTGCCGATTCACCATCTATGCTATTACTTTCACCAATTATACACGAAGAACTACGATAGCATGGATGAGAAGGATATATCTCGGTTGGTGGAAGATGTTACTAGCCACGGAAGTGGTGGCAATTCCAAAAGTAGTACGGACTCCTTTGGAATGACGCCCTTGCATCTTTTAGCATGTTCGGCTTGCCCTAATAGTCCAAAGCTGCTAAAAGTCCTTCTGGATCGCGTCTACGACAACCACGAATCCAACGACAATACCGACTACTCGGTACTGACCAAAGATAGTTGGGGAAACTATCCAATTCATTATGCTGTCCGGTGCAATGCCCCAATTGAGGTTGTTCAACTCTTGATTGAAGCTCAGCTTGTCAATCACAATAGTAGTTCGGATACCACCGCCAATGACAGCAACAGGGAGCAACCACCTCATTTGCGACATAGACGAAAGGAACCACCGTATTGGAGAGGGCTTTTGGACTTGGCATGTGATTTGGCGTCGTTGCCAGTGACCAAGTTTCTGATTGAAGCAAGTGTAAAGGATCGTATCGATGGGCTCCAGTGTCCCGCATGGAAAGAAGATGTCCGGAGCATGATTTTCACTTATCAAGATGAAGAAGAAGACATGTCAGACAGGACGACGAATGCCCTAGAGAACCTACAGTACCAACGACAGCCAAAGCCATTCTTGGCTTCATCGCGATCTCGTCAGCAACTCGTCAAGGCAGTAGAGAAGCGATTGCAATGGTACAAGTTTCAAGAATCGTTATCGCTTTTGGAATTGAGTGTTTGGAAGGCCACATTAAACAGCAGTTCCACGGATTATATCATGGAAGAGAATAACAGACAGTCCCGCGAGAACTGTCGAATTCATTGTGGTGCAGAATTCGTCACGATGAATGTATTGGATTTTTTGGGTAGTTTTGAAGACCAACAACTGACTGCATGGAAGAAGAAGGAGAAGAAGTGTAGTATTCCGCTACTCCCGACTCCAAATCCATGGGGGACCGTGCCAGCATTAAGGCATTTGTAGTATACTAATTACTACTGGTAAGACTGATTGATTTAGTGATGCCTGGAATTTGAAAATTTTATTATATTGCTTTATTCTGCAGCCATATTAAAATACTGCATGTATAAATATCGCGAATAACAACCATGATAGGAAAACGCAAGAAAGATATACGCCACATCTAATGGAAATAAATATAATATAGTGAATCACCACCGTGGCTGAAACAACTACGCTATAACCCTTCAAATACCACTCGACGATGGATAAAAGACTCCCATTTATATGACATCTCTATCATCATGTTGACGAAGACGGTTGAATTAACGAATGAATAATAAGTCAAGCAATCAGTATACTTGATGAACAATAATTGCTTGTGGAATCTACATCGTCATTACGATTGGCAAGTTTTGGGAATAAGGTAATATGATACGGTCTCGATATGAGACCATATATATGCTGTTTCTCAGATGGACAAAGAATTCCGGATATAAATTTCTATGGTGATATTTTTTTAGCGATGGCCAAAAGATGGGGTGAAAAAATCTCCTTTTTCGTGGACTATATGGTCATATTTTAATGAAACAAAAAGTGATAATATATATAATCCAACATATTATTTTATATATATATATGTACCACAATTATTCTTCTGCGGACCGAATTGAGTAATACCGCGTGTTGTACGGATGTATAGCAAGAAATTCGATCCTTTTTATGCGGAGAAATCGGGAAATAACAAAATACAATACCAAAATATAATATGACACACATGTTCGACTCAACGGACTATACTATCACATGTGCAAACGGGCACGGAGAACAATTGAGAACCTGCCGAAAACGTGCTCAAACTTTCGCTACTGATTTAGTCTTGGCCGTTTCGAAACTGCGGTTCCTTCAATTTCACTTTTTCACACTCCAAATGCTCACAAAATCAAAGCAGAGGCTTTATTTTGTCACGAGAGCTACTCCAAAGGAGAGCTACTCGAATGTTCATTCAACCTCTACCGTGCTTCGATTGCAATAAAGGCCTCATTTTGGGGCTGGCATGCAAGAGTACTGCTGCGACACCAACTCTTGGAGTATTTGGCTGAGAGTTATGGCGTACAGCAGGTGAGTTCGTAAGTTGTCTGAACACCAATACACAACACACATACTTCTTTGGCTGGGGGAACCCCGTAAGCGATATCCCAAAGAGAGAGAAATTTCTGGCTCTCCGGTCCTGCTTCAGCTCCACGTGGGAGCTGTCGTTTGATTTGACTGTGCATGATGTGAAGGGAATAAGGCATATACATACAAAAGTATGATGTGCAAACTTTCCTTGAACGACACTGATCGTTCTAAAGAGAGCAACCCCATGAAGATGGCGGTGCTTCTCAAATCCAGAACACATACTTCTTTGGCTGGGGGAACCCCGTAAGCGATATCCCAAAGAGAGAGCATAACTGGCATTGAGCTATCTCTCCGGTCCGCTTCAGCTCCACGTGGGAGCTGTCGTTTGTTTTGACTGTGTATGTGAAAAATGGCAAACATACTGGCCTCAACAAGTGTGTGCAAACGTTCCCTGAAAGATGCTGATCCTTAAAAGAGTGCCACCGGTGATGGGGCCTCTGCTACAACGCGTATATGAAAGTATAGTTGGAGTGTGACTGGAGCATCTGGGAAGTTTGCGTCTAGCCTGTACGCATAACGTTCTGTGAACGGTGCGGAAAAGAGAGCAACCGCATATGACGGTGCCTCTGCTGCAACACGAATATGAAATTTTAGTTGCAGTTGGCGAATTCATATACACAACAATCAATCACATCATTGCACACCGCATATTATGGGAAGGATGCAGATTCTGGATGAGGAAGACAGTTTTCTAAGATGGAATATCAATATTGATGACATATTAGTAATAGGAGTAAGGTTGCGTTTCATTCAGATGATGCATCGTATAATATAACTGACGAGCGAACAAGACGCCGAAGTGTCTATGTTTTATTGGCGACAGTATAGATAGACGACTACCTGGTAGCTTAGAGCTAGAAGTATATAAGGAAGGCGTATCCAACTAGCAACTTTACGACGCAACAATAGTTTCACCAGTGCTCACTATGGACAGGATTCTACTAGACGAGCACCATATGGTGGACCAGTCTACTATCACACCACATAAACACTCCAGTGTCAATAATGGCTGATTTGGCGAACACTACCTAGTTAATCATATCGTAACCAAAATTGTCTGCAATGGCATCTAGTACCTGGTACGCTCTACTACAGTGATATCTTTTGGATCTTGTGCCCGTCTATGCATCAACGCTCCAATCGCAAATTGCTTCACCAGCAGCCATACCATACCTCCACCATACCTCCACATGGCTCTTTTGACAGGACGAAGTTCCATATCAGCACCATTGTCCAGCAATGCTTTCATTAAGTCGATTTCAACAACCCTGCAAGCTTATTGGTGATGCAGTGCGATCATTGTTTACGTTCTGTTCACCACCAGCCATATAGATACTATATAGAATACCACCATGACGCAACAAAAGTTCGACAACGTTTCAGCGACGACGTTGTCGGACACAAGCTCCATGCAATGGTGTCCACCTTTTGCATCAACAACCTTCACATTGGCGCCATTCCGTAGCACTATTTCAACTATGATAGTCGCATGCAATTAATGCCGTACGATTGGTATATTGTCAACAGCATCAACATTCGCACCAGAGGTCAGTAGAGTAGTTCAACCATGTCCGCAAAACCATGCGTCGAATCACTTGCTGCATGCCACGGTGTCGAATTCTATTGTTGCCGAACAAGTCCCATCATCAGCCCCACGGTTGAAAGTAGTCAAGTATTTGCGTTGTTGATGGTGGTCGTCGTCGTGGTGGTCGTGGAAGTGACTCGGGTTGGCTGCCAAGAATTGAGATGGACGACTACTCTTGTTGTCTCTCATCAGTGGTTCGCTGTAATCTTCTTCAACCACCAGTCCAGCCAGCCACTTATTGCTCGGTATGCATACTCCACAGCGTAAAGTACTTGTACTTGCTCATAATAAGTCTGTGGTCTCATATCGAAACCGTATCGTATGACCTTAATCCCAAAACTTGCCAATCGTAATGACGATGTATAGATTCCACAAGCAATTGTTCATCAAGTACTGATTGCTTATTTGACTATTATTCATTCGTTCATTCAACCGTCTTCGTCAACATGATGATAGAGCTGCCATATAAATGGGAGTCTTTTATCCATCGTTACGTAGAGTGGTATTTGAAGGGTTGTAGCGTAGTTGTTTCAGTTTGGACATCAGCCGTGATGCGGCGGTGATTGAATATCTACGTATAATCGGTACCTACATGTAGGAGAGGCTACTCTAAGGCAGAAGTAGATAAACAAAATTGGAACACCCGCGATTTTCGGAAAGGTAGGAAGTGTGCTACATAGTTACTTATGAGCTACAGTACCGGTATTGCTCATCCCGCATGAAGACCGGCGTTTCGTTGAAGGAATATGCGGCGAAGATTTATATTATCAGTGCAATCTATATATAGAATCTGGAATGTTAGGCGACGGCTAAGTTTATTTTTTATGAACAAACAGAATTGTAATGTAGAATGTACTATTGTTTCTATATGTTTACGAAGGATGTCTTGCTCCAACAATTTACGTAGGCTGTATTATATTGGTGAATATGCGCGTATTTGATCTTGTTGAGTGATTCGGCAACGGAATCATACCTTCCGAGATATCAACCTCATCGGCTATGTCTCTCTTTGGGAACGACACATCCCGCATGATCTGTACATGTTAACTATTTGGTTGGTGCATCAAGAATAAGAATGACAGCAAGTATGGTGGACGATTCAACTCCAAATTCAATCACTAGTACTTCTTTCTATCACTTAGTTACATGTACTACAAGAGAAATTCACAGGAGTTCATATTCCAATCTAATCTTGCATCACACGGTCGATGCAACTCCATCGCCCTACGATGTTTCCTTCTTTAGAAAGCATCGACCAATAACCTGTATATGCACCGAATAATGTCAATAAAGCAACATGTAGTTGACCCACCACATCAGAATCGTGGAAGTTTAATTCTTCTTCTTCGGCGTCACTTCTTGCGGAACACCATTACTCTTTGTGGGTGCTGCAGGCTTGTCTTCCTTCTTCACTAGCTTCTTTCGTGACGCTTCATCAATAAAGTTCCAGACTAATGGGATGGCCAAACTAAAGATGGCAAACCCAACGATCGTTTCCGTGACCGTCTCCCAATGGGATCCATTTTCAATGGGCAAAATGTCGACAACTTTTGCCGCCGTGTAGGGTACTCCCAAAATGACAATCAAATAATAGACAACCATTCGGGACATGATTTGACCGCAGCAGACTGCCATAATGGAAGAGAACTCTTCTTCGTCGATTCCACCGCTATTGTCATGGTCCGCGGCCTCGAACATGCCGTCACAAGTCGTCTTGATGGGAGGCTATGAAAAAAATGATGATTGATGAAAGCAGAAGTAGTTTGGTCAAGCGTCGTTTGCAAGCAGGGGAATGACGACGATATTGGACCATAATCGAAGAGCAACAAAGGACAAGATAATAAATGAGCGTGTCAGCAAATGATCAAACGCGTCTATATATATGTAGACAACAGCACTTGAGCACAACTTACATAACATGCGGGTGCGCCAACAAACTTGGAAAGCTTCAAATGGATCAACAAAAGACCGGCGTACAACTCGTCTTTGGTCACTTCGCCATTCCCGGTATTGTCCATGCTCTTAAAGGTCGACGAGACCATCATTTTGAATGGCTTGCTATTGGTGAGCAAATTGCCGTTCTTACCGGAAGTTATTTTCTTGACGATTTGGTAGATTAAGCGAAAGAATAGAAGCACAAAACTAACGGCAGATGTGTAGAATAGAACCTTGAACACTGTAATCAAATTGTAGCATTGATTTTGTTTGAAATAATACAATAGGTATATACAATATTATATGATTGGATGAAGCAAACAAAAGCGTGATGATGAGATATGGGCTTGATATGTTGAACGACAAGACAAGAGAGAGCATACAATGATTTGCAGCGTTTCCAGTCCTGCAAAAAGAAGAATAACTAATCTGCAACCATTAGACTTACGGATTTCGTTTCTCATCATACTGGTGTCATCTTGACTCGAAGTGACCTCATCCTCCACGGTTTCCTCCACAACAGCAACAACTGAAGTATCGTTATCGTTCATCTTTGCGGATTATTTGCTTTCTTTATTTGTCTATTGGTTTGTTGCTTGGCTTATTCGATTAGATTTGCTTGCTTGCTTGCCTCTTTTGTATTAATAAGAGTGAGTTGAAAACAAACGAAGATTATTGTCAGACGAAAGTGAAACCGCCTTCATCGATCATATATCGTCGCATGCCGCATGCGAACCGCAAACGTCGGATATTTCCTTTGCTCCAATTCTCCGAAGCACCAACAGGGAATGACTACTTTGAATAACTTCTTATACACAAAAGATGGATATAACGGCTATGTGTCCATACAGTCACAAGGACTACTACCAAGCACAAGGCAGACTCTAGCCACAATCACGGAGATGGAAAGTAAATAGTAGCAGATCGTTATTTGTTTTTAATCCCTAATGCTCGGTGTTCCTCGGTGGGACTTGTTTCATTTCTCATGTTCCTTGGAGGAAATTCACTAGTCCGTTCCTTTATAGATCTCTCTCTCTCTCTTTTTGTTTTTTATACGCTCAAGTTGAGAGACAGTCCAAGGTTTCCCGGTCCAACACCATTGGTGAATCCATTAGGTCCCAAGAATGGAGCATACTCATCCGGAACACAAGACAACTGTATGTTGCCGCGTCCCTGTTGGTAGGAACCTTGCAAGTTAAAGTTGGTATCGGGAATTCGGTAGGCAACTCCAATGTTCCAAGGTGATGTTTGTCCGTACAATTGCATTTGCAATTGTTGGATCATTTGTTGTTGCTGTTGCAAGAATTGCATGGCAGTTTGATGCTGTTGGGCCGACTTGAGTTGGATATCGGTTGCCCGCTTTCCGGATTCCGCAACACTGGTCATGACGGATTGAAGGTAAGAGCGTTCCGATGAGTAATCCCAATCAGATCCTTCTCGAGTGGCATCTTCGGCGGCAGCAGTGAATTGTCCATCCGCTTGCAACATGGCTTCGTAATCGGAAGCACCAGTAGTCTTAGAGGCAACTCGGTACTTTGACAATGCTTGTTCTCTCAATAGAGCCAATTGACGAAGGTACAAGACTTGAAGAGGAGCGTCCAAGGCAGCCTCGAGCTGTTCCAACTTGCGATCGTATTCCGAAGCTCCAGCGGCATCCGAAGCGTCCGGTGCACTCTTGGCAAAGTCTTCCAAAGCCTTGTTGCAGATGGTATCAGCCTCGGCTCCGAAATCAGAAACAATCTTAGATTCAATAACAATCTTGCGTCTCAAATCTTCAATCTACATTTTGATACAATATGAGTTGATGGATTGATGGATTGATGGATTGATGGATTGATGGTGTATACGTATAATCATGTCATGTGCATGTCAAACAAATCATGTCGCAAAAAAAAGATTGGAAGAAGAAAAAAAGAGAAATTGTAAGTTGAAAGCTTTGCAGAAAGAAAGAAAAAAGATGGTTCACAACTGAAGCATCTCGTGTGCACACTCAGTACTGAATGCATGGTCGGTGAATTGTTCACCAAAAGTATCACTTACCGCATCGGTGGCCGCTTCCAACACTGAAGTCTTGACAGTTTCCAATTGAGTCGAGTAGGTACTTTCAGATCCACCTCGTGGAATCCCCCATGCAGCTAATCGTGATGTCGAGCTGGAGGCAGAGGCATTAGATGCCAATACCAAGAGTGCCAATGAAAACAGTAGTCGAGTCATGATTGATGATGTCTGATGTTTGTTGGTTGAAATGCTGGATGACTATATGTATGTAGTATTGATGAGCAGGAAAGAGTAGCGTACGGTACGGTAGGTACTGGGTGCGAATTATTGTGTTTTGAAATCAAGAAAAGGCTTGCTACAATAGCTTTCTCTTGTGTAGTTTAACCTTTTGCTGATGATGAACGATGGGCAATCAACGCACAAGGCCATTGGCAGTCGGTACAGTATTCGGTGCGTTTCTCACACCTCCAAGTGGCATGTCAAAATCAAACAATGGGTTATGAGCACCCTCGAATGTGATGGATCTTCGACTCCTCCGAACAAACGAATCAATCAATAATCAATCTACCGGTATGATCTTCTTGAATGGTTTTTCGCGATAGCACTGGCAATCATACTCGTAGTATACGTCTATCATTATTTAGAGTGAGCCATTTAACTAGCAGCTCGCAGTCTTTGCTCTTCATTGAAACGGAATTGAAGAAATCTAAGTCGCATCGATTGGTAGTAATTGGTGGGAATGCTTCTTCTAGTGCCACCACTGCCTCCTCCAGCCCCACCAGCCATATCACTTTCTGCCACTCAAGCAACAAGCCGAGAGTAGGCATAGATACATTCAAATCATTTGGGATTTTCAATGTCCGTGGCCCTTTTCCTTGTTTCGATGATGTGCACAGCCCTCGTCAGCACTCCTCCTTCTTTCCACCTGCAGGCTACCCCGACGACCACTGTGCTGAGACGACCATCATTCGTTCAGCGCATATCCTTTCCTATCGTACATGTAGCTATACAAGGGATCATTGCCTCCTTGAAACTCAATACTATAGATTCCGTTTGACTTCTACCTTCAAGCTCACAAAGTGACATCTCCTCCTCGTCTGGTTGCTTTCAGCACCTGACATGACAACAATACCGAGGAGGCTTCTCTCACCGATAGCTCTCCGATATCTTTTTTTCTTCGTATCAGAGCCACAAACTTGCCTTGTATATCGTCTCGTATATGGTCTCATGCATGATGTTCTATTTCAGCAGTTGACTACTACAAATGCTATAGTAGTAGTACGACCACACGAAATGAGACCGACATGATCTTTTGAAAACATGAGATCGTTCTAAGATACGCCGCACGCTGTGACATAATATGCCCGGTCAATCGTCCGCACTACCATATCATTGCTGTTAGTGTGCATCATGCATGATGATGTCCAGTCGTATATTTGCCCAAGAAGAAGCCGGCATCACGCAGTGTCTTCTGCTCTATTATTCTTTTGCTACGTGCTTCTTTCCGAATGACTCGTATATGCACTCTATGAAGCGCTTTCGTCCACTTGCCGCCAACACTTTTTAAGAAGCAGGCATCTTTGTGAAGTCGTAGTCATATCGAATATAATATATACTGTAGGCACATGACAGCCACCCGATGATTTGACAATAAGATTGATTGATTCTGCGATTTTGGGAGAAGTTCAACCTTGATCACGCATTTGGATTTTCTTTCTCTTCTTCGCCACGTGAATCTTTCCGACTCGCACGCTTTCTCTTATGGATCTTGCTACCCTCAACTGAAAGTCCACGCGCCGCGTACTTATTGATGACCAAACGTTTGGAGCTAAACAAATCGATGGCCATTTTGTCAACTCTATACTTCGAAACTGCGGAAGAAGACATTCGATACGAAAATCTTGACCACAACTGAACGTACAATAATTCGCATCTGAGACGATGACATCAGAGACCCCCTTAGATGGCAACCTGTACCTATGGTTCAGCTTTTATGATCCCCAAGGGAACTATTCGTCATCTATACTTTCCGAAGAGGTGGAGTACTGGTTGATCAAAGAGTTCCTATGTAATGATGGAGATGGGATGGTTTCTGTCCGACTGATTCAAGACTCCTTATTGACTAGTTCCTGTCATGGTGACACCTTTCTGCGGGAGCAAAACCGCTTGAGGAAACGACGAAGATTAGCTTTACCGGCCGACATGGTCGTTCTATGGAATTTCCCCACATCCGACATTACGACAGCAAAACTATATCCACAACAACAAGAAGAACAAGAACAAGAACAAACCAAAGAAGACGCCTCCTCCTCCGTACCGCTTGCATATTCGTTGTGGAACGTCAGTTTTCCAATATACGACTGGGGATCCGCCAACGACCCAACGCTGGTGCAAAAGGATATGCAGCACTTACTGGAACAAAAGCTTTGGAACAAGGAGTTGGGGGTTCCCATTCCAGGAAGTCACGTTTCGATACAAGGAGACGAACAGGAAGGCTTCTCGATTCCGATTCTTCTTGCAACCATGTCCCCAACAGCAACGACAGCAATACAACCAGGCGGAATGACACCACCACTTTTGAGTGGACCACGAAAGATTGAACCGAGAGAAGCTCACGTGCTAATCGTGATTGGAGCGGTGCTGATTGTTCTTCAGACCATCTTTTCGTTACTACTGCATCGATACGGCAAGAACTTTCGAGCCTCGCAGGAGCAGCAGCAGCAGCAACAGCAAAAAGAGAGGGAAGCACTGCTCAACGAAGGACAAGGTGTCGATCAAATGCTACGTGCGTCCAAAGGGTTTGTGGAAATTGACCGTCGCTTGGTCACGATAGAACCTAGTGAACAGTTGGTCGTGTCATCGGAACGACCATCCACCACCAACAAGAAACCAAATGGAGGGCGAACCGTCACCAAGAATAAGGAGGCACACGAAAAAAACAAATCGAAATCGAAAACGGCTGCCATCACCAAGGACCCGACTGACGAAAAGCAGAAGGACGTTACGATGAAAGAACGAAGAAGGTCGTCGTCATCCCATCATGTCAAGAAAAAGGAACGAGACTCAATATCATCTACCAAGCAAAAGGAACGACACTCCATATCATCCATGGAACAGAAGAAAGAAGCGAAAGATACTCATGCCAAGAAGAATCATCATCGACGACATAGTCATGAAGTTGGGAAAAGGAAACAGCAACGGCATAGCCATTCTTCTTCTTCTTCTTCCCGCCACAGAGAGAAGGGACGAAACCAGGATACGACTCCGCTTCGAAGGAGCGAGGGAACTATTGACGAAGCCAAGATGTTCTTTGAAAAGCTTTCTACCTCTTCGGTGGGACCCACCACTGGTGCTATGGCGAAGAAGAACCAACGCACCAGCCATGCAATCGATGATACACAAGCACTTTAGGCAATTCATAAAATTAGACTACCTGTAGATAATAGTTGTAAATGCAGTTTTAAAAAATATACATTGCTGGAAGTGCTTTGTACTCGATTGAGCAAGTCACTTGACTTTTATATTCCACCATCTGCACTGGGACCGTGCGGGCTGAGGGGGTGATCTATACAATATTCTCCCCTCCCCGCAAAGTTAGAATGCCAAATTTCAAATTTCAAACCCATCATAAAATTCCACGTGCGCATTTTTGCTGCGAGCATGCAATGACAATAACAACACAATACTGTAATAAAACAATAGAAAGGACAATCAAAGGAGCGTCCTTGGTCATCAACCGCCGCATTCATTCCTTTTTCAGATTCAATCACCTTGAAAGAAACGAAGCAACAAGGTACAAGCTACAAGCTACCATTAAGCAACGAAGCAACGAAGCAACGAAGCAACAAACAACTAATTCCAAAATAGACAGAGGAACGAAAATGGCTGTGATGATCTCCTTTATGAACCACAGCATGAATCTTTCGAATATCAGCTGGCTTGCCTTCCTTTGGATTATTCTTGCCGTCGTCTCCCTTCCTGCTTCCGCTGCAACGTCCTTGGTTGATTCTACAACTACTTCCATTGTTAGTACGCATCAATACTCACATTCACACACACACTCACACTCACATTCACATCAATACACATCTGCTGCATCAGATTCAATAACATCATCGTTGATCGCATCCTACTTGGGTGGTAATAGATCATCTACCGGTATTGATATTAATACGGGACGGAGGATCCTCAAAGCCGCTGTTGTTCAAATACCTCGAGGAGGAGGAGAAGGTCGTCGTGGTGGGAACAATCAGGTCAATAAGAAGCAAAAGGGAAAGAAGGGTGCCAACAATGACGTGGTGGCGCATTCCAAAGACTTGGGTACCTTTGTTCGCATGGGAGTCGAGGCAACACTGGGAATACTGTTCATATTTCTGAGCGAAGCATCTTCGAGTGAACAACATCAGCCTTTCAAGAACAAGATGGTTGTGTCGGGAGGCGTCTGTATGGCGTTGTTGCTGGTAGAGATTGCGCGCTTTCTCGGGGAAGATGCGGCCAAGCTCTCATTGGCAGCTTTGGCCATGGTCACTGTGCTCTTTTTGCTTCAGCCGTAAGGGCAAAGGAATACACAGAACAATAAAATGCAAGCATATGAAGCAAGATCTACAGAATTCTATATAAAATTATGACGATCGATTGGTGATTCATTGGTGTGCTGGGCTATTGCCGCTGTCGGATTATTGAATGATATGGCATATTATGGACTGCCATTTGCAAGCAATACTGATTCTTCTTGCTTCTGAAACTGAAAGAGGATAGCGCCACATGATAACAAATGGATGGATCAATCGAATTGTTCCATGAATGAATGCAGCATGTTCTGTATATTGGTGGGCCTATGGCGGATAGGACTAGTATACGATGGATTCGGGTCTTCTTCGCGCTCTAGCTAGACTAGTATTAGGAATGGCGGATGACGTATCAGGCTTCCTTTTTGCATCTATTGATGTTATTCAATAAGATTATATTGCCATCGCATATTCATACAGTAATACCAGCCGGTATAATACATGTTGCGCCAATGCGATGCTAATAATTCGACCACGAGCCGAGTGGTGCCTTGAAAGCCGCATACGTATCTAACATTGGAAGAAAATAAGGATATTAGAACATACATCCGGCATTGGCTCTACTAGTCGTTTTTGTATGGTAGCTTGAAAGCATTTCTATTATAGATGGAAGCGAGTAATAAACTATACGCGCTACTCTCGTGCCAGTCCATCGGATACAAAGTAGCAGGTACTCACTGAACCCATCCCAATTCTCTCATGGCATGAGCCACCTTGCGGAATCCGGCGCGATTGGCACCCTCTTCCAATGACATAGATGCGGCTTCTTCTTTTTCATCACTACTACTACTACTACTACTAGTAGTAGTAGTAGTAGTATCTCCACCCGTTTGACACTGATGGTATATTTCCTTCATCATGGATTGCAATTTGTCATCTACTTCTTCCGTGGTCCAAGTCAACTTTTGAGCATTCTGACTCATTTCCAATCCACTGACTCCGACACCTCCAGCATTGGCTGCCTTGGCTGGAATGTACACCAGGCCATCTTCTTCTTGTTTTCGTCGAAAGATCTCTTGACCATGAGTGGTAGTCGGCAAGTTGGCTCCCTCTGCCACCAAGTAGATTCCTTCTTCCACCAATCTTTGGGCAGCAGATTCATCAATTTCATTCTGAGTCGCACATGGCAAAGCGATTTCACATGCCACATTTTGTTGCGGTGGTAGATTCCAAACGGTAGCGTCGGGAATATATCGGCCCGATACCTTGCCTTCGAGTTGTGATAGTCGTCCTCGATGAACATTTTTGCATTCCATGACTTGTTGTAGGTCCTCTTGTGTCATGCCAGTATTGTCATTATCATTATCAAAGATCAAAGCTCCATTGGAATCGCTCATTGTCATGACTTTTGCCCCAAGCTCTAGTAGTTTCTGAGCAGCGTATTGAGCGACATTCCCACTCCCGCTGACTTTGCATTTGACTCCCTTCAGTACGTTATTATCCTCGGCATCCTTGTCATCCTTGCAATCCTTTTTCCTTTGATCTTCCATGGCCAATTTGGCAATGTACACCAATCCATATCCAGTCGCTTCGGGTCGCAAGGGCGAGCCCCCAAAGGCCAAAGACTTTCCGGTCAAGACACCCTCTCCATGGCGATTAGTCAGTCTCTGAGTGGGCGTTGAAATTGAGAAATTACCTGCCATGCACAATATAATCACACGCAAAGTGATATCTCATCGTTGTTCTTGTTCTCACCTTGTAGGTTCCATACATGTATCCAATTTCAGACCCTCCCACTCCAATGTCTCCAGCTGGGACATCGGTCGAAGGATGCAAATACCGATGCAGTTCCGTCATGAAGGATTGACAAAATCGTTTCATTTCTTGAGGCGACTTGCCCTTTGGATCAAAGTCGGACCCACCTTTGCCCCCACCCAATGGCAATCCCGTCAGCGCATTCTTGAAGATCTGCTCAAAGCCCAAGAATTTTAGTACGCCCTCATCGACAGTGGGATGGAATCGTAAGCCGCCCTTGTAGGGTCCCAAGACGGAAGAAAATTCGACCCTCCAACCCCGATTGTATCGCAAATTGCCGTCATCGTCTTCCCATGGCACCCGAAAACTGATGACCCGCTCTGGTTCGGTCATGGCCAAGAATGCTCGTTTATAGAATTGGCCTTCTTCGTTGTCATCTGAAAACAATGGAAGCAAGGAAAGTGCCACTTCTTCGACGCACTGCAGAAAGATGGGTTGATGGGGATATTTCTGGTAAAGTGGTTCTAGAAATTCTAAATCGGCGGAAGGCTTGGAAGGCCTGAATGTTGATTGTGAAGAAGAAGATGATGATGTTGATGAAGACGCCTTGCAAGACCAAACCAATGATAGCATCAACAAGATTGTTATGGATTTCCTCGGTAGGAATAACGAGGACAGTCGTCCTCCTCGTTTCTTCTTCTTTGCTGGTTGTTGTTGTCGTCGTGCCATGATGGATTTTTTATCGTATTGTAGTGTTGCAGTGACGCTACTGTAGTTTTGTTCTTGTTATACAACTTTGAACTCTTCTATTTTATTGGGGCGTTTAGATCGGCCTGTTATGTTGATGGACAGCGAGGGTTGATGCGATGTTCGCGTTATTGATCATAATGATGCCAGGTGTCACAGCAATATAACTATATATCTACCAAACCTTCTTTTTGGTTGACCCACTCGATCACACAGTCGAACTAATCCAACATCCAACCGTTAGATCCAATCTTGCGGGACTCCTAATTAAGAAATCGAGCCACACAAATTCACATCACACGCATGGTATCTTATTGCGAGTGCACCAAGTTCGTCCAGCATGGCCAAAAACGTGAGTTGTCTGAGTATTGTCAAGAAGATTCTTTGTATCAATTCTATGCCGGTTCGGATAGTCAATCTTGTCAGCAAGAATCAAATTTCACGCCAAGAAAAAACCAACGAGAAGCAAGAACCATCATTCAGAAATTTTCCCACCATTGCAAGAACAACATCAACGGAAGACATCTACTATTGCAAGTGGTATATCAATTTAGTCATCATGAAGCAGTCCAGTACTAGGAATAGTGAAAGCGCGCCCATCAATCTCGTAGATCATCATGAGGATCCATTGAGCCAATCCAGTAGCCATTCACCACCAAGAGAAGAATTTGTGGACGAAGAACAAGGCCTTCGAACCGGTCACACCAAAGATCTCGAGTTGGAGCAAGGAAAAGTGGTGGCATCGGAAGAACAAGTCCAAGCCATGATTCAAAACGTTTCGCAAATGGCCAAGAACGAAAAGCCTGACCCCATTATTCGCCCAGATGGCCGTCGCCGTTCGAGCAGCGACCGCCGCAGTGAATCCAGAAGAAGCAGTAGTCGTCCAAAAGATCCAAATTTGCCACGGTCCTCATCCCCGCGACGATCAGCGTCCGGACGGCCCTCTGCTTCGAGATCACGATCTCGTCGCGAATCAAGTGCGAAACGAGAAAGTAGCAGTGGCCGTACTTCTTCCGAAAGACGTTCGTCTTCCGAACGACGTCATTCCTCTCATCGTAAACGATCTTCCTCGAGGAAGGGTGGAGATCGCGATAGGGGAAGTCGAAGTCGATCAAGACATGGTCAACATCACCGCCATCGTTCCAGTCGTCACAAAAAGGAAGAAGGCAATAAAATTGTGGACGAAGTTCCCAAGATTCCCGAGAAACAACCTCCTCGCAAAAAGAATTATGGCATGTTTGTCTTTTTGATGATGTTGCTCATCATTCCAGCAATGATATTTGTTTACTTTTTCCTATTTGCACCCAACGATGACTCCAAGGAACCAGTCAAGTTGCTGATTACCAATTCTCCGACTCTGGCACCTACCATTGAAACGGCCAGGCCTACTCAGGCCCCTACCGAGCCGGGGGCCACTCCAATTCCATCCCTATCTCCCTCAATGGTGCCCACGCCAAGTCCTTCGGATAATATGGAGGGTCCCATCAGTGAGTTCTTCACTGCAAACAATGTCGATTACAATAATACGGCAGTCAAAAAGGCAGTCGATTGGTTGATTGATGAAGCCTATTTTGCCAATTCTCTTGCCTTTCCACTGGACGAAAAGTATCTACAACGATTTGGTATCTTGGCTCTTTACTTTTCCATTTTTCAAGATCCAACGCAAGCGACACTCGCACCAGCTCAACCTGACCTAGACACGGACCCCGATGTGCCAGATCTAGTCGCAGACATTCAGCAATTTGGTGAAATCACACTGCCCAATTGGGGAATGAGAACCCAAGACCATTGCTTTTGGAGAGGCATGGTCTGCAATGAAGATGGCATGATCATCGAAATTCGATTGTCTAATCGACAGTTGACGGGAACATTGCCAAAAGAATTGGGTCTCTTTCCCTCTCTCCGATATATTGACTTTTCCAACAATCAATTGCAAGGCAGCATTCCCGAAGAGCTCTATGACAATATGGAATTGGAACATATGTACCTCTACAAGAATAGTTTGTCAGGAACGATCTCTAGTAAGATTGGCAATCTATGGAACTTGACGCACGTCCATTTGAGTCATAATCAGATCTCTGGACCGATTCCCAATCGAATGGCTTCTCGGGCCAAGATTCGTCAGATTCGTAAGTACCGCCAGCCATTATGGAATTGGTATGGAATTGATGTGGCCTTCTTATACTAACTCCAATCGCCCTTTCTACTTTCGAACAGGCTACTTTAATGTCCACCGAAACCAAATGACGGGTACCATTCCTGCCAACATGAGATTACGTCAAATGTTCTACATGGATTTGGGGGCGAATCAGTTCAGCGGACCTTTGCCGCCGGAACTAGGATCGGAATATGTTAGGTTGAGGCATTTGTTCTTGGACCACAATCAGTTTACCGGTACGATGCCCCAATCCTACATTGTGGCCGGTAATGGACGCATCCGGACATTGGAAGTGAATGATAATCAGCTTCGTGGCGCCTTCCCCGGCAACCACCAGAGTTACACTGAGCTCAGTAAGTCGATGCTCATCGTCGCGATGCCTATTGATGCGATGTCTGACGATGCTTAGACGACACGACTGAAATCTAACCTTTCGTGCGCTTTCCTTTCTTGTTTTCACTTTCAATTTACAGTGCAACTGACGCTTCACAACAACAACTTTGATTCCATGGACAAGGATACCTGCAAGCTGGAAGTCTTTGTGGGCGGAGAACTTGTCGAATTCAAATCACAGTGTAGTATCTGCAGGTGTGGTGGCGACAGTCTCATGTGTCGTTTCTGTGTGTAAGGATACACCTGAATGGACTCTAAAGTATAAAATGCATCATGTTATGTACCAATTTAGAATACTGTTACCGATGCTATAATTCCGAGATCGATATAGCCCGACAGTAAGATAATACAAGATTCTATCCATTTTAAAGTGATATGATGTAATTTGATACTCGCATCGCAGTTTGTCATCGCAGTGTACATGCATGTACGCCCGTCATCTCTCGTGAGATTGGAGTGTATTATAGGATATTTTTACACTGGTTCGTTCCTTCTTCTAGCTCCAAAGAATACATGTCATGATACGATTATTCGAGGCGATAGAGCCACTGCCAGCCCGGTACGACCCCAAATCCAGCCAAAGGAAATGCTATTGTAAGCAGCATTCACAGTTTCTTCATCTATTATCATGTTATTGTTCGTTTTTTCATGTTGCTATTGGCTTGTTTCTATCTAAAGGATTCTTGTCCTGTTGTAGGACTATGTATATTTTACACTGTTGCTTTTTTCAGATTGAATGCATCATTCTCCATCATATGTACTCAACGGACTTCTCCAACAATGGTGGACTGCGAGTGCTTCATAATCGCATCACGACTGTTCTCGGTCAGACAGCTCATGTCGTCGTCCTCGTCGTCTGATTCGTGGATGGCGTCTTCTCTATTTTCCTCCTCTTGTAATAAGGCGTGTTGTGTGGGGGGTGCAATGTGCACTTTGGCGTCATTATCATTATCATCATCCTCCTCACGATGAGTACCATCGTGCAGGTTGCGGTACCAGTGTTGCTTGCGAAAGTGTTTTCGCACTTCTTGCCAAGGCTGGTGCTTCAATTGCTTCGCTGGAGGATGATTCTCGTTCTTGTACGTCAATCCAATTAGATTGGTACAAGCAGTTTCGATTTTCTCTTCGTATCGTTTCAAAACCTTAGACAAGGATTCGATCTCCTCCACAACCGTCGCGGCTAGCATCGTTTCCACTGCGGTAGACTCTTCCGAGTGCATTGATGACCTTCTAGAAAGAATGGAACTTTTGGAATGGGCTCGTTGCATCATCATATGAGGCATTTGCCTTTCCCTCGCCTTTTGCCACAGGGACCGACAGATCTTTTCGCCTTCCAACGCCCATCGTCGCTTATTGCTTCTGGCCCTGGCAACGAGTTCATCACTAACAATACTCAAAACACCACATGACTTCAAGTTTTGTGCCAACGGGATGACCCAATTGTCAAAGAACCAAAGCTCGCCGTTGTACCAGCCATCAATTGGGTCATATTCAGATCTTCCTTCAGAGAAGGCCTCGTACATTTCGAGAAAAAGGCTCTCGTTCCTGCAGTTTACAAAAATGAATCAGTTAGCACCATTGAATAAGACGAAAGAATCCTTTCCAAAATGAGAGCAAATAAACTACGTACCATTCCCGGTAGATGTCCCATTCTTGCATGGTGTGCGCCACATCGGATGTCTGCATGATGTGCTCCATTGCCAGAGTTTTCTTTGCGTGGTCGCAAGTAGCGGCTCTTTCCCACCGCTTTTGTCGAAGTGCACGGAGATCCTTGTCGAAAATATCGGTTGCCATAACGTTGTTCACTAGCAGTTGACGAAGTCTCGCCTTCTCTGACTCTGATGATCCGAACAAACACATCTGAAGATGCTTTAATGACTTGGACATCAGACATTGCCATGCAACATCGATCGAGTTTTGCTCGGCAATGCTTTGGTTGTTGTATCGATCGGCAAGTTCCGGATTCTCTTCAGCTACTTGACCGTTCGGCACTCCGGTGTGACCGACATCATGGACCAGCGCGGATAGAACAATTGCAAAACAAACCAGTGGATCCGATGTAACACCTTCCTTCCCCTGAGCGGCCACATCAATACTCTCCATCAACAGGTTAGACAGTAAGACAACATGGCTTGCGTGACGAAAGCTGTGGAACTCGTTCTCATTGTATCCACCTGCGATTGACATGACAAATGCGCGAAGCTCCTGTCGCACAACTCGAGGGAGTTCGAATTCGGCAATGCGCCTGCTATTGGCCACTGGCGCCATCTCAATTACCAACTGAAGTTCTTCGTAGGGAGTCGTTGCTTCCATGTATTCTGATGATTCAGAAGCATCAACATCGTCGTTTCTCTTGTGGCTTGCGATCACCCTTCGGAGATAGTGCTCTAGAATTGCAATGTTTGCATTAATGTGTTGCTCGTATGAAAACTTTTCATCCAGAGATGCCTCTAGCCTCGCATATGGGACAAGTATCGCTCCCACCCATTCTTTACCTTCAAGTCTCCACTGCGTTTCATTCAAGTTTGCTCGTTTTCTCAGGCCCATGCCATCAGTCAAGAATCGATCGGTGCGATCCAAGAGGTGATACACGCTGGCTTTGAATACAGCAGCTTGCCACTCCTGCCATTCCTGCCGAGGATCGTCTGAAATACCATCTTTGTGAGCCTGAAGCTCAGCTTTGAACTGTAATTGATTCCAATGAAGGAAGACCTCGTAGGACTGACAGTAGTGGCCACATGTTGCAAGAATTAGGATCATTCCAAGCTGAACCTCGCTTTTCCGTCTCAGTGCCTTCTTTTCCGTGCTTGTATCTGCCATAGTTCGATCAAATTCCATCAGCATTGCTCTAAAATTCGCCTCCGATTCAAGTTCTGCCGAAGCGACGGCTAGCTTCCTCATGAGCTTGCGGAACCGAGGACAACCCCTAAAGATGACTTCGCAAAGGTCTTCATAATCATCTTCAAGAAACTCGATGGCTGCTTCCATCGACATTCCCTCCCCCAAAGATGCAGCTCCAGTGCGACTGGCGAGCCGAGAATCTTCGTCAGCATCCAAGTCGACATCGCGAATGAATGCTGAAAAGAGGAGCACAAAGTCGTCCCAGGAATCATAACCCCCCGATCTCTTTCTCAACTTCAGGAGAAACTCCGCTCGCATAAGGACATTGGCAACGTTTAGAAAGACATTTTCGTGGGAATAGAGCCCACAAATGAGATCAACAAAGTGAAGCAAGTCTTTTCGAGCCTCTGTCAGGCTATCACCTCCCTTTCCAGCACATCTTCTTAGCGTCGAAAAGAGGACATCGAAGATTTTGTCTTGAATTTCTTCTCTCGAAATTGAACTGTCAAGAAGAAGTGTGTCCCAATCGGACATCTCAATTGGTGCACTTGGAGCCGTGTTGGTTTCGCTGACAGCGGTCAGTTTCTTTCTTGGAACAGCGACGGGGCTCAAGAAATCTCCAAAATCAGGGCGAGTTGACTCGTCCTTGTCGAAATACTCCTGCATCTTCCATTGCTCTGAGACAAGAACATCCTTCATTTCTCGAGACAAACGTTCCAGCGCACTTGGGTTGGCGAGTTTGTTAGCAGCAGTGCCGCATTCAAGCCAGTAGGTAAGAGATTCTCCCTTTCCTTTCATATCGACGAAGCCCCGTTCTTGGAACTCATAATGTGCATTGGCCTTCCCGCTTTGCAACAGTTCGAATAGCTCATGCGAGCATTGAATTCGTCCTGGCATACCTGTTGATTCGTGGCGGCTAGCTACATTTACCATGTCTCCAAATAAAGCGTAGTGAGGAGTCAAGTTACCAACGACACCCGCTGTACAACTGCCAGTGTGGATACCAATGCGCATCTCGATTGGTTCTCCTGTCACTGGCGACTTGACATGCTTAGTGCACTCAAGGACAGCGAGGGCGAAGTTTGCAACTTTCTCCCCGTGTGAATCGTCAGCGTCCGGGACTCCAGAAGCGCACATGTAAGAATCCCCTACAGTCTCGACCTTGTACAAGTCGAATCGATCGGTCAAAGCGTCCATTACGGAATAGAGCTGGTTCATTAGATCGATGACTTCCCAAGGCTGTACTTGTTGGCACAGGGACGTGAAACCGACAATATCAGAAAAGAAGAGAGTGACATTGTGATAGTATCGTGGCTCCACAGTCTGTCCCATTCGAAGACCATCTGCAACTTGCTTTGGTAGCATGTTGTAAAGCAGACTGTTCGAAAGTTTCTGTTCCAGAAAAGAGTAGGAATGTCAATCATGAGTCAGCGGCACCAGACCAAGACAACACAATAGCATTTATGAACCTTACCTGTTCTGCTTTCAACTTCTTGCTGAGCTTGTCAAGAGAATTTGTTTTCCTCGATTCTTTGGATACATACTCTCCGAGACTGACAGCATCGCGTTGTGATGTGATGAGTGAAAGATCAGAGAGTGACAACCCAATTTCGGTGAGCTGCCTAAGGCTATTGACATGAGGAGAGAGGGAGAAAAGGACCTTATCGTTCGAAAGTGCAAGCATTGCCGCCTTAAAATTGATGATGGCCTTGTTCTCCTTATTCTTGATACTTGACTCCGTCTGAGCAAGGAAGAAGTTCTGATGTGATAGCCGATTCATGGATTGCCAGTCCCAAGCGAAAGCAAAAACTGGCTTCGTTATCGTAAAGAATTCTTGGATGTGATTCCCACGAAGGTCTTCTTCCGTTGTTTGTAACGCTTTAGGAAGATTCCTCCCGACTTGCAATATTCGAAACTCCTCATCCACAATCACATGAAATGGAAAGACATTGCGCATCAGATCCATAGAGATGCCTTCGGTGGCACTGTCAGGTTTGGGTGATAATGACCTCCTTTGCTGGCTTTCAGTAACCAAACGAGAAGATTGTGATCGATTCAGTCTGTGAACCTGTGCATGGTTTCCAGAAACGGGACACCTCATGGGTATCTTGACGTTCTTAAGGGTCTCGGGAATACCTTTATGGACTGCTTCTTTGGGAGGCTTTAGCTTATAGGCAAGGCTTTCGTCAATGGCAGATATTTTCCATGACGTATATCTCGAATCGTGTTCATCCTGCTTGCCCACAAGATCCATATGGATGTCCACTTGAAAATGGGACTTGGCCAATTCGTCGACGATACCATGGACCATTGGTACTAGGGAATTCCCACGATGACTAAAGTAGTGCAACACGATGCATCGTTCATCTTCCTCGCTCTCTTCACACCAAAATACTGGTGGGCAGAACTTTTCACTGTTGTAACTCTTTTGGAACTGATCGTGCATGGCATTCAAATGTGACAACCATTCTAACAGCGTTGATCCCTGACATCTTAGCAGTGATCCATACTCCGAGTCAAAGAGATATCCAACAATGAATTGCCCAAACAACTTGAGGAGTAGTTCTAGACGGATTTGAACCAACTCCGATGTACCAACAAGCAAGTCCAGAAGTGTACTGTACTGATATTGGCCACGAGATATGAAGGAGTGATCCTTCACATTGCAGTCTGCGACTTCTTTGATAGTGTGCCAAGTGTCAAGGCCATATTGCTCTATCACCCAGGCCTCTAAGATTTCAAAGATGAAGCCGTGCATCGTTGATATAGTGCGGAAGAGTCACAAAATGAGAAGAAAAGTAGTGAATCTGGGTAGGGAGCCTTATTGGGAATATGCTTGATGGATCAGTGAATTTTGGAATCTGCCGTCGACGTGGGCATCGGCAATAAGTGTCCCTGTCATTTTCGAAAGCGCCTTAAGTATGTAACAGGGTAAGGAACGCCAAAATATGCCAGGACCGGTCCAGGCGTAGAATTATACGCATTCGCTAAATTTTCGATGGTTGTCAATGACAATTCCGGCAAAACGTTTCTTATCGTTTTCACGATTTTGAGGACGCACGAGGAAAATTCGATATAGGGATCGGTCAGAAATGGTCATTTCGTGAATGAGATTCGCTTTGGGACTATCTGACGTGGTGATATGATGGATCAATCCGTTAGAATTTTAACTTGAATACCCGTAGGCTCACCAGTGCTTCCAAGGATTTGGATCTTGTTCGATACTTTCTTACAAACTAATGCATCAACCGGCATGGACTAGATCGGATAAAAGGAGGGAAAATACTTTTGACCTTTCAACAGTTGAAATCAATAGCCATCAGACACTTTGTTTCCAAATAGGATAGATGTCATGTGCCTCTCCATAATCAAGAAGGAACGTTGATGGTCTGGAAGGGTTTCCTGAGATACTGTAGAATAATGTTCTCATGATTACAGTATGTATTGGATTGCAAACTGCAACCACTCCGTGAGGTCCGTTTGTCGTACGTTTCGAGTTTATCATAGTCAGGTCGAAGGAGTCAGTGCCAGTTTGAAAAATGACGATTTGCGTTGACGCAAAATGCAATGATCAATGAAATTTGAACGAAGGTCCCAGTGCAGTGAATTTCAAATCCATTCTCATTCTACCTTTCTCGGTTCTTATTCTCATTATCAGTTTTTCAACAACGACTAACTAGGTTCTGGGATATCAGATAGTAGAGTAGTCCTAGACTAGTTAGTCCCTACACATTATTTATTCAGGCCAAATAATAATTCAGAAACAAAATGTCTTCCACTCAAGAAGTTGGAGACATTTTTGGTGCCGGCAGAGGTCAGTTTCAGAAAGCATGTGGACTGTATTTCCCTGCACCTATAATATTACGATTTCGAGAGGAAAGCCAATTGTTCACGCTCCAGAATGATGTCACTAACATTTGACTTGCTTTTTCACCTGTTGCGCATTATTGCATACAAAACACAATTATACTACTATTTCTCTATTCCTCTGCCAAAACCAGGCCCAGCTCAAGCCATGCTACGATCACCGACAGTATTGATTGTCAGTGTTGGGCTCTGGGGAATGAATATATTTTTGTTTAATCTGTTTCGAATCAATTATCGTTATGTTCTGAAACATGACTTGCTGTGGGAACGGAAACGAGAGAAACTCAAACGGGAGACCCAGCAGCCAAAATCAAATCGAACGAGAAATTCTTCCTTTGATGCTGATAACGAAAGCCTAGGCCAGACGTCGCCTTCGTCCAATGATGGTACTGTTGACGTTTTGCTAGTCGAAGAAGACAGTCACTTTCATGACGACCATACGTCCGGTGCCTCAATTACTTGGTACAGACTGGTTGCCTTTTCGATCAGTCTCTTGTTTGTCTTGCATTTTACGACCAACATATGGATGCAAACCTTGGGTCGGTCATCGATTGGTGCAGTATTTTCCTTTTATGGTGCCGTGTTGCTCTACAGTCTAATACCCTTCCCATCGACCAAGTGGCTCCGACGGGCTATCTATATTACCTTACAGCGCATCCTGGAATTGATTCGACCAAGATTTCACAGCTCACAGCAATATTTGCGGCCGATTCCTTTCATTGATGTCTTTTTTGCCGATGCCATGTGCAGTCTGTCCAAGGTATTTTTCGATTGGGGCATGATGGGACACATGGCCGCTCATTATCCGGATCCAGTTCCTCCTGCCACGCACAATATAATCATTCCCTCTCTCTGCGCTGCTGTCCCGTACCTTATTCGGGCTAGGCAATGTTGGGTCATGCTGACCATTGGACGAATGAAGAATGATCCCAAGAGAAATCAACACTTGGCCAATGCCATCAAGTATTCCACAAGTCTTTGGCCCTTGCTTCTATCGGCCTACCAACGAACCTTGCCTGACGAAAAGTCGCAGTCGTTGGAAGGTTTACTGATATTCCTCCTATTGTAAGTTGTGTGATGTGTGTATGCATTGCATTTTATTGTCGTCATTGGAATGCCGTCATTCTCACCAATCGATGATTCATTCATGACGGTCGTCAATCAGTGTGAATGCCTCTTATTCCTTGTATTGGGACATTGTCATGGATTGGGGTATGATGCACAATCCCACAGTGGTAGTATCCACCGCTTGCATTGGTAGTTCGGGTGCCCCCATGTATTCCGAGCTGTCCACGGCCACTTCCACGGTTCCGCCATCCTCGTCGTGTCATCATGGATTGCTCCGCCCCAAGTTGCGATTTGGAGTTGGTATTTCCACTTGGATTTTCATTACGGATTGCATATTGCGATTCAGTTGGGCCTTGCGGTTTGCCACCAATGTATTTCCGAGTCCCGATATGTTTGCACTCTTTACGCAATTCTTGGAAGTCATGCGTCGGGCCCTTTGGAATTTGTTGCGAGTGGAATGGGAGAATCTAAAGCAAGTCAATAGTGGAACCAGACTGATTGTGGAAGATGACGAGGAAGAAGAAGACCGAGAACGTGCCGTAGAGCTGGTGGATGCACCCCAACCAATAAAGCCCATTAGACAACGGGCCGATCGAGTGGAGTGAATATTACAGTATTGTATTGGTTTGATGAAAATGGGACTATATCAGGCCTTTTCAACAAAAGCTGCGTAGCCCAAGACTACTGGTGGTAGCCTACAGTAGAAACCTCCTCTATTCCTACCAGTATTCAGAATTGTTATAAAATATATATACCGGTACTGCAAGTTTCTACCATGTTCTATATCTCCTTTGTTACCTGCTTGTAATTCTTGCAAAAAAATGGTGGATTGTTGTTGTTGTTGTTGTTGTTGTTGAATGCGGAGGGTAAAATACAAATGATGACAAAACCACTTCGAGTACAATAAGTACAGTATCTACAAAGTTCATGGCGAACGAACGAACGAACGAACGAATGAATGAATGAATGATCGTTTGGAGAATTTGAAGACTTTTTGCTGGAATGCACCAAAACAGGAACTCTTGTGTGCAATACTGTACTGTACCGTGCTATTCCTGAAGAATGGAAGTTGGAGTTCTTGTTCTACATATACAGTGGTATTGTTGTTACAGAAAGTGAGAAGGATCGGATTTTAGGTACACGTACCTACTGGAGAGGTGCATGATGGCTGCACGGATTAAGATTGATTATCGTTTATATTTTTATTACTGTCTTCAAATCGCGTTCCACTCACTCACTCACGTTGCGACGCTCACAGGGTCGCAATCAGTAGACTGACTGACACAATGCGAACCAAAAAACCACGTTAACCCATTTAAAGTTTTTTGCTTGAACGACAAATTTCCTACCGTGCGCGCGTAGAACCATAAAACTACAATCACTAAAACTTAACTCAAATGCAATACACACGTTTCCAGGAATTCATGAAGATATCAAAGGGTTAAGCTGAAAACTTAGAAGTAGAGCAAATGAACCCTTCCAAATCTAATGGAAAAATCAGAATTAGTTTATCATTGTTTTGTTTTGTTTTGTTTTGTTTTGCAGACTCCAGATCCAGCAGAAATGAGTAACGTCGAAGTATAGTCATGTCCGTTGTCATATTCAAATTAGTTTTCCTTGTCTTTTGTTCTTGCTTTCGTAACGCTGGAATCTGGAACTCCAGCCACTTGAGGTTCCACTGCTCCAACTGTCGTCCGTTGAACTCTCACTGCTTGAGGAGCTGTCACTCCATGGACTCGAACTTCATCGTCGGCTGTGGCTCCTACTTCGGCTTTTTCTTCCGCTGTGGCTCTTGCTTCTACTTCTACTTCTACTTGGGCTCTTGCTCGTTCTTCGGCTTCGCTCTATTTTTCGGCGTCGTTGTCTTCGTTTTCGTTCGAGATACGCTCGTTCTTCGGCTTCTTCGTCTACTTGTTCTTCAGTAGCCCATTTCATTTCGTCGACCATTCTCTGCATTTCACGTTCGGCAGCTTCCTCGGAATCGGCTTTTTCAGCGGCTTGGCGCATTTCCACAATCATTCTGTGCACCTCTTGTTCCGTGAGCTCTTTCGATGTCTCGGAGTCTTCGCTTTCAGGAGCTGCCTTGATGTCAGTGACCATTTGTTGGGCTTCGTTCTCGGTGAGATCCTTGGGTTTGACAGGTTCTGATGCCGTTTGCTTGGCAGCCAAACGGATCTCTGCGACCATTCGTTCCATTTCGTCGCGGGTGGAGCCGTCCTTTGTCGAAGAAGTGATCGAATATGAGTTCGATGGGGTGGATGATGACATTACGGACGCTGGTGACTCGTCTACCGTCACAAAAAGTGTAACGGAAGATTCAGTCCAGCGAATGATTGGGGAGCTTCAAAGAATGTCAGAAGACGGCGATACTGGTAACGATTCAGCGACTTCTGCATCCGCAGCCATCATTGGATCAGGAATAATGTGAAATCGATTCTCATTCTCCTTGATAAAGGTACCTTCAATTTCATAGTTGGCTTTTAGAATGTATTGCCGCAAATTGGAGGCGGTGGCTGGACTCAAGACTTGCTCCACAAAGGCAACTCCGTGCCTTTCAGTTTGTTCTTTGGCTTCTTCCGGTGTCATGCTGGGTGTCACAAACAAATCTTGAATGGAGTCGGAGGAAGGCTCACAATTGGGCAAGTACAGGTGCTTCCCGATGGCATATGGAAGCGCCAAGGTAGGGCTGTGCACATAACAGAGGTAGTACAAGGATGGTTCATGATGAGGATGATGATTCTCCTGTTGTTTCTGTTTCTGTTTTTGTTTCTGTTTCTGTTTGAATTGCTTCCAAGACTCCTCGTTCATGATTTGAATTGGTGCGAGAGCAGTCCAACCATGCACATATTAAAATTCAACGGAGGGGAGTGTCTTGGTTGTTAATTGAGATCGTGTCGTATGAGGCCAGGTGTTGAGCGGCAAATCAACATACCGGTACACGTGTACCGGTAGGCGGGGTGAGTCGAGAGCGGCTAATTTAGTGTTTACATGTCATCCTCCTCATCATCACCCACACCATAACGGACATCATCACCCATCATGGAAAAATGAGGATTCTCATAAACTTCGAGATAGACGACGCCGTTCCAGTATCCTATGATCCTATTGGAGAAATAGCGTTTTCATTTTTTGGGGGTGCGAATGAACCAGGATTGATGAAGTTATGAGGAGCTGAAAACGTCAATTTTTGGCCTGAATGTCACTACTTTCCAGAAACGAATCTCGACATGATAATCGTACAGATGAAGAGCGATAATGGAAGGTGCATATTTTCCTTGGATTGAAGATTGCACAGATGCACTCTTGGCTTAGAAAGATGGAGAATTGACGGAGATATCGGCGTCGGTGTCGTACAAGAAGTCGATGCGAAACAGACCTTCATTTCTGCCGTCACCGTATTGTTACGATTCTCATCACGTTATGTTCATTTATCGATTGAGTCGATTTCGTAGTCGAGTCAGTCAGATCAGATCCGATCCGATCAGATCAGATCAGTCAATCGATCATCCATCATTGCATCCATATCCATCATCGAATCATAGAATCATCGAATCATGCATCATCAACAATCATCGTCATCTCAAAGAGCGGACCCCTTCCGTGTGCCAAGCTTTGGACGAGACAATCAATTATCAAGAATGGAATCAATCGCCTGTTTCGGTTCTAACAGAAGACCAGCTACGGTCAAGATGATGGTACATGGTGCTTCATTTCAAGGCAGCATTTAGGAATCGTCCAAGAGAAGCTCTGGGATGCTTCGGTACGGTGGTTGGAGGAAAGCGCAATGGAAACGTACATTGAAGTCTACTTTATTTCAGGACAATGTTGCTCTATGAAATGTATGATTCTACGCTTTTAACTTGTGGGAGGACACTGTACTCGAAGAAGGAACGATCCTGCTTTGATCCTTCAGCAAAGACACTTCCAAATAGGCAGTAGTCACTGCTCTTGTAGTACCTCAGACCAAGACTGATGCTCCGCATCGTCGACGATACCCGAATGCAGGTAAGGCGGTCTGCTCGATAGTGGAAGGTGGCATTCGTTCTGGAATGTTTGGGGCGGGTACGATGCTGGCGATGACAGCCCCATTTTCTGTCACACGATGCCCGCATATGTACTGTACTGTACTGTACTGTACTGTACTGTACTGTACGTATTATTATAACACCAGACCAGTTTCTCGCAATGTTCGTTCACTTATTTCTTTTATTAATAAATACTATGTTGCAATAAATCATCTCGAACTTCATGGCACATTCTCTTTCTGCTGATTCATATAGGATACAACAGCTACGACTGCTAGTACCAGACCAGTCATACCAATGCAAACCATCCCATAGAAGAGGTAACTGTACGGTTTGCGAACAGTTCTATCAGCAGCTATCAATGGATCCCCCCACTCGGCTTCTAGCCCAGCAAGATCCACATCCTCGCCCTCAAGATCTCCACTCCGTTCAGATTTTTACGAAGGCGACGATTGAACATAGGCGTGACGAGCGAGCGCGAAGGCATGATAGATGTTTCATAAAATACAATGTCACTAGAAGTATAATATGATATATTATTGAAATAACGTGATTTCTTTAGACTTGAGAAGACCAACTGTACTTATCTACCGATATCATTCATTCACAGCAACACTTCGGCACCTCTAAAGCAGCACACGATTGTTCCCTAGTCTATATTTCACCAATCCCTCCTCCTAGTTTGTTTACATTTACATTTACATTTGCATTTACATTCACTGACCAAGTAAGGTTTCCCAGAAGACCCACCACACGTATGATTGGATGAGGCGCGCAACCAGCGTCCACGCAGCTGTTGCGACCTTCACGATATTTTGTATCAGATTTGATGGAAGTGGAAGTGGAAGAGGACTCCGACATCAATGGCGCCAACCCTATTGTAAGTAGCTAGCACAGTTTGTTGAGGTTCTAGACCGCCAGTCAAAATGAAAAAACCATTGAAAAATCAAACAATACGAGGATGAAGGAATACCTTCATGTGTAGCCCAACGCATTTTCGAATAGCACTAATAATCAATAGCAAGTTTTCACTCGGACAGATTAAAAATTATCTCATTATATGTCCTATATTATAATAATATTATTATTAATAACATCTCTGTTCCTAGGCCAGCTTCTTATCATCCAAAGATAATGATTCTTGAAAAGAGCTAAAACAGGCCTGATTGGGGTTGGATCGATTTTGAATTTGAATCCAAAACACATACAACAATGGGCTGGTACGAAAGCTACGCGGAACTACGTGGAATTTGAAAAAACACGGAGGCACGGAGTAAACTTGGAGGCAAATTTGAGATTTTGGCGATCCGTGTGAAAGTTGTATCTCCAACCGCATCATCTCATGATTTCAGAATGGACTCCTTTACTACACCAACTACACCAACTACACCAACTATCAGCATGACCAGCACTATTATCAACACTAGAATATCAACAAGTAACAACAACAGCAACAAGGCAAGATCTGCAGCCCTTGCGTCCGTTCTTCGTTCTCCGAAAGTTTGGTCTTCAGTCAATCCGCGACGATCCATCAACAATGTCCGGTTTGACTTCAATCGAAACGAGACTCGGTTGTATCT